ATTTAAAGGGACAGTTCACCCCAAACCAAAAATACATATATTTCCTCTTACCTGTGGTGCTATTTATCAATCTAAATTGTTTTGGTGTGAGTTGCTGAGTGTTGGAGATATCCTGCCTTCTCTCCAATATAATGGAGCTAAATGACACTTGGCTTGTGGTGCTAAACAACTCAACAGCAATGTCTCTTTCCAGAAATCATGACCTGGTTACTCGAGATAATCTACAGAGCTTGTTATGAGCAGTTAATGTAGGAACTATTTTCTGTCTGCTAACTATATTACCGTGCAGAAGGACGTTTGCATCTAGTGCTAGCTCACCTAGCACCACTAGCTAAGGTTACAGCGTCACTGAGGATGGCACCTCTCATTCATGAGTAGATGCACGCTTCCCTCTGCTCAATGATACTTTCATTACTCCACTGATCACTGTCATTGCAGTCCTGTAACATGTTTTATTCCATGCATTCAAAATCTGGTGCCTACCTTACCCACAATGAAACTCAACTGCTGACAGATTGTTCAGAGATTCAGTTGAGTTGTGTCGGCTTAATACATCCATGTCTCAGTGAGAGTTACTGTAGCCTCAGGCTGTTAGCCTCAAGCAGACTTCAGAGGTCTGGTAGGCTCACCTCTTTTTAACTTCACACCCCCAGATTTCATTTTAAAACTTGTAGTTCAGACCCAGCTGACACTGACTCAACTGACTGAAGCACTAAATATTAATAAATTGAGGATGTCGTACTGGCCAGAGAAGATATTTCACATCATAATCAGATTAAATGTGAATGCATCATCTATCAGTGTTGGTCTTTAAGGTACAGTATGTTTGTCTCCATCATCCCTCACTGAACTGAGGCACCTTTGTCCAGTCCAGCCGTCTCCCTGCAGCACCACCCAACACCTCCAGACTCTGAATGGCCACTTTGTGTTCCCCTTCATCTATTTTTTGCAACAAATGTTTGGGTGAATGAAAATCATTGCACGGTATTGAACTTAGAGCGGAAACAGAAAACAGGACGTTATTGTGAAATAGTGTGTTTCGTTTCGTCCTACAGTCTAATAAGGCATCCTGCTCCTCGGACAGGGCACTTCATTTAAGTGAAAACTACAGGTCCTCCTTACAAAAAATACTAGGTTAGCTGTGTTCCAGACTGGCAGCTGGGCTCAAAGGTCTGCACCTAGCTGGAAATTTGATTGAGTCATCCACATGTTTTTGGACTGATGGGATAGTAGTGGTCAGTGAGCAAAGAATAAGAAAAATCTGCATTTCAGTTCAATCATATGTATGTTTACAAAAATGCAGACCCATTTTTCATTTCATTTCATACACGGTAGTCTTGTGGGTAGCAATAGAAAGAGTTATGGTGTGAGTTGTTGATTTAGGACTGCAATTTATAAAAATCCACAAATACTGACTATAAATACTACTGAATATCATTTAAGACAAAGAAAAGAAGGAATTTTTTCCATTTAAGAGGCTGGATCTTGATCATTTTTGCCATTTTTGCTTTAAAAAAGTGCTTTGAATGGTCAAATCAGTGGTAAATCAGTACGAACCACCACGGTCAAAACAATGATAAACGCTTTTATTCAGGGGTCACAAACCTTTTTTCAGGTCCCTTGTTTGAATCCAAACTGACGTCTGGAAAACGTTTTTGAGTTTTGGACCCCATCATGTACTGGAACAGCTGTGTGTGCAGCCGTCCTGCAGACTCGCAAACATCTGTCAGTCTCTGCTGAACACACACAGTCCCAGTCGCTGCCAGAGCTCCTCCCAGTCTCCAGATCCCGGAGCCCCGCCGCAGTCGCTTTCCTTGGAAACTCTGCTGCTGGATTCTTGTGGCGACACGCACACACACACACACACACACACACAGGGACAGACAGACATTTCTTTTTATGTCATCATTTCCCCCTGGATAGATTCAGAACTTCATATTTCTCTTACCACTGATTTATCTAATTACATTTAAAAGCTTGGCAAGCAGACCTGACATTTGGCCTAATTAATAAAAGGGTTGTGTGTGTGTATGTGTGTGTGTGTGTGTGTGTGTGTGTGTGTGTGTGTGTGTGTTTATGACTACAGTATGTGTACAGGCATGCAGTGTTTTCAACAGAATCCGGCTAACATATGAGCCGGAAATAAATGTTCAATGTTTAGACAACATACAAATTGTCAGTAGTTTGACAGTTTTGTCAAATACTTAAAGGGCCATAAATGAATGTTCATGCTCAATATGTAATTCAACACAGACAAGAAGCCGTAAAAGTGCTATAAAGACCACAGAGCTTGCATGTCAACAGATTCATCTCCATGGCAACAGAGCAAACTACATCCACTGATGAATCATCAGCCCTATCATTCAATAGCTTCTTTGCATATGACAACAGACATCGGTGCGCTGTCCAGCTGGAGGGCAGGCAAGTGGAGGCAAAGATTATAAACACAGCCAAAATGCCGATGATTAGTGCTGTTTACGGCTGTTCAACTAAATCAGGTTACAAGGGCCACTTCAAGTCCTAAAAACAGAAGGACATAAAGGGGAGAAGCTAAAACAAAAGTCACTGAGAAACAGCAGCAAAAGTGGATTAAAAACCTCCACCTTCAGTCTGTAGGAGCAAAGTTAGTCTCTATATAGGCAAACCCCGGAGATCTTGCCTCCGGAAGAAGAGCGGAAGAGCCCTGGTTTCCGGTTGTAGGCTGTTTGTAGTCTGCGTGATATTGACCAATCACGTTTGAGCCGGCTGCGGTTGTTGCTAGGTTAAACGGTCCGTGCGGTGAACTAACAAGGCGGAACATAATTGGTGTCACTACAAACTCTGAATCTATCGCAATGGTTCAGCATATTTACTTTATTTAACGGAAATTAGCCTCCTCTGCCCAAATCAAACCAGAATGCCAAAAAATCAGGGGTCTGCCCCCAGAGGCTGTATTGCCGTCTGGCGTAAGTCAGACACCGAATAAAGCCGATGGGTTCCAAGAATGGAGCAAAGTCAACTAATGTCAAACGTTGCGTTAATCATGCAACGTTTTTAGCCACGAGCCATGGTGTTCCACCAGACGTCTGAGAACGGTTGACCCGCAGGGTAGAAAATAGTAGCTAAAGTTAGCTAATGTTACCTGGTAATGTTAGCCTGACAGCATTGCTTCCATGTACAGAGTTGAAATATAAAAGACAGTCATACTTTAGCATATATATTCACCCGACCAAAAACAAGATGGCAGTCGTTTTAGTCGTAGACCCATCTGCACACAAAATAGTCACAGTCTGCTAGACTCTTGTACACGTACGATTCCACCTAACATTAGGCTGGCTGAAGGAGATCGTGGCAAAATTTGTTTGGCTAACCAGGAGAGGGAACGCCCATCGTCAGCTGACTGGTGGAAGTGGTATGGGAATTGTGTAGGGATGCACCGATCTAATATCTGGATCGAATATCGGCCCCGATATCATCGAAATAGATGGATCGGGTATCGGAAAATGCAACCTATACCTGAGGTGATCCTTTCCCTTTAAATCTATTGCGACGCCAGCTACGTCATACATCATGGAGCGAAGGAGAGAATCTGCTGTGTGGAGGTATTTCACACTATTTCAACTGCTGTTGCACAATTGTTTACTTTTGTTAAAAATAAATAGTACATCATTGCATTAATCTGTTTCATCTTGTTTCATTTGCCATCAATGCCTGATGCCTCTAGGCTTTTCTGTTCTACGTGTAAAGGTATATAGCTTTTTAGGTCAACCATGGTATCAGATTGGTATTGGGTATCAGCTGATACTCAAAGCCACAGCATCGGGATCCGTATCGAAACTGAAAAAGCTGGATCGGTGCATCTCTAGAATTGTGAATGGGTATAGAATAAAGAAAGTCTTCCTGATTGAAGTTACACTGAGCTTCATTAGTAATGTTAGTAACGTTAGGAGGTCTGGAGGATAAGGTAATTTGTAACAATGATGGTGTCCACAGCTGCGGGCAAATTGATCAAGTTTTTCTGACGATACCCATCACCTGAAGGTTCATCCAACCCTTCTATGTAGTCTTCCTCTATATCCAATTCATTCAATATATGGATTTATCACTTTCTGCCCTACATATGAATTTTGTGTGTTACAATAGTTACGTGATTGCAAGCAAGCTTTGCTAAACATTATTGTTATGAGCACTGAACTTATTCAGGTTATAGATGTGGATTTTTGTGGATAATTAAGTATTAAATGTTGTATTTATTGCATTTTAAATGTGTTTTGATTGGCTGCTACCTTGGCCAGGTCTCTCTTGTAAAAGAGATTTTCAATCTCAATGGGACTTCCTGGTTAAATAAAGTTTACATAAAAATAAAAATAAATAAATAAATAAATATTTCACTGACAGTTTTTTTTACACTACTGGTTTCCCAAATATGTGTGAACACTGTATCCCCAGATTTTGATTTTGATTTTTGTAATTTTTTTCAGACAAACCAAAGAATCAAAATGCTGTCCAAGGAAACCACATATTTCCAAATTTGGTGAACTGAAGGATGAAGTGTTCCGTTATGGGTTGACAAAAGTCTCATATGTATTTAGCAAATTAAATCATTAAAAAAAAAAATAGCTAAAAGAAAAAATGTCCTAAAGCTGAGGACAGAGCTGTTTGTCTTAGCATGTGAAATTCTGGAGACATATGGTTTTATTTGGACGCTGATGAAACCAACCTTTATGGGATGAGATAATCCCATTTAGTCTTAGTCCCATTTAAAAGATTTAGACGAGACTGTTTTTCTTAGCTCTTGAAAGGTTGACATTTTGGAGTAACATGGTTTTCTTTGGAGAGTGAAATTCTTCCCAGACTAAAATAAAACCCTAAAAACATGAATTATCTGTGATGTTATCCCTCAGTGTAAAACTGCAGAGTTCACACAAAGAGTGGAAATGGGAGGTGGGAGTAAAAACAAAGAGGTTTCCTGTTGTTTGGCACGAGAGGAGAGACATCCTGAGCAGGGCACAGAGAGGAAAGACAGCAGGCAGACGACTCGGATGTGGTTCCCATTTATCTTTTAAGTACCTGGGATTTTCAGCTTCTGTGTGTTTTCTCTCATTCACACTTCTAATGGGAGATTCCTGCTGCTGCTGGATCACATCACATCTGAGGGAAGCACCAGGGTCAGGAGGGAAAGAGGAGTGAAAGAGAGACAGAGGGAGAGAGAGTCAGAGGGAGTTTTGCTGCTGAAGTGAGAGCAGAGTTAGTAGGAAGCAGAAAATGGGACCGGTCGCCACCTCGCTCGCTCTCCTGTGTTTATATTCTCTGGGAGTGTGTGTTCCTTCAGGGACAGCCAACGCTTCGCCGACACAGGTCAGGACTGTTTGTGTGTACTGTATGTGTGTGCTTAGACTCTAAACTGCATTTTTATTGGAGATGTGGCTGTTACTGTTGCATGCCTGTTTCTTTGGGTAAAACACTGAATCCATTCACAATGTTCTGAGTGTATGCAGTGCACTGTACATGTGTGTGGGAGGGAGTCAGGTCTAGCTAAACCAAGCAGAAGATAACAAACATTGAGATAAAGTTTGACAAATATAATGCTGAGACAGCTGAGGTGCAAACAAACCAGACATGGTGAGGATAATAATGGTATTAAAGATGGCTATTTATGATAATACACCCAGAGGAACAGGTCCATCTGGCAAGTTTTTCCTCTACTTAGACTAAAACACCCATCTCTCCCTGCCAGTCCCTAAGCCTCTAAGGGAACATGGTGATACTGATTAGTAATAGTAGGCATACATGGTGGCTAGACAGATTTTTTGACAATACTAACAGTGGTGCACCCAGACATTTTTCATTGGGGTGGCCAGAAGGGGCCACTGAAAATCTCAGGGTGCCACACCAACACCAGAAGTCACAACTGAATTTCAGGAATTCAAATGCTATTGAGTTTATAGGCTAGTTGAATACTGTGTCAATATGGAGAGTTAAGAAATTGAAAATATGTACGATATATTTCGGTTTCCTATTTTACACTTAATATTATAAAATATATGTTGTAGATAGACTAACACCGGTACAGTTAACATTTTGAATTCCACAACAATCCAGTTTTAATGTGTTACGTATCTGTTTATACTGCATTCACGTTTGGTGAGTCAATTGTTTCTCAAATAGGCGGGTTGTTCTTTTCCTCAAAAAGACAAATATACAGCTTTAATGTGAAGAAGTGTATCGATTGTAAGAAGCAAAACCATTACAAGGAAGCCTTCTCAAATTTAGGGGAAACTCTTGGGTACCCACAGCACCCATTTTCATTCAGAGAGTTCAGTTTGAAAATGGCCATGCCAGTTGTTCCCTCTCCAAAATTTAGCCTAATTTCGGAGCGTTATTAAGCCCCCTTCCAGAGATGCTATGTCTTAGATTCTCTGCCTGAGCCCGAACCTGTCCTGGACCCGGGTCCACGGGCCCCCCTTGATGGTGCCACTGGCCGCACACATGTTGTTGACAGTGACAACATGTGTGTCAGCTTCGTCGAGTGTACCAAGTGCAGCACGATGCTGGTATATGACAGCAAAAAGATGGGAACCTCGACACTTGAGAGGCACATGGCGAAGGCTTGCCATGGAAAGAAAGACGTGAGTCAGCCTTCAGTGTCCACATTCATATCCTTAAAAAAAAATGTCGGGTTTAAACTGGGCTCGGGTTCATTGTTGACTAATCTGTCGATTTTTCTTTGATTAGTCGACAAATCATTTTATCGAAAAATGTGTTAAAATGTTGAAAAATGTTGGCCTGTCTCTCCCAAACCCCAAAATTATGTCATCTAATATCTTGTTTTGTACTCACGCCAAAGGGTTTTAGTTCACCATCATGGGAGAGTGTGTAAAGCTGCCAATATTTGAACGTAAGAAGCTGCAATAAGAGTATTTTGGGGTACTTTTATAGTACTTTTCTATGAAACATGAACCAAACTGATTAGTCAACTACTAAAATAGTCACTGATTATTTTAACAGTTGATTAGTCATCGATTAGTTGACTAATCGTTGCAGCCCTACTTCACACTAGCTTAAACAAAAGCAAGCCACAGCTACTTAAAGACAGTAATGTTGTTGGGGGGGGGGAGGGGGGGGGGATAGTAAAGGTAAATACAAGATTGCAAACATCCTAAAGACAATAAAGATAAAGACAGAGTAAGCTAAACATATGTTTCATTGTTCTATTCCAGGAGATGACATTTACATCAGATAAGGTACAAACAAATCTACACAAAATAGACGTAACAATTATTTCATTACCCAGACAGTGTGCTGCTGCTTCAAGGATCCTGCAGCAGTGTGCAGTACGAGAACATTTTGTTACCCATGCAGCCTCTTAATCTAGAGGGAGTAAATAAATTGAGCTCCCTCATGTTTGGGGCTAACTGTCCTTATCTGTTTTCTTCTTGTGAGACAATGTTGACATCGAGGCAGGTCTAGATATGCACAGAGAGGTAATTTGCATTTTGGATACAGCCTTGAGTAACTTGTTTGAGCATCTGTCGCCCCGTTTGTGATTGGTTGCTGGGAAGCTGGGTTTCATTTTAATCAATCAGAACTTAGATGTGGTGAAAACATTGTGCTTTATGCGTGTGTGTGTCTGTGTGTCTCAGGCATCCCCGCCAGAGGTGAAAAAGACGAGAGGGGACGTTCCTGATATTCTTCCAGAGCCTGAACCAGAGCCAACCAGCCCAGTGTCAGACTATGAGAACTCATACAACTATGTCTGTGAGTCTCCACATTCAGATCCAGTTTAGATTTAAAGCTTCCTTCAGTATATATAAACACTATGACATTAATGTGGAAAATAACTGCATCATATACTAGTCTGAATGAGCCTTATTGCTGTACTTCAGAGTTGCACAGTAATATTTCAAGTCCCTTTTTCCCTCCATTGTACCCCTGCTGTACTCTATTCCATTTTATTCTGTCCCTCAGTGTCCAGATTAGCAGGTATGGACCAGGCCATCCACAAGCTGAATGTTGGTCACTACACACTGGATGTTAAAGTCAGCCAGTTGATGGACCGTCTGATCAGGATGGATGGTAAATCTTCCACATTTGTTTCATTGTGGCTTTTTTCCCTTTCCACCAGTCTTTTTTCACTCCTCTGATCTTTATTTCCAACACTTCCATGAAGTCAGACAGTTTCATTGCACAATGGATAAATAAAGGATACATGTGGCGCCACCCTCTGCCAAAAAGTGGAAAAATCAGCTGTGGGATTCTAAATTCAATTTAGTATCTAAATTTAGTTAAAATTGCACAGGGCGAATGAAGCAAGGCGAATGAAAATAAAAGTGAATGGGATGAACTATATTTGGTGTCCTCCATAGACCATTGCTACAGTTCAATCCCTCATAATAAGATCCATTCATTTATTCATTTTCCATAACTATTTATCCTGTTAGGGGTCATACTGGGGTGATACATAGAGACAACAACATTCACACCTACGGGCAATTTAGAGTCACCAATTAACCTGCATGTCTTTGGACTGTGGGAGGAAGCCGGAGTACACGGAGAAAACCCACACTGTCACGGGGAGAACATGCAAACTCCGCACAGAAGGGCTCCCCCACCCTGGGGTTTGAACCCGGAATCCTCTTACTGAGATTCATAAACAATATGGTTCTTTGTAGGAGATCTACATATATGGCATTCAGAATATATCAGTGATTCAGAATCGGATTTAGATTGTCTGCACATTGTCTGCACATGGCTCTAAACAGGGACTCACATGCACCAACAAGCACGCATAATTGGACCGTCTACCACAACAAACCACAGGGAAGCTGGGATTACAGCAAACAGAGAGAGCGTGACTTCATTCTCTGCTCAGGACGCCACTGCTCTTATATATCTTTACATAGCAACTTGTGTTTTGCTGCTATATTAATCCTCTAAATGTCGCATACTTAACGTTTAACTTAAAAAAAAAAAAAAAAAGTCAAGTGACAATGCCGTGTTCAGAATTTCATGTCTCTTTTCTTGCTCCCCATCACTAACATTGCAGCTAAAGTTGGGGAGCTGGAGGACAACATTCGGGAGGTCTACCAGCACAGCAAAGACAACCGCAAGGAGATAGGAAGACTTGAAGGTATCTGTTAACTTTCATACAAACATGACTCAAAATTATGCTAATTTAGCTCTGTGTCTGCTGTGTAAAATAGGCAACAGTCTGCATATGTTCACCATAAACTTTATAAAGTGATAATGTCATGGTGTGTTTAGTTTGTTGTGCTGCCCCCAAGTGGCCAAAAAATGTTAATGCATGTTTTAAGACCAGGTTAAGTAAAAATGTTCTAATATAAAGATGTTATAAAGCATCTGTCTTGCTTTTCTTGTTTTGTAGCTTGCCAGAAGGGACACCGGATGGGATACAAATGTTATCTTGTGTACAATAGCCATGAGGACTACGCTGGAGCATCCAGGAAGTGCATGGAACGTGGTGGCCGCATGGCAATGCCCCGCGACCGCAGGGAGCAGGAGGCCCTCGCCGACTACGTCAAGTCGTTCTTCCACCCGGGGAACTGGCCCGTCTGGCTGGGCATCAACGACCTGCGATCTGAGGGCATGTACCTCTTTGACGACGGGACGCGGGTCTCATACTTTCAGTGGCGCAAACACTTCCTGTCCAGCCAGCCGGACGGAGGTAAACGGGAGAACTGCGTGGCGATGTCGTCAGACGATGGCGACTGGTGGGACCACTACTGCGATCGGACCATGAACTATCTGTGCGAGTTTGATGACAGGGTGGCACTTTAAAAGGAACTCTTTTCTAGATTTATTCTCTCACAACATTGACATCCAGATCATTAGAAATAAAAATCCATTATATTTTCAAATAACTTATTGCCCCTTTAAATGACACTTTAACGTAACTGGACTGGTTGTATTCAAACGGTGAGGAAGTCTTAAATTCTCCATATAAAACCTGATGTGATAAATATCAAGTATAATTTCATTTCTGTATGTAGCATTGTTTAAACAGTGTCAGTATATTTTAGATTTTCAAGGTGGAACATACATCCCCAATGCGCACAAACTCATATATTGCTATTCAGGTTACTGAATACAACTACATCAACTTATGTTAGTACCATAAATATTATGTTATTCATGCAGCTGCAGTGATACGAATGTAAACCAGTCAGGGCTCTGCTGTGATTTCATGCCTGGAATTCTAAATATTTGTCCAAAGTTTCCAAAAAGGGAAAACATGCAAAGCTGGAGGCCCTTTCTTGAGAATCAGCACATACTGAACCTCTTGAAGATATAAATCAACATGTGTTTGGGCTTCACAGGAATTAGGCAATGCTTCTCTGTTACTCCTGAACTCTGAAGATATTTTAACAAAGTCTGGTACCGGCTGGGACTGCCCTGCTAAACTGCTGATTCTTCAACATCTCTGACCAATACATTTTTAGAGCTGTAGTCGCACTCCTGAATCTCCTTTCACACACCTAAATGACACATGATTACTGTATGTAAATGTATTCTGTCCTACAGTATGTAAAACATGAAAGTTGTACATAAAAGGCTGAATGTAAATGTTTTTCATAAATCTTTACTAAATGTTGACGGGATTTTCAGCATCATTTTCTGATCAGTCAAAGAAAGATTTGCCTCTGACTGGTTATTGTTTGAAACCTTTCAATACAATGCTGATACCAAACTTATTTCTGACACCTTACTTTGACTAATATGGACATATTTTTCTGCAGAAAATTTTCTGATTAAACAAGACACCAAAGTCCTAAAATGTCTGAATATGATGAAACAGCACACAACCCAGAAGGCTAATTTTTATTTTTCTAAGGTGGCGAAGGCATGACCCGCCCTACTTCGTAGGTTGGGTTGGTTAACACACAAGGAGTGAAATTGGTTAGGGAAATGAAACAGACTGTCAAGGGAGGCCAATCAAGGGCAGATTAAGGCAAAGTAGGGCGGGTCATGCCTTTACTGTCCTAGGAAAAAAAAAACATTTGCGGCCAGGAAGAGACATAGGTTCGAAAAAAAAAAGAAAAAAAAAAAAGTACAAAACTTTTTCCAGGTTGAAAATATCAACAACAAAAAAAGGTCAATGTACTTCCAGGTCATTTTGGCACCATGGAAACAACCAAAACAACAGAGCACACACACCCTGGGAGAGGTTTACAGAATTTTATTTTGAGATTAGCCTCAATCAAGACTTAAATCAGTGCTATGCAAGTAGGCACGATTTTTACACAAGTGAGAGACATCTGAAGAGAATAGTTGGTGCAAGGGGACACTCGTCACAAAGTATACTCTGACCTGGCAGCGATGAAACCATGCCCAATTCTGCATGACAAAAACCTCAGCGTGCTTACACTGGTCCACTGACATGTACAGTCGCTTAGAAAATAGCATTATGGGGCACTGAATTTAAATTTAATGTTTATCAGAGCACAAATGAGACAAGAATTAGCTAGAGAGCAGGCAGCAGCTTCGCAGATGGATTTTCAGTCAGTGACTGTGGCAGCTTGTATTCAGCCATCACAAACCCCAGCGCCAGGTGTGTGCTCCTGGACCAGATCTAACTCCCACTGCATCCGCAAACTTTCTGTTGCTGCCGTTACACAGGCTCGACCCAGTGCTGCTGCTGGCCACTGGCCTGTGGGTATAACAACTCAAATTCAGCCAGCACAAATCCCAACACCGGGGGTCACAGTCGGCTAGTGGCCATCATCAGTGCTGAATTTACCCGGTGTAATGGCAGCAACAGAAACTTTGCTTATCGATGATGTCCAGGATCAGACTGACATTTGTGCTGACTGATATCAAGATATGAAGTTGCTGCTGACTGAAGGTCCATCTCCAGAGCAGCCGCCCGCTCCAAGGTAGTCTCCTTGTGGCGGGGAGTGAGGCGGAGGGACCGCTGGGTGCACTTTCACAAAAGATATTGCTCACTAATGTGAAATACTAACAAGTACAGAGAGTGGGAGTACTGTCCGTTGCTAAGTGCAACCAAGGTCAAGTGCCTCAAGCAGATGGCAGCTGCAACTAATGATGTGGCCTCGTATACTCCCACAATGATTTAATTCATGCACACAAACTAATCAAAACTAGGGAATGATTGAATTAAATTGAGGCCACAAACTGTATCTCAGGCACACAAATAAGTAAATTGTGGCCTCGATATTTCCCAGGCTCTGTATAACGGTACTAGACCTTTGTCTAAATAAAATTAAATTGGCTACATTTTGATTTAAATGAGGAACAATCTGATGAAACAGCAAGAGAACAAGATAACACATCTGACCAGATATTCAATTTCATTTTTGTGGTACTTGATATTGAACGATACTCTATGCTACAGCAAATGTTAGTCGGCAACAAAAGGCACTGACGTTTAATATCGAGTCGTATTCATCAGAAATCCTGAGCTGGTATCCTGAGTGATTCTAACATCAAACTGCTCACAATTCATGACAAATTGCTTATTTTATTCATAGATATGAACAGATCAGATTGGTAGAACAGCAAATACATCCGTTTTTCTCCTCTACAATCTCAAAGTGCAGTTTTATCTAAATCTGTGTCTGTACTGAAAAATGATTAGAAACCAAGGATGCAGCTGCAGCTTTCATCTGCACCCTGAGCAGCCACATGGAGGAAAATGAGTCTCCTGCAGAAGGCAGCGCAGTGGTAACATCAGAACATGATTTCTGGGTAATAGAGCAATTTGTCACTTCCAAAATTAAGAATGAAACCCATCTCTGCCAATTAAAACTGCCAGAATCCACAGCTATTAAGCAGCTGTGGGTTTTGGCGGTCTTAAAAGGAAAGCCTGAAGAAATGCCACACTGTCTAACAGCACTGATTACAGTAAAATTTACTAAAATCTGTTTCTTTAAGTTAACAGTATTTATATTACATAAAATTAACTGTATATTGAATTACACTGTAATCCAGCAGAACCACTTGTTTAAAAATGCTCCCATAACAACACTGACACAGCGAAGGAGATCAGTTGTCTTTGCTTCATAGTTCTGCATCGGTCACATTCCTTCATGGTGACATGAGTGTGAGACATGACGTCATAAACGTGAGTCAAAGAGCTGCTCTCCATCTGTGGTGTCAGTGATGTGGTACAACCCCAGGATCAGTGTCTCCAGTGCTCACAGCTTGGGTTCCACATGACAGTGTTTCTCTGTGGACTTGGAAGAGCAGCTGGAGGAGTCCACAGCCTGCAGGATGGCCTTTACCGTCGGCCTGTCCATCGGGATTTTAGATGGATGACATAAAAGGACCTTCCCTGCTTCATCCAGCAAAAAGTCACCTCCCATCTGAAAAACGTTAAAGATGCATTAGCTAGCGAGTGTAACGTTACAACCAAGACAGTCAAACGCAACCCCGGATTTTTAAAACTCAGCCGGAGTCAGTGATGACTGATGAGTTTTAGTATAAGGTTACAGTGCTAACGTTAGATAGTAGCGTTAACGTTACTAGTAAGTGGAAACACACAAGGAAGATAACGTTTATGTTTCAGAGGGGGATGTTACGTGAGCGGTAAAGTCAGTTGGAGGCCTCCACGTGGGGAAGACAGACAGGACGCTCGGCCAATCATTGCATTCGGTCTGAATGAGTTTTCATCTGTGGTGGAATTCACTTACATTTTAGTGTGCCATCTGCTTATTAATAGCATTTTAACCTAAACAAAGGAAAGCCTAAAATTTCCAGTAAGGTAAATATGGCTTTAATTCAAGTAAATGACAGTTACCTTTACTATCATTGCAATGAGGCCCATAACTTCATAATTTTAGCAGTAGTGCCACTTAGCCCGCATTTTTTTTTTGAGAGCACAAAGACCACATAACAGGGCATCAAGGCAATGAGTTAAAAACATATTGATATCACTTGAATGGATGAATCCATTTCTAAAAGCATGAATGCCTTTTTTGTAAAGAGCATATCACTTCTAGGGAAATAAAAACACAATTTTGAGTAAAAAAAAAAAAAAATTTACTTCAAAATGTTGTTTTTAAAAAACAACATTTTAACATCTTCTGGATGCAGTGTAATGAGGTATAGGATATGAATATATATAGTGACTTATACTTAAACGGCATCTATAAGCACATATGTGAGACAGACATACAGGAATCAACTTTATGACCTGTAAATAATATTGCATTATTTTAAGGCTGTATCGTGATACACGATATATATCTTGATATTTTGAGATCTCCACTAAATTACTGTAGACTACTAAAATACTAAACTACTAAATAAACTATAGTTAAAATAACGTTACATTAAGTAGCTATTGTTATATAATAAAGTTAAACAAAGTACTGTCATAATAAACTTAAACCTACTGTTTTCATAAACCTAAATAAAGTGTTTGATTAAATAAATCCAAGTGAAACCACTGGTGAGATGTATGTCTTTTTTCTTCTTCTTGTGTCTGTGATACCCCCTTTCCACCAACATGGAACCAGTTTCATTCTGGTTCACACACCTTATTTTGAACCGTTCAGAGCATTACAACCTAAAATAAACTGGTTCAGAAACAGAAAAGTTGGTTCTCAGCTGAAACAAGCAGGTTTTCCATGACCTGAAGAGCAAACTGTGATGACATGAGCGAGTGTATCATATTCTGAAGGTTGGAGAAGATGGAGTAGGCAACAATGGACATGTCAAGTGAGAAATAATCATATAAAAGAGCTTGCAGTGGTCTCATTAACAGTTGATTCATGCTTGTTTGTTGGGTAAGAGGAGTTTGAGGAGTATCAAGGGCCATGGCCTTCGTGGCCACCATGAAATTCCTGCCCTGATTACAGCCATCTCAACAAGTCATACTGTCTGTTATTAAGTCCAAATGATGAAAACCTTCTAATGCTTTAATTGGAAATTAAAGTTGTTTTGAGATGCAGAGGTTAACATTTGCATAAACTGCACTATATTTGTTGGTCAAACCAGAATAGGGCAGTTATGAATCAAAGTCTGAAGGGGGGGGGGGGGGGGGGTAACAAGGAGTTAATCAGGGGATCACAGCTTATTTTTTGACCCAGAGTCCCCATGGCATAAATCGGGCCTGGAATATTGGCCCATATTTCCATGGTTTACATCACTGATTCAGGCCCTTACATCAGCACCTCAATGTCAAACTATTTCCTGTGTGGTCCAAGTGTACCTGGTAGATATCTTCAAGCAGGCGAGGGGGAACGTCAGGGAAGTCTCTGTCAACAGCTCCATACTCTGAGTACTGCAGCAGACAGCCGAACTTCATCACCTTGGCGTAAGACGAGCCGAGGCCAAAGCTCCTGTATACCTGCAGCAGAGACGATGTCTACTGTGTTTGAAAAAATGCACTACTGTCTGCAAAAATACATTTTGGCACTTTTATATAATCAAAACTATGAAGAAAAGAAGATGTCAACAACTTAATCAGTGTCTTCACATACACCCATCCACACACACATGCACACGCCGTGATTGAGGACTGCTTCTGTGGCATGTGGAAAATCTGCTGTCTTCATATTTGGTTGATTGCCCTCGTTTCCGTCTCACATCTGCTAACATCTGGTGGTTGACTTTTCAGAATGAATGTGTGAGAGGCTTCAGCTTACTGGACTTTCATGACACGTCATCAAACAGCTGCTAAATCCTCTGGTTCCATCAGCTTGTGTGTGCTGAGTCACAGCCATGTCTAGTTTCAGGCACCTGCCCACAGCCACTGAATATACGTATACTGAGAATATAATATAATACAGGCACAGATTTAACCTGCTGTAGTCTGATTCTTTTTATTCCAAATTCGCAGACCAAGACAAAGCCTGGTTTTCTTTTAGAATTCCCTTAAAGGAGCAGTGTGTAAGATTTAGGGTGATTTAGTGCCATCTAGTGGTGAAGACTGCAGACTGCAACCAGCTGAAACTTCTCCTGGTTGGAATTCCTTCAGTGTTCTTTGTTCAGGAGGTTTTTACTGGGAGCCTTATTATCTGCAGAGGTCTCTTACTTTCCAAAACCTGGTGATTGAAACTAGTAGAAACACTGGATAAAGCGAATTTCATTTTATATATCATTTTTTTCCGATGCAGCTCGTCGCTAAGGGGCTGCTAACTACGGTGGCCAGTGCGAAATCGTGAATGGCCCTATTTCTAGCCAGTGTTTGTTTTGTCTGTTCTGGGCTACTGTAGAAACATAGTGGTGCAACATAGCCATCTCCATAAATGAGGACCTGCTCCTTGTGCAGATATATACGGCTCATTCTAAGGTACACTTCTTATTTACAGGTGACTTTACACAAAAGAAAACATATTTATTATATTATATTCCATTTCTACCAATGTATCTGCCTCAATCCTACACACTGGACCTTTAATTTCCTTATCACTACAATATCCATATTTACTGGGTTTCAGTTAGTTGCTTGGGGTGAAAACACATCCTGACCTTCCTCTGTGGATCCAGCAGCATGTCAAACGTACATCCAGTCTGCTCGCGCCACACCTGAGCTCCCTCCACACCGCCGAAAGACACCACCAAGACCCTCACTGACCGAGCCTCGAGGTCAGCCTACAGATACAACACCAAGTTAAACGAAAAAATAAATAATAAACATGAACAATAACCCATCCTAAGAATTTGCTTTTGCTCTGAGGATCTGTCATCCTCCCTTTCCCACATTTTTGCTCAACTGCGAGTAATTTATTTATAGAAAGTGAATGGGCAGTGGCTGCAAGGCCATGGAAAAAATGCTGGAAGCCTTTGTAGCCAGAGCAGAGAAAAAAAGATTTAGGAGTCCTCGTGGTTAAAGGAATAGTTCCACATTTTGGGAAATCGACATATCTCCTCATAAAACCAATCTTAAAAATTAACTACAAACTACAGCTGCTAAATAAATAGTGGAGTAAAGAATATTTGCTTTCAAAATGTAGTGGAGTAGAGGTATAAGAGTGCATAAAATAGAAATACTCAATTAGAGTACAAGGACCTAAAAATAATGCCCAAGTACAGTGCTTGAATGAATAGCTTTAGTTTCCACAACTACAAGAAACCCAAACCTTGACAAATCTGCCATGCCTAGTTACAGTTGCTAAGCTGTGGTTGTACAATCTGAGGAAGTACCCACAAGACAAAAGAGATTAGAGAAAAGTCTGGAAAAGTAAAGGCCAGTACAGGTTGGGGGGTTATTATGAAATAAAGGGACTGTTTTTGTTAATCAGCACAAAAACCTGTTTTGCAAGACTGAATGTCACGATGACCCTGTAACAGATTAATATGGGTCAAAGTTGTTTTCCAAAAAATAAATAATTACCATCAGATTGAAGATGAACTCACCTGACTGGCCTCCAGCTCGGCCACGTGGTCTCGTCACGGTAGTCATCCGAAGTGTCTGATGAGGACCAGCAGCAGCTTCTGCCCCTGATGCAGGTACTGACCCAGAGTCACGCTCCTTTAACACACAACATGGAGACAGCTTCAGACACAACAATGACATGGCAAAATTTTATTCAATGAAACACTTAAATGTTGCATGGTGAGAGCTGATCTTTGTACCGATGAGTGGGTATTTTTGTAAATCGGGTTTTCCCCTTCCTTATTCTCCAAAAACTTTCTGTCCAATCATCTCTGTCCAAATGAAAATGCATAAACACAACTGAAGCACCTTCCAGAACACTAACCCTAGAGCTACACAAAGAAGAGGGAGAAGAAGAAGAAGATGTTGGCCAATCAGCAGCCTAAAGAAAGCAATGACCTGAAGGCTACCAGGAGCAGTGAACTCTGTTCTGACTCTTCTGTTCCTCTTTATACTGAAGAGTGACTGTACATTTACATGTAAATGTGTTAAAAGTCATCTTAGCAAGGTCAGAACCAGCAATAGTTTGCCACTTAGCAAAATGTCCCCTCATTTGTGACACCTCACAAAAGGAGATGACGGCACACAATAATAATATGAGTCACAAAACTCAATTTTCCCTGTCTATACATCACACTGAAAATGGAGTTTCTTGGACAGAGTTTCACAAATGGTTCGTTTATAGCGGGTTAAAACACAGTTTGCTTGTGGACAAACGGCCAAAATGCATAAAAAAGGCAAGTTTATAAAAATATCTGTGTCCGCTTATCATGTGGACATTTTTTTCATACACATTTTTGTTTTCAGAAATATCTGTATGCAGTATGTGTAGGCAGGGCCTTAACTGACAATAAAAGAACACAAACATTTGAGGTTTGGTTATGACCTGCAGTGCGTCAACTCACTTTCCACTCTTTGCATCGGTGAATGAAGTGTCAGGGCTCAGGCTGTCTGCGATCTTTCCTCCTGACAGCTGTCTATCTGTCGTCTGCAGATCTCTGTCCACACTCTCCAGGAAGGAGTCCCACTCAGTCTGAGAGCCAGAGACACACACATGGGTAAAACTAAATCAATCCCAGGAGTCAAACAGAGTGGTTTACAGACATACTAAAATTCAAAAATAATGTAAAAACAAGAATAAAACATACAATAGTGATATGGTATGCTACTATTTTAAGCTTAGATTTAGTGATATTTCCTGACAGGAGAGTTCATCGGGAGATTTGGAAATCTGACGATAATTGCTGTTTTTACAGTTTCTGGCGACAATAAATGATGTAATTTTGGTCATTTTTAAAGATAACAAGCCTTTCAAACCTGGTTACAGGTTTTTGGGTTAGATGGTATATAAAATAGCTACAAAATCCAACCGCTTAAAGTTGTATGTCCCTCCCATAAACGAGACCAAAAAAAAACAAAAACAAAAACAAAAACAAAAAAACAAACAGAAGTCCCTCCCTAGTACTTGAAAAAATACATGAAATGCCTCCCCCATTTTGCACAACCCCTCCCCCCTAATAAGTAACAAACAGTCCCTTATATTAACACCAAACCACTGCATACAGTACTGATGTGGACCTTAATTTTAACTGTGTGCAGTGTACAAAACATTTCTATAAACCTGAATGCTTACTGCTGAATTCGAGTCAAAATATACAGAATTAAAAACTAAATTAAAGGCAAAACCTTTCACACATACAGACCTCCAGCTGCAGAAGTCGCTCCACCTGCTCTCTCACTGCTTCATGGCTGGAAAAATACAAAGATACTGTGAGACAGACGCATCAACACTCAACACTGAGCATTAATGAGCAATAACACAGTGGAGTTACATGAGTTCAATGTCAGGATAGGAAGTGACCTGGATCTGAGCAAAGCTTTATGGTTGTGAGTAAGACTTAGGGCAGACGTTGGTAACCTCTACTATCAAAAAAGACATTTTTGACCAATATAATCTGACCTTTACATGAAAGTAACGCAGCCTATTAGGTCTGAATTAGCCTATCAATATGATTAACAGGTCTAAATGAGCATTCATTAATATGCTTCACCACCAGGTGGCTCCTCTGCAGTGGGCTCTTTATTATTATTATGTACTTGAACTTTGCAGCGTTGACGGTAAAAGCTAACAAACCTGACCACACACACTTTTAAATTCTCTATTTTCCTCCAACACTTTTCCTTTTTTGGATTTGGAATCCATAGCTAGCTCAGTGAGGGAGATTCAAGACTAACTACTGTTCTTGAGGTTTAGCAAAATTTAGAGGAAAATATGCCAGGCCATAGATGTATACGTTTCAATTAATGAAAAGTTATAACATTTTTCTTAACTGGTGTATAGGCTAAATAACCATTATTTATTTACATATGTTTTTGTCAAAGCCACAGGGAGTCACTGGAGAGGGGCTAAAGAGCTGCATGTGGCTCTGGAGACTGCCTCCCAGTGCCTCAGGGAGAGTTATCATACCTGTGTTCACAGCCCCCCCAACACATACCATCAGAGGGGTGGACTCCAGTTATGAACATGATGACTTTAGATTCGACTTGGCAAAATTAAAAAAGACTTGTACTTTAACACCAATGGCTTCTTGGTGTCTTCGACCTGCCTTGGTCGCTGGCCATTGAGGACGTTCTTGCAATGCATTGTGGTATATTTATGCTGGCGTAGTGTCATGTGTTTGCTTACAGCAATATTTCAACAGGAAACAGTATGCAATTCACTTCCTGTTGGTTTCATACCAAGGTTTCGGACATGCCAAAAAGATCTCATACTGTTTTAACTAAGGATAGACCGATACATCGGCCGGCCGATATATCGGGCCAATATTTGAGTTTTTTACTTGTATCGGCATTGGCCGATACGTGCGTGGGTTCGCGGATTTATTTTTCCCTGGCATGATTTACAGATAGGCATCCACGGGCAGCTCTGTGTTGCCGGAAGACCCTGCAGCGCACATGCAGCGAATCCTACTGTGTACAGTAGTTGTTGTTTTATTTATGCTTCAGCTTAAATATTTGTTTATTTTATAAAGACATTACTGGAAGATTTAAGAGCACTGAACTCTTTTTTTTATTTGAATGTATAATAATAATAATAATAATAACAATAATAATATTCTACCTGTTCTACCTCAACTTTCCATCTTGTTTTAGTATTTTTTACTGTTCAATAAATGTTTCTTATTTTAAACTTGAGACCTGTAATATTTTTTATCATTGTGTCATTTTTTTTTATGTAAATTGAGGGAGCAAAAGCAGTATCGGCCCCAAATATCAGCTCAAGAAAATCGGCAGTCCATAATCGGTCATCGGCTAAGGGTGATGGAAAAAAATCGGTATTGACATCGGCCCTAAAAAATCCATATCGGTCTATCCCTAGTTTTAACCTACTAAAACATGTTAGTATGGAACTTTGGACACAGTAAATGACTCTGCCCCACCTCTGCAGACTGTTTTTATTAACTATCATCATCATTTGATATGATTATATACCCATACTTACTGATAAGACTTCTTCCAAATGTCCTCTGCTTCCTTCTTCTTCTTCACTCCGAGGCTGCTCAACAGTATCAACACACACAGTTATTCAGGTCATTTAAATATAGTAACATCTTGACTGAAACAACAGATTGACTTTTTTAACACTGTAGCCAGTGACATTGCCTGAATGCTTCCGTGACTCTGCCTCACCTCTTGTAGAAGTTTGCTCCGGCTGCGATCAGGCCGAACAAAGTGGTGATCTTATGTGGGACAAAACTCTCCAGGGACTCTGTGTGAGAACAAAGGGCCACAGTTATTGTTCAGGCTGATTTGTGCAGTGTCATAGTGTTGGCATCAAGCATGACAGGGATTACATTACAACACCTTCGCTCCACTGACTCCATCACACAGAACTCACATGAAGCATGTGCTGCAGCCAGCTTATCAAATATTCAAAGGGAGACTTGAGCATTATAATTAATTATATCACAAGTATACACAAATGCAGCCACAGCTTAAAAGTATGTAAATTGATTTATGTCAACTAGATTTGATGTATTGGGGTAAAATCATTAAAGCATATATTAATCTTCTGTGTGTAGATAACACGACCAAACAGTTCACTCAACAGAGACATTATTTTCTTCACTGCTGGTCAAAACTTTCTAATCCCCATCAAGAGCTTGATTTGGGTTGAGTCAGATGCCTTAGAGGCTCACCCTGTATTTCTGAACAGTCTTTCATGCTTTTAGGATGTTGAAAGTCCCCTTTATAAATAGATGTAATTTTGAATAAAGGGTTTGGTTTGGACATGGAGAACAAAACGCTGTACAATGGTTCAACCAGACGAAGCTACCTCTACATACCTCGACATACATACGTAAATACCTCTGGGCAAGAACTTATCAGTTGTCAATAAAAGCAACTTAGCTTAGCATCAAAATCAGGATGTCTGCAGGTATCAGACACTTAACTTTAATGCTTTCTTAGACCTTCCCCAGATAATTTTTAACCAAATATAAAACTGACTTTAGACAAATCATTTTTCTATTCAAGCATTGCAGGTAAGTATAAAGTAAGTAGTATATATGTGGTCCCGTGCAGAGGTAGGTTTTATGTAGTAATATGGTTATTAGAGTGAGTTAGGTTAAGTTACATTTGGCCAGCAGGTCAGTGCAAGTATAAAGTATAAGGTTCAGTGCTAGGTTTAAAGATTTGTAACATCCCAAAAGTGGACTTTGACACAGAAGAACTGGACTCATTTTGTCAGAAAGAAATTAAATGATGGATAAATTTAATCAGATCAGATGTTTGTGGCAATTAAGACTTCAAAAATTCAAATGTAAAACTATTTAATGACTTCTAAGGCCTAATATTTAGAAAATTTAATTTAAAACATTTCAAGACTTTTAAGGCCATGTCACAGAAATAGAAAGACATCTCATTTTATTTTAATAGTACCAGCAGAACCCTTGAAAATGTGTGCAGATTTCAGTAGGAACAGGTTATTGTTTCAGGGTCCAGTGCACAATACTACCAATTACAAGTTGTAACTAACAGGCAACATATTGCTTTGGCAAATTATTCTTCAAATTTCACAACAGAAGGTTAATCTGGGGTTAACACTGTTGGAAACTGATCAGGGAATATTAGCTGCATATACTGACAAGCCACAGTTTAAACCTATTCAATCAAACTGCTGAGTACACTGCAGGACGACCAAAGGAAAAGGGCTTCCCAAAATATTTAGAGCTCAGTTGCACCTTTATTATTCAGTAAGATAAGATGAGATGAGATAAGATAAGAATGCCTTTTATTGTCAATGCATCATTAAAAAAACACAACAAAATTAGGAGTGCCACTCCTGTAAGGCACTTGCCGTCAAAATCCTCCATACATTCAACCATCCACTCCTATATAATAGACAATAAATAGGTGTACAAGGTAAAAAAAACTACACATAGTATGTCTGTGAACATTGCATGTATATTTTAGTAAATTAATTACAAATATTACACATAAAGCGTAGTAATTACACTCTGTTCATCCTATGTATTTGATTTCGTTCAATGTCCTTTTTGCTGTGGGAAAGAAGCTGTGTTTAAGTCTGTTTGTACGGATAACAGATGAATAAAGTAAGATAAGATAATAGCCTACTTTATTCATCCAGATGGAAACTGCTGTGCAGCAGTTGCAGTACAAAGTTGGAAGAGTGGAAAAACAATAGACAAAAAGACAAAAAATAAATATGTTTCTGAGGTAGTTAGTGTGAAGAGTATGTGGTTAATACATAATGTTCATTATTATGTCCATTATATGTCATTTACTGTCACATTATTGCACATTATGACCCGTGGGTCAGGTGTGAATAATGGACTGGACTGTAAAACATACTGAAAGTCTAAGCTCAGTATTCTTCCCTGTTATACAGCACTATGGAGACACTGACTGTATGGAAGCAGGCCAAATTATTGAAAATATAAAGAATATATCTGGTCCCGAAGTTGTTAAATTAAGAAACAAAATCTCTGTAAAAACAGCTGTTATTAAAGGATAGAGGAAAACCTCAATTCAGCAGGTGACTCCAGACTTCCTGTCTACCTTTATTATCTAATTTTCAATGAGCTCTGTGACTCCGGGTGTATCCTTCCTGTACATGAGTCCTACCTTGTGCTTCCTGCTTGGCTGTCTGTAGAAGGACTGTGCCCATGTTGACCAGCAGAGTCAGAGCACCTGTTAGAGTCTCCTCTGATACAGTCACATCCTCAGCCATGGTCACCGGCTCCTCTCCCACCTGTACGGGACCGACACACTGACACTGGGGCGGAAGCCATGTGAGCTAAAAGAGCAGGCTGGTCACGTGACAAAATCATGTGGCGCTAAAGCCTTGGTTATTGTTTTTTTTCTCCCTAGGATGGTGAAGGCATGACCCGCCCCACTCTGCTTTACTCGGCCTCTGATTGGCTGAAATATGTTCCTCCCACGAATCTTAACCAATCCAATTAAAGAAGGTACAAGCAGTAGCCAATCAGAGGGAGCGTAGGGCGGGTCATTCACAAGGTTTGCTCATTCAGCATTTATGCAACACGTGGTTGTAAGCATTATCATGTGGAAATCATGAAGAAGAAGAAACACACAAGTACCACTTAAATTCGTGAACTGAATTTACTTAAATACTTTTAAATGTGAGAAGAATTTGAGTCATATTTACAGATTAAACATTTTAATGCAGTAATAATGTTATAATCCATGACACTGCATATTTTATGAGTAGGGCATTGTGATTCAGAACATTTTCTACAACTAAATTGTCTTAAAGCTGGGACTTACATATTAAATAGTTATAGTGAAGTCCCCATATATCTTTAATTACTATGTGATAACTACTTTCATCACTTAGGGGTCAATCACAACCACTCAACAAGACTCAGCTAGACAAATTCTGTTTTTGTTTTTTTTTGTTAGGTGTAGGAATTAGATGGGCAAAAACACCTTTCTATATCCTCCTTTGATCCTGTGTCCTCATATAAGGACATCACATTCTGGGTTTACTGGACCTTATTCATTATTCTACTTAGACTCACAAGTCAGTCTTTCGACACTTTGCTTAACTAAAGACTGATGACTTTCTCCCTGATTTTGTGTTTAAATGGGCGGATAGAATTTCAGAGTTTCTTTCATGTCTATGTGTAACATTGGATATTGTATGTGTGCACCTGTCACTCTTGGCAGACTTGGCATAGCAAATAAAATGTCTAACTGAAGGTGGCTACAGCGCTCAATTAAAAATTGACTACTGAGGTAAATTCTGAGATACTAAGTTAAAAAAAAAAAAAAAAAAAAAAAAAAAAAGATTACCAAGAAATGGACAGAGTCTGTTAAAATTGTCAACCAGTTTTATTGACTGCTGAACATTCATTCACTCATTCAATAAAAAAAACCTCCCCTCCTTCAAGTTTCAGGCTTTAAGAGCCCACCGTAGCACTTAATGACTGGGTCACCCAGTGCAAAACAACAGAAAGAAAATGACGACCAGTCAGCACAATCATTGATATGGAAAATAAAAAGTGACACAAAGCAGACTAAGGCAGGAAATAAATTAGATATGCCGCTGAGAAGATCGATTTGTTCTGACTTTGTGGATCTTATTAAATGACAAAATAAAGAAACTGGACATTCAATTACAAATTGACATTGAAATTAAAGAGAAAAAGTTTGTTCATAAGACTAAATACCTTTATCTGCTGAAATTGTTTCCTCCTTGTGCTTAAACCAACGTTGGTGAGTCTTTAAAAATTAGGCAGCAGCTGCATACACGCTAGTTTAGCCTCAATATCGCTGAAGTTCTTTTGTTTCTTAAGGTTGTAAACATCACTTCCATTCAGAGTAAATCATTTCCCCTCACATATCACCCCAACAGCTTCAGTTTTATGATCTGTATCTGTGTGTGTTCAGTTTCCATGAAACAGACTCATTCTTTTAAATTAATAAATGGACACAACAGAAAACCAAACAAGAGATTTTAAAATTTAAAGCCAATTAAATGTCTCAATGAAGATTTCCGAAACCTTTTCATCCACTTTTTTTCTGGACCAGGTTTTCCCCAGATAAACTGTGATCTTGACAAGACAGAGATGAGGCTATGCAAAGTTAACTTGGTCACATATGTCTGGACCAGGGGAAAAAAACTGATGATTAAGACATTTGGAGATATATGAGCTCTCTCTCTCAAACTATTGCTCTCAGGTGTCTCAAAGAACGGCTCATACAAGCAAATTTAACCCATGAGATCATAAGAAAATCCAACTGGCATCCGATGCAAGCTAAAGGAATGATAGCAAAGACGATAACAGTATGTGGTGTGCTTTTACCCATAACTATAATTACTCCTCTACGAGACCCAACAGTCAGAGATGTCAGAAAACATTCAGGTTTTATATCTGTGGCCAAATTTGGAGACAAATATCTATTGAGTACATGACAAAATGTTAGATCTTCTTATAATTATCATAATTATAGGGCACCTATTAAGATAGGGTTTGTGATGACGTGGGCGACGTAACAATACATTTATGAGCTTCCTGTATAACTGGGTTAATTACTCAATCTAACAGTCGTGTGAGGGAGGATGTCGGAGAACAGAGCCGGGTTTGAGAGATAATTTGATACCAAAATAAGATGAATTGTGGCTTTTTGAAACCAAATAATTCTCACCACTTTATAGAGGAAAGTTCTCAGTTCTCTTCAAGACCAAGAGGAAGAGTCACCGCCTGCTTCCCTAATTCGTCAAGTGCCACTATGAATTTAAAATGCAAACCACTACCATTAAAGCTAAGATGCTTGTGGAGAACTTCCCACTGCTATAAACAACAGGCTGCATTTACTCTTTATTTATTTCAATGTGAGAGATACGGCCTGACTCATCGTGATGTCGCGCTAACGACAATCGCTTCTAGGTAGACAATTGGCAACTGATTTGAGTTGTGGAGATATGTTAAATCAGCCAACTTGTTTATTTCTGTTGTCATTTTCAGCCTTAACTGTAATGTTTAAATGTTTAATGGATTCTTTGGTGCTCATTTTATGAAGTACTGTGTGGACGGGGGCCAAAGCAAAACATATTTTAGCCACCTAGAAAAGTCAATCAGTTCAAGTGTACGCTATATTTGGAATACTTTCTCTGCTTCACCTTGCACACTGACTGATCAAGGCAGCGGCAGACCAGCAACTTCAGTGTTCAGTAACAGTAAAATTACTGTTTTTGTCAATGGAGTCTGGTGGCTTTGCGATAACGGCATCAGTTCCCTGTTGTACAGGGCTGTCTGACAGCAAGGTAGAGCAGTTAAAATATTCTTAATAGAGCATCCACTCTAACTGATACTGATTTTTTAGGCAGGCCTTCTTTAGGCATCTAAAAACGAAGCAGTGTTTGCTCAAAACCACTTCATTTTATGAACGCAACGTGGGGGTTTTCTTGCCAAAGTTTACGTTTATAACAAATATTTTGATTGGTTTACAACTGAGTGCAGCATATTACCCTTATTTGTTAAGTCTTTCTGCCACAGTACATAGCTAGGTAGACATGAAGCTAGGGCTGCAACTAATCATTTCTATTACAAATTATTAATTGAAAAATGGAGGGATTAATCGATCAGCCTTAGGAATAAGAAAAAAATGTTGGCCATTGCTCCTTTTCCAGTTTTTATAGACTTGAATGAATTCTTCGGGGATTTACTGTATCCTTTTTTTTTAATTCTTAGCCCAAAATAACTGTTTCATATCGTCGTATAAGAATATTGATTTTGCACTGATGATCTGATATTTTCTTGTTTCTCAGTGGTGTCAAACTGAAAATGTAAAGAAAACTATGAAGCAACAAACTACTTCCAAAAATATAAGAAAATGCCCCACAGTCCAAGAGGATGTCTTCGAGTTGTCATTGTCCTAAAAACAGCCAAAAACCCAAATTTATTTAATTTAGTATAATGACATAAAACTCAGAACAACAGCATGTTTGATATTTTTGCTTGATTAGTCATTAAATAAATAATCTATGTTTTCTGATGGTCAACTAATGATTAACTGACAAATCTTTGAGGACTTACTGTCACAAAAAGCAACCAGCACCTCACTGACAATTCTCTAAAAATCTCTGACTGTTGCTCTCACACTAGTTCAGCAGCCAACCCATCTTAACACCAACCCGTTATTGGTCACGATAAAAGAAAGCGGGGTTCAACACCCGATAAGAGAAGTGACACTCCTGCAAGTGTCGAGAAAACTAAACAAAAGAGACTGCTTCAAGTATCCCGAGTGGAATTCAATAGCCCTGAAGGTTTTGGATTTAGAATTTTCTTTTTAAATCCCAGAACTCCTTCTCTGCTGATAGGCTGGACTCTGAGTGCGTGTATGTGTGCTCAGTGGTTCAAATTAAGTTCTAAAGTGCCAATTACAAACTAAACGTAACATCCAATTTAAAGTTCAAGGTAATCTAAAGCTGAGATTTAACCATGACAGACTAAGCAACATAAAATTGTTCATGCTGATGGTTCATGAGAGGCACTGTGTGCTTCAGCTGGCCTATAAAGCAGAGAAAAAGAGAGGGTGGACAGAATCGCTTCTGCATCCCAAACTGTGACACCAATGTTCTCTGCCGTTCTCCCCAACAGCTGGAGTGTGGAAATATTAGGACTGATTGAAAGATGTGTTGTCACAAGCACCATAATGTCAGTGTGTTTTGTACCTGAACAAACGTTTGATACAATATTGAGCTTTAAAAATTTATACAATTTGACCAAATGTGTCATATATTGTTTTAAAATAATTAAGAAGTGGTAATAAAAAATGTAGGCCTGGATGTTGCCAGTTGCGGGTACACCAAGTGTTGAACTGGATCCCAGGAGCCAAATATTGCAGTCTAACAATCAGAGGTGGGACTAAGTCATTGCTTGCGCAAGTCACAAGTAGGTCTCAAGTCCCGAGTTGGGTCCCAAATCAAGACTGGCAAGTCCTGGTTCAAGTCCCAAGTCTTAAACCTTGAGTTTGGAGACCTAAACAAGTCACAATGCACTTTTCACCGAATGTAATCCAAAAAGAGTAATGACATATTAAATTAAATGCTTTCCAAATTTTGTATTTATTGTTAAAACAGACTTATTGGAAGTTGTTGCACCTCCAACTGTAATTTAACTTTCAGATTATGTCGACGACAGCACAGTTTTTGTACGTAAATGAATTTTTCTTTGGAATCTTTTTTTTCCAACTGGCAGTCAGAAATGTAAAGTTAGTTCTTATTGGTTTTCTCCTACAACCTGACTGGATGCAGTGGGATTGGTTCAAGCAAAGCGGATCATTTGGGGAATTAAGTGTTGACTTGCTGGGGATTAATAGGTTATGTTATGTTAGGCCTAACTGATTCAGGAAATGATGGAAAATGAATTTATTTCATGGTGCACTTTTTATTCTTTGGGCTTGCAGGAAGGTATCAACTATTTTCAAGTGAAAAAGCTCAATTCCAAGTGAAGTCATGAGTCATTGGTGTTAAAGTCCAAGTCAAATTCCAAGTCGTTTTGATTTTGTCGAGTCTAAAGTGATCAAATTTGTTTGAAAGTCTAACTCGACAATTCACAGGTGTCCCATTGATGGCTGCTCTGTTTGTCTTTTGTTGTGATGTCTAATTTCAGGTTTTGTGACATAATGTATTCATAAGCCACCAGTATGAGTGGTGTAAGAACTCAAACTATGAGTCATGTGTGAGGGAGGATGACAGAGAGCAGAACAGGCTTTGAGGATGATTCAATACCAAAATAAGATTAACTGATCAAATAATTCTCGACCCTTCATCGAGGAAAAGTCTCTTTGAAATGTTTTGAATTTGTATTAATATCAGCTCAGTTCTATCCAGGACCAATCTTCTTCCCAAATGTGTCAATAACACTATGAATTTAAAATTTAACCAATTACCATGAAAGCTAAGATGCTTTTGGAGAACTGAGCTCAGTTTAGTTTGGGCTGCAGAAGAAGACATTCCCTTTGTTCTGTCCAGTGTACGAGCTCCATTATTAAGACTATCAAATACGCTTCTCTCCTGTGTAGAAGTTGTGTTAGGACTTCTTTGGACAGTGTGAAGACGAGTCTGTGTTGAGAACCTCGATCATTGTTCTGGTGGACGGGAAGGTCTCTGCTACAGACGGAAGACTCTGGTACCAACCTGGTAAACTGTTGAGGAAGAAACGTATTAAAGAAAAATAAGGGCTCCGCCAAGCAGAGGAATAACAAACTAATAGCATGATTTGTTTTCTCACCTCTTGAGATTCATCCAGTTCTTCGCTGTTTTACTGAAGCTGTCTGGACTGGGTGTGGTCATGGCCTCGAAATCCACCAGCTGCAACAATATTAAACAAACACAAACACTGGTTAGAGGACACACACAGTGGGTGCATTTCACTGCCTCTGAGGCCATGTGCACATAAATAAAAAAAAATTTCTGACTCTTTATGTCTACCTCTCTAATAAGGCCCCTAGGGTGGCATTTTTTCTTCAGAGTGAATGTTTTGGTCAGGCCCCCAGGAAGAGTGCTGGGCTTTGAAGTCAATTTGAAAAGACCAAACCGTGACATTACAACTTTAGGGTCCATCACGTGATGCCATGGGGCCCAAAAAGACTTTTTCTCTTAGACTTACACTATTAACAGCACATCTGTAAATCGATGGATTCACTTTTTTGAGCATCACAACCCCCACAAAATGATTTGTTTTATCGGGATTTAAACTCTATGGTCCAATAACATTTTGAAAGTCCAGAGGGAGCAATTAAATGATTTCATCCCTATTCAAGTTAGAGGGCTAAATCAGAAGCTAGCCAGCTCGGCCAGCGAAAGTCCCTAGTGCGCCTGTTCTATGGGCCCAACAATGCAGTAGATATGAGTAATTCTATACACAGAAAATCAAACTTTTGAGCTGCACGACGTTGTTTCTGAGCCAGACGGATTTTAGCATTGTCAGGGTTTGTTTGCCTTGCAGATTATAGGGGAATGCAAGGACTGATTATGTCCCGATCAACTGCTCCAGACCAGCCGTCGGGACATTCAGATGATTTTCTGACATGTTAGAAATTTTGGTCAGCCATCGTCAGGCCCTTGCACAGTTAAAGCAGAGCTACAAGTCGATTCCCCCAAGATCATTGCCTCTTTGTTCACTGCGCCTGTCCGAAGTAGCAGACGGAGCATCTGTAAGCAAATACAATGCTCTGAAACTGCAATGGCAACAAGACTGGTCATATGGACGGAAAATATGGAAGCCAGGATGGTCAATCTGTGGCAACAGCATATGTTTCAGCACACAGGATGGCACAGATTATCAAGGCAGCTCATTTCTGCCTTGTTAGCATTATTGTGAACCTTACTGTTACTGTGTAACTTTCAACTACCTGCCTCAAAGCTTTAAAAAAAAAAATCTTTGTTGATCATTGTCAATAGCCAGAACAGTCTGCAGGGGCTCGCGGGCTGTACAATGTGAGCACATACAGTGTGAGCTGTCATGTTGTGAACTGACAATCATAAATAGCAAGCTTCATCTTTGCATCACAGACGATTTACTTGTACAGGAGGAGTTGGAGTGTATACCCAGCTTTAGGTAAAAAGTAGTAAGGGAAAATGTTAAGAAGTCAAATTTCTCTTGCAGTATGAAGATAAAGTTGCCAGAAATTCAACTACCTTGTTTGCAAGCAAAACTTAGGTTTGGAAAGGCAGAATCGCAGCATGTACACCAAAAAATATCATTAAAATGAAAAGAGTGAAAAAGAAAAACTCTATTTTGAACTCATGTCCTCACTGGCAACAATATGTCTGCAGGTAGGCTCATATTATGAACAGTTTCATTGTGTTTGTTCTCTCTTTTCAAGGTTTTTATTCATTCATTAAGACTCATAAATCACCAGACATTCCTTAGTCGACCGAACAGAAACTTGGACATCACGGGGACACTTAACAATGTGCCTGGCTGAAAAAAAGCTGACCTCAGCTGAACCTTTCCTGAGCTTCAGCTTTCTAACACTTGATCAAATTTCTGCGCTGTCTTATTTCCTCCCAATGGGATTTTGTTTCAGGAACAGTGTGTCTGCTTGGCCGACTCAACGTAGGTCAGAATTTCAGCCAAGTTTCTTCTTCCTCCAGACGGCTGGAATGAATGTTACAAACAATCGGATAGGCTTTGTATCCACGAGCGGAGATGATAGCAGGCTCTTATGTAACGTACACCTTTCCTTTGGACAAAGGGACAATAACAAGAGTCACTGATCCTCAACTAGTCTTTAACTGAGTGTATTGTTTCTTTTCTTTGCTCAGACATGGAATGCGTAACAAGAAGCTTGTTGGAGTGATGGATTTTTTGTCATTTTGACATACTGTAGGTGTCCCCTCTGTAAACTGCTTTATCCAAATAAAGAGCCATGCGCTTGCTGTGGACCTTACTTTAATCTGATGGCATTTTACTTAGACTTGTACCATGTTGAAAGCGTACGTTAAAGTCATAACAGAAATTCTCCAAGGTCAGACCATGTAAGAGGTGCATGTCTGGAAGGGGCTAATGTTTACCTTTCCTTTCGGGATCCTGCCAATGACCTCTTTGCCACTGGCCATCAGTGCCCCCATCACGACTGAGTAGGCCACCACACTGAGGAGAAGCAGATCAGGAAAACACCTTTACACACTAGTATCACCATGACAATTAAAACTTGTTCTGCTCTGTAGCACGCTAACGGTAGAACATGCTGTTCTTGGAACATAAATCAGATGTCAACTGTAAATTACTGTTTATAAGAGGAGTTTCTAGTTCTTGCCAAAGGCTGTCTGACTCCAACCATAACCTGTAATTATAATGCCTCGCACAGTAGTTGTACCTGTCACAGATAGGGTTGCAAAAGGTCGTAACATTTCTGGAAAATTTCCAAGCAAAGATTTTCTTAATTTCCATTTTAAAATCGTGCATCACAGTGAACATACGTGGGGGAAATACACATAAACGAAGACAAATCGAGCGCCCTGCAGAGCAGCGTCCACGTCTCCTTGATTCATGGACAGCCAGGTAACGATAATGTTTAATGTTTGCCCTAAGCTTCGGCATTGTTTGTCACTGTTGTGAAATTAATCCCCAATAAAAACACCTCAGTACAGGCAGACTAATTTAGGCAATAACCCACAACTAATTTTAACAAAGATAGAAGAAGGCTAGTCTGGCATAAAACCACACCGTCTCCCTCCAACTCTCCGGCTAATTTGGTTTCATTAGCTGCCTGTGGCGAGCAGAGACAGACGCTTATGTGCTTTCCCACTTCTACACGTCTTTATAAACCAAAACTCAACTTGAAATATTGTTTACACCTCCCATACAGCCGCTTTGACTCGAACAATTCTGACATGCGTTTTGGTGCTGGATGAACACGCCATGCGCAAAGAGCACAAAGCTGCAGCCGCTGCAGGTGTCTGTTCTCTAGGAATTATTTAATTAAATTATTTAGAAGATAGCGGTTGGTTTATTATTTGGTTGTATTTGACAAATTACTTTGTCTGCTTTTGATATGGTTAAAGGTTAGTTTCTATCTGCAGCCAACAACTTCTCTGTAGCTGTTGTGCATACAAAAACAACTTACACCACTTCCTAAAGCCCCCCAAAATTCCCGCTAATTCCCATGGAAAGCCGCCAACTTGAATATTCCTGGAAATTGTCAACCCTTGTCACAGCAGATTACAGAGGACCCCAAATTCTCTTTCTCTCATGGGTAATTAAATTGTCAAAGTGTTAAATGTTACCTGGATCCTCTGGAGAGGGGCATGAGGTTGCAGAAGTAATAAACCAAGGAGAGGATCAGATTACACACAGCGTCTGCATCCTGAAAAAACAAAAGTCATGACAGAGAGTTAACTGTAAGGTCACAAACCGGCTCGGAGCGAGAGTTTCTACAGACGTGTCCTCCATTTTTAACTTCTTCTTCACTGTGTACTGTCTTTGTTTAAAGCAGAGAGGGCTGCAGGCTTAATAACGAGAAACAAGAGTCTAAACACAAAGAGAGGTTTTTCATATTATTCCAAGTATCTGTTTCAGGTCACAGTCAATAACTTTGTGTAGCTGGTTCACTAACAAGAGAGGCATTGTTGGGTGTCATTACAGCTATCAGTATAAATCAAGTAACAATAACAGAAAGCTAAACAACAAGAGATAGTGAGTCTTGGTTGTACAGGCAGAGTATTTATTGATTCAAAATGCTTCTTTCATGGTTTTATAATATTTCACTGAGTCGGTTTTTCCCAGCAGTTAGTCTGAAATTCATCTACAGCAGCCAGCTGGAGAACACTGTCAGCTCTAACCTGCACAGTGATCGATTTGTAAAATAACTCCAGAGAATTTATTAAATTCTCTTCCTACTTTTCCTGTCTAGAAAAGTAAAATCTGGGGTACTGCTGCAGAGGGAAAGACTGTAAGGAGAAAATCTCAGTTGCAAAATGTGTCGACTGTTGTCAGATGCTTAACAAGAGCTGAGTCACTGATGTTCTGGCTGACAACTCGAGATGAGGTTAAATATTTCACATGTGTAAAAGACCAGTTCACCATTTTCCTGTCTGTGTCTTGTAATTATCTGTCCTCCTGCTGCAATGACCCATGAAGGATGATTTAAAGGATCAGCTCACTCAAAAAACAAGTCTGCAATAGATGTAACTGCAACATAATCTGACACTTACAATTATTTACCCTATTAATCAATTTATTTACTGTACAAGAAATGTTATAAATATTGAAACATGGCCATTTTTCTGCCCAAAAGCCCAAGTCGACATCTTCAAATGTCTTGTTTTCTCTGATCAACAGTCCAAAAACTAAAGACAAACAATTTACAGTAATATAAAACAGAAAAAAGCAGATAATCCTCATATTTCAGAAGCTGGAATCAGAAAATATTAGCCAAAAAGTTTGGCGATTAACTCTCTGTCGACTGACAATTCAAAGGATCTTCTATTCTTTCAGCTCACATCTTATTTGTAGAGATTAAAGGGAAACACCCCAAATGTTGGTGAAGATTCTCAGACTAGCTTGAGTTTCTTGAAGACATTTCACCTCACATCTAAGAGGCTTCTTCAGTTTCTTTCAGTTTCTCTCTAGAAACTGAAGAAGCCTCTTAGATGTGAGGTGAAACGTCTTCAAGAAAGTCAAGCACCACACACCAGGACAACCCAGGATTAACGGAAGTTTGTTTGAGCTGTTTAAAGCAGTGAAGACAATATCCTGCTGCTAACTGTTTGCATCAGGAACTGTCCACAAATGTAATGTTTCATGTCATCTCACAAATCAGAGTATTGAATGCTTCTGCTTGTTATGTGTGGAATGCAGAGATAAATCTTACCCCTAGTTCTGTAGACAGCATTAACGCCTTCCCTTTGGCGGTGAGGTCTTTATAGATGGACTCTATCTCTGACTGGTACTGCTGCGTCCGCTCTTCTGTCGTCTGCGTCTCTACTGAGAATAACATGTTGCCCACCCTAAAACACAGAAACCAGTTCACAGGTAGAAATAAGTGGTCACTTAATCTGCCATTGCCTGCTGTATTAATGAGTTCTGAAACACCTGCCAACATTTACATACATTTTTATTTGCAGCTAATAACCCATCCTGGCATTTGATAAACAAAGGCTGATACCTAAAATATACTGCAGGAAAAAGGGGGAGACTGTCATTTCATTTCACTGTACCTGTCTCCAGTGATGGTGATGGTAAAACCGTCATACTCTTTCCCATGATCCTTCACGCTCGGCACCTTGGAGTTGACCGTGAAGCCATCTCTGGTTTTACTATTGAACTGCTTCAGGAAATAAACACACAAACAACCATTCTAGGTTTTCACTGATGTCGCTTCAGTGCTCTGACAGTAAAACATTGTACGTTACAAACTGACTAAATGTCAAGCTTGAGTTATTTCTTTACTTGGAAACATCATGTAAGAAAACAATCTCAACTCAAGGCCCTGGCAGGCTTCCAGAGAGTGAAGCCTAGCTTGTCTCTATCGATTCCCCCCATTGTAATCCACACTGAAAAATCCCTCTGTAAGATGAACTGTTTGTTTAGACACAAAAATAAAACTGGTTCAGTATAATTGTCCATTTTGAAAGTCTAGTTATCAAAAACTCTCCACTTGTCTGACTGCCCGCACATTATAACGTCCAAAAACTCACCCTATTGGCGACATTATGAAAAGGTGGGTAACACTTTACTTGAAGGTATCTACATAAGAGTGACATGACACTGTCATAACTATGACATGACACTCATGAACTTGTCATGAACATTATGTACATGTCATGAACGTTTATGACTGCTGTCATTAAGTGTCATTCGGTTTTTGTAATGACAAGTTGACATTGTTTGGGTTGTCTTGATTATGACAACTTGACATTAATCTAAGTGACATTACCAGACGATGTCTTTGTCATAACAACTTGACATTAACAAGAAATGCACCTCTTTTTGTGTTTATGACAAGCTGACATAATGATTATCATTGTTATGACAAAGCCATCTTCTGGTAATGTCATCCTGGTTAATGTCAAGTTGTCATAATAAGAACATCCCAAACAAATTTAATGTCAACTTGTTATGACAAAGACAACTTCTGGTAATGTCACTTTAATTAATGTCAAGTTGTCATAATCAAGACAACCCAAACAATGTCAACTTGTCATTACAATAAACGAATGACACTTAATGACAGCAGTCATAAATGTTAATGACATGTACATAATGTTCATGACAGGTTCATGACCGTCACCCTTATGCTGATACCTTCAAGTAAAGTGTTACCAAAAGGTGCCACCTGCTACTCAGCTCTAACACACTCGCACCGATGAAACAGCCATTAGGAGCAATTTGGGGTTCAGTATCTTGCTTAAGGATACTTCAACACGCAGACTGGAGGAGCCGGGGATCGAACCGATGATCTTCCGAATGGTGGATGACCCACTCTACTTCCTGAGCCACAGCCAATCCTTACATATATATAATTATACTCGCAAATGTAACGAATGGAATTATAAATGAGATTTTATGCATTTAAAACGAACTTTTTTGGCCTCCAGTTTTTAAAAAATCTGCGTCCATATGAGTGGTGTAATAAAAATACCTCCGTCCACATGACACCGCAAATTCCACTATCAAGCAATGTAATACACATGTCAAAGCAGTAGGTGGCAATATAAGGCCATTGTAGCCAATCAGAAGGCAGTAAAACGTCATTACCGGAAAAACAACAAGCGTACTATTATGCAGCAGGAGCAGTCTCCGTAATAGCACACTCTTGCGCCTCTGTTGCTGGATGTGGTTGAGTAGCGTTAGTTGTATGATACAGCCACAAAGTGCTGATATGCTGCTAAATAGCAGCAGTATTTTGTTTAGGTCCATCCTCAAATCGTCTCTCGCACACATTGGATCGGGTAATAACACAGCTGTTTTCTGTTTACATTGCACACTGTGACGTCATACAATGGAGACGAGACAAAATAACTGCAGTTATCCTATCCACACACGACTGCAACCGGACTTTTCCAAAAAGTTCACCCTGGACTCCGGTTACAAATAACTCCGGTTACAGGGGCCCAAAACTGCAGTTACGTGTGGATGAAAGGCCAAACCGTGAGCAAAAAGTCACAGTTTTATAAATACCTGCGTTGGTGTGGACAGCCCCTAGGACTGGCTCCTCCAATCCATTTACTTATTTCCATGGCAACTGAGCAATCTGCTAATGAAGAGGACCATGTGATACAATCTAAAACTTTAGAAAAACCACGACAGGGGACCTTGAGTTGAGAGTGTTTGATTTATAAACTTCTTTTAAATTGAGTTATTTTTGACATGCACACATCATCTTTGTCTCTATTTATTTCCATCTCAACCAATTTTCCTGCTTTTCGTCCTTACCTTCATTATAGGAAGCAGGTCTTCTACTTTATTCACATTTTCAAGGGCCTGTCGGACCTCTAAGAGTCCTCTGGGGTTGTACGCCCTGACACACAAAACAGGAACTTGTTAGTGACAGGTGCAGTAAGGAAACTCATGAGATAAAAAATATTCACTACATTTCCTCAACATGCAAAATTAATACAGCCTGGAGGGAAAAAGTATTTACATACTGCTAAATCGTAGGCAGCATACAGTAGGCACACATTACATAACTGCTGCCAAATAATCAGGTGAGACATGCTGATGCTCGCCATAAGTATGTAGATATCAGTGGGTCAAGGCCAGGCTGCCAATTTAGTTTTGTATGAATGTTAGTGATGGAAAGAAACTAAACAACTGGAAATACTGCAGCAACTCAGGCAGTGCAGGATTTTATGAAAGGTGTTTTTAAGTCACAGAAAACTGGCTGAAGTTTTGGTATAATTTACCCGTGGTACACCAGTATTCTGTCTTTGATGAAGTCGAGGATGTTGTCAAAGTAGGCCAGGTATCTGATGTTGATAATCTGTCCCCTGAAGCAAAAAGAAAAAACAGATGCTTTCATATGAAGATGTGATTTCAGAAACCAAGGCTACACTGAATTCAAAATGGAGGAAACTGGGTCAGATTACAAGGAATTCAAATAAATGTTTTCACACTACAAAGAGGAGAAAATCCCCACAGCAAGGCCACAAGGAAACTCAAGTTACTCGAGGGACTAACGAGAGTGTCTGATGCCGTCTTCCAGGGCCAACTTGTTACCTGATGAGATTGATGTGATTGTTGAAGCCCCGACTGAGACTCCTGGCGGGCATCTGGTCTAACCACAGGACTGGCTGGTCTGGATCCGCGATCCTGCGAGCACATGAAAAGCCTGCTTAGTCTGTCAACACTGGAATCCAATCAGCTAAAGACCAAAGACTCCTTAGTCACAGTTTACTTTGTTACACGTCTGTATGTGGTTTGTTTAATTTGATGCTATCGGCAAACCATGAGGAGGAAATAAAAGTGATTGACATATAACAGTAAAGAGATTTTAGCACGTTTCAACATCTGTCTTCTTCTTCTTCCTTTAATCCCGTGTGTTTTAGGGTCATTTCCTGGAGATGATTAGGATTCCACAGTCACTTCTGAGCTGCATTTAATTCATCTTGGAATATGAGTTTTGGTCGCTGCCATCTAGCCAAACTTAACTTACACTTGGGTGCTTAAAGAGTAACTCTAGAGACTAAATCCACTTTTTAATAGATGACGTCTACAGTCACTATATTATACCGTGCATTGACACAGGTCTATAGAGTTCATTACAAACAGATTATGTGGTAGTAATTCTGTCCTCTAGACTCCCAAAAAATTTATTTTTAATAGAGTCAATAAACATATACTCATTATTCATCATGTATTTTTCTGTTACCCCTGATGTGACCTAACAAAAAGTGGTGTGGTATTTACCATCTGCACTCCATCTGTGCTCAGGTGATGTCATGATGATCAGTAGATAAGAAACAATGGTATCAGGAACAGGTTGGTACACAGTGTTTTTTGAGTTTAAGAAACAATGGTGGTGTAGCGTAGGGAGTAGAAGGGTTTTTTGGGGGGAGTTTTTCCTTATCTGCTGTGAGGGTCCAAGGACAGAGGGATGTCGAATGCTGGTAAAGCTCTCTGAGGTTAACTGTGATTTGTGATACTGGGCTTTATAAATAAAATTGAATTAAATTGAAAATCAGAGGGCGTAACGATAGGAGGGCATTTCCAACTAGGCCAACAACAGGAGGGGAATGTGAACAACGTAAAAGGTGAATGTAATATTGAGACTGTTAAGTCAGCTCCTAAAACCAGCTCAGTTTTTGAGTGTAATCTTTGTAGACTCACAGTAAACCTGTTTCACCTTGACCTCTGAAGGACTGAACTGTTTATTGGGAACACAATCAGTGTGGGTAAAGGTCTAATGCAACTGGCCTGACAACAGATTTTATCGCACAGTATACTAGGCAGGATTTTCCTGAAAAACAATGTATTAAGTCATACAAATGTCATCCCTCTCAATCATCACTTATGAACCAATAGAGGTGTGTGACCGTGAATTTACCTTACTCTGCCCTCTGCCTGTGTTTTATGGTTATTCTTATTTTGCTGTTTTCCTGACATCAATGGGTGTGTTGCCCCCATCATGAGGTCGAACTTTATAATAAAGGTAGCATCCAAGAGGAAGCTATGAAAATTAGGGATTCAAATGCCCGAAAAACTCAAAAAAAAATCACCAAGGGGACAAAGCCTGGAAGGTGCTGGTGAGCACTGAAGGAGAGGATGGGGATAAACAGTGACGTAGAGTTGGCCTGTTTTCTGTTGGACAGGTAGGTGCTGGATTTTAGCTTAGTTACCTTGCTACAGTATCGGCTTTTCCATTACAACAAATGTAATAATCCTACAAGAACAGTCATTTCAGTGTATGTACAAGTAGTGTAGGCAGGAGGAGCCATGTTTGAATGTTGTGTTTACCTTTAAAAAGTCCTCACCTTCTCCATTTAACGGCTATGTCGAACATGTCTCTCCACTGCATTTGCCTGGTCTTGCCGTTGACTCTGACTTTGGAGTTGCTCCACGTTCGATGCATTGCCTGCATCACCTCCAGGGTTGCTAAGCCCATGGCTGAAAAAAAGCACAAACAACTCTGACTGTTTTCTATTGTTGTTAATACTTTAAAGTATCTCTATAGTCTACATCATTCACCGGTGGTACCTCTGTGTATTCTCCTATTTGGTAAGAAACCAGGAGTGTCGTATTGCATTAGCGCCCCCAGGTGGTCGGCTGTGCAGATCAGCTTCTGGACTTCACTGCTGTAGCTGTCGAAGTTCTGCGGCAGCACATCTCTGCAAAACCACAAACACAGAGAGACAAACTGTAGGGGATGAACTTCGTCAAAGCTTTCATGCAGTGTTTTTTTTTCAGGACTGGAGTGGAGTGAGGCTACCTGCCAAACCTCTGAAACTTTGCTGTAAAACAGAAGCAACAAGTTTCAGTCTGCTGACAGGGGCATAAAAACATCTGTCTGAAGAACTCTGGGGCGTTGATGTCATATGGAAAAGATGGCAGGTGTTGGCTTTCAACCACAAGACACTGTTTACTTCAGCTGTGGGCTCACGGAAATTGCTACGGTTCAGGAAATTAGGATAATGACATCCTGATTTCTGAGATGACGCACTTGAGGTTAAGTGCAGAACACACTTTATTAACTTCTATTAAAACCAAGTAACTGTATGAATATTATCTGTTATTGGCTGTAACATGCTCTCTGTATAAACAGTATTATTATATTAAATCCCATTCATATCTACAGCAATAACTTGGTTTGATCTCAGAGCAATATCTGCAAGGACAAGGATAAAAAACATCATTAGAGCTTACAGTAGTGAATCAAACCTACTTAATATGTGGCTGCAGGCCTGGCTGTTCTTCATAGTCTTCTATTAGAAAAGGCAGGTTCTTGGCCCAGTGGTTCTTAAAGTTCCCCGGTAAGTCCTGATCCACGTTGTACTCTGCTACTGGGATGTCGAGGTGGGAGTGCAGGTAGCGAGAGTACTCTGGTAGAGAAACAAAGTGGGGTAAAGCCAGGAGAGAATATAGGATTATATTATGAATCAATCAAGTTTTTGGTTAATACTCTGACTGACATCACTGACAGGTGAATTGAGTAACGTTGATCATCTTGCTACAATGCAATGTTCTGCTTGGGAAACCTTTTGTCCTGCATTCATGCTGACGCCACTTTACGTGCTCCACGCACCACAACACCGTTGCAGACCACGTACAGCCCACATAGCACTCACCGATGGCAGTGCCCTCCCCAGCAGGACAATGCACCACGCCACAGTGCAAAAACTGCTCAGGAATGGCCCCAGGAACGTGACAAAGAGCTCAAGCCATCAACCTGGCCACAAAATTCCCCATGTCCAAATCCAATTGAGCATCTGTGGAACATGGCTGAACCCCACCTCACAACCCTCAGGACTCAAATGATCCACCGCCAACACCTTGGTGCTAGACACCACAGGACACCCCCAGAGTTCCATACGTGTCCATGCATCAACAGGTCAGAGCCAAGTCTAATCCTAGGAGCAGCATGTCCCACAGATGTTCATTTGGCTTAGAATCTAGGGAATTTTGAGGCCAGGTTGATGCCTTGAGCTCTTTGTCATGTTCCTCGGGCTATTCCTGATGCGCTCCCCTGCTGGGGGGATGGGGGACTGCCATTTGGGAGTGCTGTAGGGGGTAACCTGTTCTGCAACAGTGTTTTGGTGGTTGCAGTGTGTTAAGTAGCATCCAGATGAATGCCAGGACCCAAAGTTTCCCAGCAGAACACTGCATTGTAACACGATAATCAATGTTTATTCATCCACTTATTAGAGGTTTTAATGTTTTGGCTGATTGGTGAAGATTTTCATACATGTAACTTTTTAATGTTTAGTGTTTTTTAGTGATTTACAGCATTTTCCTTTCTTCCTATCTACCATGTGTATATCTGTTGATCTGATTGCTGCATATAATTTCTCTTACAGGGATAAAAAAGTCAATAGTAACTGACTGATTCTCAGATCAATTCTTGATGACTGGTGGTATGTTGATCAAAGTTTTATATCACAAACGTCCTCCTACTTTGAGTTGATAGAAACATTGATATTCATGCAAATATCATAAGGTAGCTATGTCTCATTTTTTATGGTTCAACAAATAACACAAACTCCTAGATCTATAGCTAAGCCAACTACTTTAATTGATCGATTAAATGGTTTGAGTAATTTTTTTTCTTCTGTGACGGTAAAATGAATATCATCAGGTTGGGGACAAAACGAGATATATGAGGACGTCGACAGTTTAGACCAAATATCTAATCAGACAGATTAATCTACAATGAAAATAATTGTTAGCTGCAGCCCTACACTGTTGCTGTCATTACCTTAAGTATAATTAATTTAGAACTGCAAACAAACTCCTGCATCAAATGTACTAAAAACAAATCCACTCCTGACAGCCAATCAAAAGGATTTTCAGTAGCCATGATTTAAACTCTGGTGAAACTCTCTGTTCGAAACAAGCTGTAAACTGAGTAGTCCTTATGAAAGGTTTTACTTGTACATGATTCACCATTGACAATAAACTCTGAGTGCTGTGTCAATGATGCACCGACCTCTGAGGTATTTCACTTTGAGGTATTCAGAGCTGGCCTTCTGTCCCAGCAGCGGGTCGTTCAACATGACTTTAGTCTGAGCTTTGATGCCCTCATAAAACTGGCCCATCGCCACGTGACTCAGCCCCTTCATGTACTGGCACACCTCGTTGTAGGGCTCCAACTGAAGACATCTCTGGAGGTCGAATAGAGGGAGAGAAATTCAAAGGGATCAAAAACAGAAAAAGTATAAGTACACAGTTTAAGGTATTATACAGTGTTTTAGCTGATGAATTTGTGGATGCTACAATTTGTTGGTCATTAAGTAAGCCAAGGTGTAAACCTGCTGTTAAGGGCTGTACCATTTTTATTTTTTAGTCAAGCTTCAATGGAGGTTTCTGAATGAAGCTTCGAATGTCTGCCGTCATATATTGTGACATCACCACCCTAAAAAATTATAAAAAAAAACCTCAAATAAATCAAGTGATTCATATAATTAAATGACTAAATAATCTTCTTTTATTTAATAAATGTAATTTATGGTGCTGTTAGATTCCTGTTGATCCTCCCTGTTAATACAGATGCCTGCATGGAGACACTTTTTTGACTGCAGTTAAAATGATTTTGAAATGCTAAACACCCAAAAAATATGGATTGAAGCTTTATTTATTTATTTATTTATTTATTTTAAATTGACTTTTGGGCTTTACAAAGCTCTGGAGTCATTGGAAATGTTTGGCTGGCACGGGTCTGAAACACTCCTACACAGCTACCACTGGAATCTAATTCCACAAAAAGTATAATATTATCAAAATTTGCGCAGCCTTATAACTATCTGTGCAGAATGACTAGCATGCAGAAGAAAAGTATTTTGAGTATATATAAGATAGGACTGGACAACAATGCTGTTTAATTTAACTGTGGATTCCTCTACCTTGAAGTTGCCTATGGCCTCCTGCAGTGAGCCGTGGTGGTACAGCATCATGCCCCGCAGCTGAAGAGACTGGATGTGGTTCTGATTCAACATGAGGGCTTTCTGGAAGCTCTCCATCGCTGACTCAAAATCACCCAGCTCTCTGGAAAGAGGAAGAAGAGATACCAAGAAAGCTACAGTGGACATGTTGTTAGTGAGGCGGAGGGGAAAGGCAGGTAGTCTCAATTCCTTAAATAAATAAAAGACATAAAAGACGTCATGTAACCAGTGAATATCACAACCATGCTGTACCTGTAGGCCTGTCCAAGGCTTTTATAGGCATCTATAAAGTCAGATTTCAACTTCAGTGCTTCTTTAAATGTCTCAATGGCTTCCTGAGGGGAGAATAAACAAAAATCTTTTTTAAAGTGACAACGGGAAATTGCAAAAGGGGACATGTGGATAAAATTCGGCAGATGAGACATTATATCAGATTTATCCAGATCTACAAACTGTGGTTCACAAACATTATCTCAGCATGACTCAGACATGGCACTCTGCAATCTCTTTCTACAGAGCAGTATAAAAGAATGTGCACTGTAAATACAAAAAAATGTCACTATGACACGAACAAGGAAGTAGGCTCCCACTGGGCCGGCGGCCAAAGGGCACATTCACACTATTTGACCTTCTCACAGTCGCCGTTCATACTGATAAAAAGCAGGTTGTGCAATGTTGACCTTGTTTCCACAAGGACTAGCTGCAGCAGTTTTCACTACCAAAACAGTACTCAAGTCCAACCCTACATCATTATACTCCATATGATCAGAGTAACAACCAGTATTAAATGCACTGCATGCTGGTTTTTTAATAAGATAAGTGTTGCTGATAAGCGTTGCTGTTGTTTGTAGTCAACTGTCAGCCATCTGTAAGTGCTGCATAGGGCTTTCCCCAGGAAACTGGTTAGCATGGGGTGAGCCGAGGTGATACACGCAACCAAAAAGCCCCATACACACACACATGACTAGAGGAACTGGAGGAGCCTTGCAGCCTGACCACAGACAAAGCCTTGCAGCTGAAAACCCACAGAGTTTAACAGCTGCTCCGCACTCGACTTAATCTGATATAAATTCACTTAAGTGTGAGAAAGACTGTGGATGTGCTGTTGAGAAAAGAATAAAGGATACTAAAATTTGAAATTAAACTGAACCTATTATTCCTTGTTTTCTGTCATATAAAATGTTGGATGTTCATTTAAAACATGGCCAAAGTTTCCAATAATGAGGTAAATGTATGTAGAAATAATCCATCCATCCATCCATCCATCTATCCATCCATCCATCCAGCAGGCCAAGCAAAGCATCCCCGACATTCTCTCCCCAGCAACGCTTTCTAGCTCTTCCTGTGGGACCCCAAGGCATTCCCATGCCAGATGAGATATGTAATCCCTCCAATATGTTCTGGGTCTGCCCCAGGGCCTCCTACCAGTGTAACAGGAAGCGCCCAGGAGGCATCCTGATCAGATGCTCGAACCACATCAGCTGACCCCTTTCGACGCGAAGGAGCAGCGGCTCTACTCCGAGCTCCTCCAAATGTCCGAGCTCCTTACCCTATCTCTAAGGCTGAGCCCTGCCACCATACAGAGGACACCCATTTCGGCTGCTTGTATCTGCAATCTCATTCTTTCGGTCACTACCCAGAGCTCATGACCATAGGTGAGGGTTGGGACGCAGACTGTTTGAAATACTCTATTCAGCTCCAGACACCTTATTGCAAGTGTTAACGCTAAATACACTGCTACATGTAGCTACATGCTAACATCAGGGAAACATGTAATCCTAGTTGCTGATGTTGTTGGCAGTGACGGAGCAGAGACGCTGAGAAGGAAGACCTGCAAAGGCTGACCAATCAGAGCAGACTGGGATTTTTCGGAAAAGAAAAGAGACAGGCACTACAATGGTGTTTCAGAGAGAGGGTGAATATAAGTGTTCCAGCACAGACAGTGTGAGGAAAATGAAGTGTTTTTTGACCTTTATGGCATGTAAACATGTTCTAGTGGAAACCCTAAATACAAGTATACACCTGACAGGTCCTCCTTAAGATCTTTTACCGAGAGGTTTCATCTTTTAAAGCCAGAATTAGAGACATTCAGAATTTTTCCTTTCCTTTCAGTGAATAGAGTAATTGCTTTTGATTTTTCTGAGCTGCTGCAGTGACTAAAAAAAGTATTTTTCATCAAATGAATCACCACACAGACAAAGATAAGCAGTCAACCATTTAGCTGGCATACCCAGCACTCAGGGAACCCTCTGCTTTTGTCATCAGTCTACTTAACAAGAGCACTGCACGTCTAAAGTAGAGCCTTTAATGTGTGAAATGACACCCTGAAGGGTTTTTGAGGTCTCTTATGACATTAGACCGACTGCCTCCATAGCACACAGACACAGGAAACTCTTGTATGAAACAAAGCAACCTCTCTCTGACGACAAGTCCGCTCAGAACACTCTCAGTCTGATGTGGTCACCTCTGAAAACTTAAAATCAACCCACACACAGCAGATTACTCTACTACTACTCTGCAGCTGCTCATATGTTATTACATGCATGTAAATTCTAAAGCGAGCTTTCACTCATGCCTAAATTCTGCATGTTGTAAGCATATTTTAAATGACAATATTTACATGCACAAATTATTTCTGGTTTTGTCCTTATGCTGAAAAGACAATATTCCTACTTCACTGTTTATATGGCTATACAAAATGAATAAAAAACAGACTAAATATTAGGTGCCAGTGAGCTGGTTACCTTGAGCATGCCTCTGTGGAAGAAGGTGAGGCCTTTATACAGCATGGCGATAGGCTGATTCTTCTTCAGCTCTAAAGACTGTTGGAAGTCTTCCATAGCTGCCACATAGTCCTGGTGAGAAAGCAAAGCACAGATCAGCACACAGATGCATTAAAAGGCGCGCATGAGCAGAACATTTGATAATCAAACCTCTGAAATGAAGAGCAGTGTTCCTCTGTGTCTGTAGAGACGGGCTGAGGGCTGCAGCTGGATGGCTTTGGTCAGATCGCTCAGGGCTTCACTGATACGACCCAGAGGAGACAGGATCTACATATACACAAACACAAAAATAGAAAGATAAAGCCTAAGAACATGTTTAGTAACTAAAAATCCTGAAAATCATGTCTTTTCATGTGGTTCTTCTTATTATTTTATTTGCTACAACACTGCTTTTCCTGCCACTTAGAAAAATGATCAATGATCAAATCAGCTGAAAATAAGTTTTGTTTTTGTGTTTTCTTTTAGAAATTCAGACTGATGCACATCAAAAGAAACCAGAAAAAGGTGTAAACATATTGCATGTGATCCTCTATTTCTGGGTCATTTTTTGCCGTGCAGGATTTCCTCTTACAGAGGTTGACTGTTGTTCTGCAGGAAAAGGTGGGGTGAACACTTTCAGAGTAAGTGTAAACATTATTGTTTTAAAAAATAACAGATAGCATCTTAAAGAATGAGACTGATTTGGCCTTTGGGTTGCACAATGTTGTTAAATTGTTCTAATGTGTGTTCTTAATGAGACTAATAAAAATGTGATGACACTAAATAATAACTGACATTCAGTCTAAGTCAGGATGAAGACAGGGTTGTGTACTTACGTGCGGTGTTGGACTGTAATTCCACTACATTTGGTGGTAACCTGACATGTAAGTTACTTTTTTAAATAAATAATGCAATTACAGTTACTGAAATGTAAATGGGCTCGTTATTTGTTACTTTTGTCTTGATCATCGCAGACAAACGCAGCTTATTCCCCAGATATTTACCTGGTTATGATCTAACGTCAACCATGATAACGTGCTGGTCAGGTGAGTGGCATTCAGCCCCTCTTGTCTTCCGTGTGTGTGTGTGTGTTTGAGGGACAGAGGTCGGGAAAGAGAAGGTGGAAGGTGGACTATTGCATACAATGTTTCTTTAAGTTATAAATAAGTTAGCGTTACTCAGGATGCCACTGGACTAGGGCTGGGGATCATTTATAAACATCAAGCTACCAGTACCCTTAAAGCTATATTGATACCAATAGAATACTTCATTCATTAATTTTTTCCCCCTATGTCATTCAATACCATCATGTGGATGAAAGTACTAACTGTGTGTAAAATGTCACCACACTTTCGAACGTCTTGGTGGCATCTTGGCACGTTGACCTGCTAACCCCATCAAACACATTGTGCTCGTCTTCACCACACGACAGACTGCATGGGTTGAAGCTGCTGTGGTAGTGGGCCAATCACATGCACCATTAAATCAAAGAACACTTGTGGAGATTATCTCAGAGCACAATCAGAAACATAGACATTTTTGCTGGTTCTGTGTGCAAAAAGGATCAAATGCAGGTATCGTTTGACTGGAGAAGTCTCCATACAACTTGGTACTGGGTCATTTCTCATGACCCAGTATGCGTCACACGACTTTACAGAGGCATAATAAATGCCGTGAGTCAATCAATAAGACAGTCAGCATTAGACTGTCACTGCACACAATGACCGACACTTCAGGCAATGTAAGCTTTCTGTCCTGAAAATACGGACATTATTTTTCCCTCCTTGAGATCAAGGACAAATTAAGGCTATAGAAGTGTTGTCTCTGTGCAAGATTTTCTTACTGTTGAGGTTAATATAATATTAATATTTACAATATAAAGGATAATCTCTGTGTGTTTATGCTTTTGGAAATAACTTTTATCACTTATTTCATTATGCCTATTGTGATAAGAAACTTGTCTGAGAAATACTTATTTCATTTTACTCTGCCAAGAGCATTAAAAATTGACTTGTGTTGCTTGATTTGGAGGCCAGTGGCAGCTACAATAAATACACCTATCAAAACATATCTATTGTGTTTTATTGTTCAGCTACTTACTTTACATCATAATGATAATGGGTACAATCATAAATAAAACTTGACAGTCGTCTCGTCTCACAATGCTGCATGGCAACACTAAAATAATATACTGTGATTTATAGAAAACTAAAGCAGATATTTAAGTTACTTTCCTGAGTAATGTATTACTTTTATATGCTGTAATTGGTCAAGTAATTCAATTATTTTTGAGAGAAGTATCTGTAACTTAATACCAATTTTCAGTAACTTGCCCAACACTGCTTATGTGTGACTTGCAAGTCAGACTGATTAAACCGGAGAGGTATTAAAGTGGCGTACGGCTCACAAAGAGGAAACGGCACATTAAAAAAAAAACACTCAGAGTGAAACCTTGTTACAAACTGGCAGCGTGATTCTCCTAACACTCAGTATAAGCTCATGTGACTTCAGGATCGCTTGTGTGTCTGAAGATTACTGGCTGAACACAACTACACAGTGTACGTTACTTGACAACTGTATTTATACTTCATAACAATGTGTATTTTTCTGTACACTCTTTATAGTGTCTTCTGCTCCTGGGCACATGGTTAAATTAACACTGATACATTTCACAGCTTATTGAGTTTCTCCAATTTTAAGCTACACTGATATGCCATATTGCAATTGAACATCTCATACACCGCCTTCGACTGTGTCTGCCTCCTTCTGCTCTTCTTTCATGTCTGTATGCAATCTAGGAATATGTTTAATAATAACATGCTGTGTTTCCTTCTTTTTAGCCACACTACAGCTGACTGCAGCAGAAATAAGCTGTGCAAATCGCATCGCATCAATAAGCTAGTGATGCTTCGCTGATCAGACTAGCATCAAAATGTAATCAGCTAAATTATTTTTGTTATTGCTAATGGGTGCAGTGTCTAAGTATTTGAAATCTCCTCTAAAAACCTACTTTTTCATACTTCTGAAAGAGCTTCAGAGGTCAAACCATACAAACGAGTTACTCCCTCTTTTCACCACTCTCTATCCAGGATCGGGCCTCACCTCTGCTCTCTGCTCGTAGACCTCTGGCCAGTTAGGCTCCAGGGTGATGACTCTGTTGAGCTCATACAACGCCAAGTCAGCATTCTTTATGTCCTGGCATGGACACACAGGAAGGGGAGGCAGTTACATTTTGTTGACATAAACCTTAATATACAGTGAACAAAACTGGAATCAGAGCCACACACACACACACAAAACTGCTGTCCAGAGTTTTTCCTGCAGGGCACACTCTCATAACCGCAGAGTCCTGGCAGATTTAATTTGCATTCATTGAATGACACACTGAGTCATTCTGTGTTCACCTGAAACTGCTGCTGTCACCAAAAATCCAGGACGCCTCTTACTTTTGAGACAAACAAAATTGAAAGCATCCAAAAAATGCATAGAGACAACAACTCCCTGTGCTGCCAAACACCAGTGTGTGCTATTGTTTTAAATTAAATTTAGGGAACAATTTGGCACAAAACTAAACGTGAAATAGCAATATACCAATTAAACTAAGATGCAAATAAAGGAAGTTGGTCACTGGGGAAAACACAGAGAGCATTTTGTGACTTATAATGTAAAGTATGAGTCATCTGCAGTGAATAATCTGCAGACCTTGACTCCAGCTACTGCACAGTTCTGAATGGTGAGTGTTTCTCATATCATAAATATTTGAGCAGCAACATTTCTCCCAAGCTTTTTATTTTGCAAAGAAACCCTTCATATCTTAATGTAAGCAATAATGATAACTTAAAGGAAAACTTCACCCCCTAAATGACCATTTGTATATCAATTGGGCACCTGTGTTAGATTAAAGCTGTGAAGAAAACTTCGTTTTTCTCACGTCTTCACAGCGAACGAGGAATCCAAAAAATGGCGAATACTGTTTAAAGGGTGTCCGCGTTTAACAACAGCAAAACTATCTCAAAACATCCGTTTAGAAGCTCTCAAACAACTTGTGCAGTATTATCCAAGCCTTTATCCATGACAATTTAATGACCAGGGTCCGACAACAACACAGCTGTGCTCCATCGACTCTAATGCAAAGATTTCCCTGTTCCACAACCAAGATCAAACCCTGAAAAGTGTAGGGTTAGCTAGCTAGCTACTGAAGACATAGCCTACTGAATGTATACACATGTTGCTTTTGCTTTTTAATGATTATAGCAGTGAATAAAGACCAACCCTGCTGTACAGGAACCAGTGAAGGGAAGCAGGGAGACTTTGCTGATATTTAACCAGCTGTGTGTCATCACAGTGTGCACAGATGAACATTGTTTGACTTCCCCTGGAGATCCCTGCCCGTCCAGTGGCAGAGGTCCAGGTGCTGGCAGCAGCACGGGGGTGAAGCCAAACCCTGTTCATCTGCACACACTGCGATGCCACACAGCTGGTTCAATATCAGCAAAGTTCCCCTTTATATTCATTGTCTTCTGTGGCGATCAGCAGTGATGTGGTGGTTCACTTTTACACTGTGATCTGTAGCCTATAGTTCGGCTTTAGCTTCTAACTATCTTTGTCTTTTTAACCTGTTGTTGCTGCTGAGTCAGTTTGACATCCTGGATATATCCTTCAAACACAGACTGTAGACCCCTCTGTCTGCTTCTCTCTGGAATCACTCTTTCATTTGTCCAAAAATTTGATGATATTTCTTCAGGGAGTGCAGTTAGTTACAGTGTGGGCTCCGTGCTTACTCCAACAGCTTGTCGGTCCATCACAAAGGGGCGGGGCTTAGCAAAGGGTCAATTCCCAAACAGAGGGAAATAAAAGAAAATAAACACAGAATAAAAATATAAAGAAGGAAACTGGTGTGTAATTAAGGCCAAACAGAGCAGCTGTATTCCACGTCTATCACTCACCTGTAGACTTTTCTTTCCATAAGCTATCCCTCTCCCATAGATGGCGCTGACCAGCTCTGGGTCGCCCTTTAATCAAAGACATAACCCGTCAGGAAAATATTTTTGGCTTCAACACAAAGAAAAGAAGTTGTGTTTTGATTCTAGGTTGAAGAGATGTAGCAGGTGACAATATATCAAAGTGCTTGAATACTAAAACACGTATTAAGAGTGAATTATCTGCTACTCCAGCTGCAAACACACCTGTAATAAGAGTGAGAAGTGCTTGATGGCTTCATCATAAAGGCCGTTGCCTATCAGAACGTAGCCTATAGCTGCAACGACAGAACAAATGGTGGTGAATAACTGTGAAAATGTCTCGGAAAAATCATGTCAATCTGTCTAGCATAATAAAGTTTTTAATATTTAGAACAACATGCAAACTTACCAAGTTCTTCGTTTGTGTTGTGGTTATCTACAGGGAAAGGGATTTTTTTCTGCTCTATAAACAACTTGGCCTGGTTCTGTGAGAGATGGAAACAAGACAAGGTCAACAACACATATAGGTTAAAAAAAACAAACAACCCACACACATCAAGAGACGGATTTGACACGCAAAGCTTGTAAAAAAAAAAAAAAAAAAAAAGAACAAAGGTTTCCTGTGTGAAGGCAGTTACAAAAACACAGAATAACACTGTGAGTCTCAAAGGTGGAAAAGTTAAAAACACTTTTTTACATAAGAAAAGCAAATTAAATTCATTCATAAAGCTTTAAAAAGTAAATTAAAACCTTTATCAAGAACATTTTTGGCAAGTTAAAAGGGATTTCTAATTTAGCTTTCCAGCATCTCTCAAGGTTACACTGAGAAATTAATCCCCTGAGAACAGAGAATACAATCCTTTCAAATGTCAAGGACGTTCACCACTGCAAAGCCACTTCTTGTGTAGCAATAAATATTCTGTGTGTCGCATCAATGGGCTGTATTTCTCTCTCCTTCTCAATGTGTCACATTGTGTTTACCGTGTAATCCCGAATGGAGAAAGGCAGCGTGACAAGCACCATTACGGGATGCAAATTTGACAGCATGCAAATGTTGCTGTGGCAGCATTCTGGGCTTCCAAAACAGCAACAAGACAACTGACAAGACAAATGCTTGCTACATTCATACCATCGGATTGCCTCGCATAACAAGGAACAGAAGCAGCATCGTCGAAATGACAAACTCAGTCGCTGCTGGCGTGTGGTCAAAAGGTGGAGGTCTGTTTCTCTCGTCTCTACCCTCCAAGGCAGATATTTTCTTGTACGCTCAGATGTGTGTATTCCAGTTTTTCTTACACTTGTCAGGCTGTAGTGGTCTGAATTTGAAACACAAGCTCAGAGTCTTCACCCTGATGACCTCCAGAGCCTCTCACCTTGCAGCAGTGATGCAAATGTGTAGTCAGGGTGTGGTCAGTACACTCTGACATCTTTAACCCTTTTCACACAGTGATCCTGCGACAGGGCCGCAAACAAAGACCTTTCATTACTCAAGCTTTTCCTTTTTATACAGAACAAAAGGACGCCAGCATAACATTGGTCCAGTGTGTGATTTTAGACAGCATGACTCCATTACAGAGGCAAAACAGGCGTGACTAGTTTGACATGAAAAGCCTAGTTCCCATTACAAGATTTTCATCCCGATTTTGACGTCGCAGAGGATCTTGAGAGCCACCTTGGGTCGGAGGTGAGTCGGCAGATCGTCTGCCACGACAAGTCCTCATGTGCGAACAGGCCTACGAGCAAGTCGCCCCCTCGTCTGCGACTGGGACTGGATATCTGGCATGCTAGAAAACTGGAGAAGTCTGACACGAATGACAAAGAGCATCAGCCAATAGCCCTTTTTAGATAGGAATTGTGCAAATTTGCAGGAAAGCCCAATCAGTCTTTTTTCAGCATTGGCAGTATAAAAACAAAATCAGGGAGTGTGGCAAAATGCCACCTACCTACTTTTGTTTATACAGAATGCACCTTTTTTGGGGCAATGGGGGCCACAAAACGTGTAGCTCAGCGTGTGACGTAAACAGTGACGTGGGAAGGAAGCCGCGGCTGGTCAGACCTTCGGGAGCTCTGTGCTTTCTCTCATAAGTTGGCCCGTTCTTCACCGTCCCCGTCATTTGACAGTTAATGGCCTCTCCGTTTGTGAGGACAAGGAGGGGGCGCAATCCCTTGTCTCCCCAGTTGCTCATCTTTACAGTGTCTGTCAGGTTTGCGTTTCCCTCTTGCTACTAGCTGCTCGCTAATTCCTGCTATCAGCTGTTTCCTGTTTATCCACCACCAGTGGGTCGCATGTGCGGCATCATCAACAGCTCCTCCCACAAGTCTTCAACAGCCCCTCCCGTTGCGGAAGGCCGCCTCGGTCTGTTTAAACCAAATGGGTTCCGCCAATATGTCTGCCCTACGAGGTGGAAAATTGGGCACCTCAGATCAACTCGCCAATCCGGCTCTGTGTGTCTAAACACTCGCAGCTTGCCGGCAAAACGGCCCAACATTTGTGGAAAATCTGGCAGTGTAAAAGGGGCTAATAACAATGACATAACATGGCAATAACACTCATTTACAGTCCCTGTTATATGGCAGTTGATCTCATCCTCTGCTCAAAGGGTAAGGAGCCCCTGGACCTCATTGTCTCCCCGATTGGAAGACATTTTCAGTTGTTGTTTTTTCTTTGAGTTAGCTGCTAACTGCTATTAGCCACTTTTAAACATGTCATCACAATGTCACACTTGTCCCATCCTGCCAGCTATCCCTTTTACACAGTCGTCGAGTAAACGTTTTTACTACCTCTGCTGCCGGCTTAAAGGCGAGACAACGCTGTCCCCACATTGCCTGATTGTACCTTTTATTTAGAACAGTGAGGCGAAATAACAGCGGAACATTCCCGCCTTAAACAGGCAGTTTAAAGAGGCTACTGTTGGATGTTATATGTGCAACAGACTTAAAACTCTCAAGAAGAAGAGGTCGTTGATTCTTTTTAGCTTGGTACGAAATCAATATGCTTATTTATCTTTTTAATAAACACGCAGTAAGTCTCTTGCTGTTTTTCTGTAAGTTATTTTATGTTTTTCAGTATCAAAGAGACTCTGTGAGTCATAACTGTCACTCATTTTGGCTCAAAATGTCAAACCACAAATCAAGGCATGTGTATCTTACTAAAACATGACCACAGTGTGATGTTTCACCGATAAATTAATCATGAAAAAGCAACAGCAGAAAGATAATGCAGGGTTTTTCAATTGATTCACAACATGCCACGCAGATATTTAGCACATAGCGCCGTGTTGTGCTGTTTTAGAAAAACAAGAAAGCTGCTAAGACTCGACTAGAGACCACAACTTTTTTTCCTAAAGGAAACAGTTACAGACCGTGGCTGTTCTCGATCTGATAAGTGTGTGGCTGTGTGTGTGTGTGTGTGTGTGTGTAAGTGTGAGGTCTCACCAGGATCTTCTCTGCGTTAAGTGAGAAGACTGACTCGCAGGGCGGGTTGCTTCCCTCCTCACAGTCTGGGTCCTCCAACTGTAAAATTGAGGACTCTGAAAAGACAAATATTCTGAGCATTTATTATAAGCACAATGGTTAATATCTATGTGACCATTATGCATATGTGAATACATTTCTCATTTAAAATTTTCACAGATTCCCATCCTGCTAAGTCTTTCAAGTTACATTTAAACCGCCCTATATGTCCAAGAAGAAATGCCCGAGATGTGAAGCAGAGCTGACACCACTCATGGCATGTCAGCAATGTTGTTTGAGGGACTCCACCTAGTTCTGCGCTAACAATAGCTAATTGATTTGATTCAAATGCTGTTGGACTCTTTGTCCTGGCCCTGTCCAGTGCTTTCATTACAGTGTTTGAGCATTTAAAAAGCATTTTGATCATCCTATAGAGCAGTGGTTCCCAAGTGGTGGGTCACGAGTCCATGCTGAAATGACCTCAAGTGACTCACAACGTGTCAAGTTTGTATAAAACACACTTGATTTTGAAGTACAGTGAATTTCTGGCACAGATTTTAAAAGCGTATTGCTTAAATTCATAATTTTGGTTAGTATTTCTCATGTTTTTGTCAGTTAACTGCAAAGAATGTGCATTTTACTTAAATAAAGCTTGGGCTAAAACATGCAAGAATCCTGCTATGGTGCTTTTAAAATATTTCACAATACTCTCAGAATATCTCGTCATTTCAGGACACGTGCATTTAGTCAAGCAGCAGAGTGTCAGCTTGTATGACCAGTTCACCTGCCACTACTATTAGTCCTCCACCACTGAAACACCATGCCACCTCCCTGTACGACCAGTCCCCGCTGTGTCAGGAGGTGAAGCCTCAGACTTCCCCCTGACACACTTGAATAAACAAATTCACCCTGGACTGCAGTACAACTTTTGAGTTTAATTTGCATTTAATTTGGAGCTATGTGCACTGTCCACCTCACATATGTATATAGAAATACAGTCAAATTCTCCTATTTTTAATTTAAGTTACTGTCTGCAAGTGTTGTATAGCTTTTTGCTCATTATTGTACATTTTGTTGCCCTATAATTGTCTTTTTTGCTCTAAGCTGCTGTAACAGTAAAATGTCCTATCCATCCATACCCAGTGGGGACAGTGTGTCCCAAGAGCTGAGGTTTGAAATAAAAGCTTTACAGCTGGGTGCATCCGTTGTAAGCAGAATTTAACAGAAGCTAACTACCATCACAAAAACATTTTAGTTTTGCTCAGTTAAATAAGCAATTTTGCTGTGGCGCAAGTTAAAAACAAAATTCCGTATATTTTGAATGGAGTTTGGTGTTAGTCTCGTGAGGTAAGCTACAACATGCAGTTTGTAAGAGAGTTTTTCGTTAAGTTTGGTTCCTGTTATGTCCACATCAGTACACTCTCACTCCCGGGCTGCTCCTCTCCTTCGTTTACCTTTGGTTTTAAATCTCATTTACCCTCCGCGGCAGTAAAGAACCACAGCTTATCTCAGTTACCTCCTCCGGGCTGTCACTGCTTGTTGTTATTAGCTTAACGTTAGCTCGCGAGCGGTTCAACAGTGACAGTTGAACCGGGGAGGACGTGGCAAAGTAACAGAGAAAGAGAGAGACTTTTACCGCAGTCAGCCGCGTACTCTTCCCACTCGGACAGCGAGCTGCATCCCTGCTTGTGGAGCTCATTGTTGAACAAAGTCAGAGTGGAGAAATACTCGGAGGAGAAGATTGCCCGACACAGGTAGAGCAGTGAGAGCACTACCACAACAACAGCCCGGCTGGCAGGGGCCATGTTGTGCTACATGTGTGACGCCAGAGAGCGGAAGCTGCTGCAGTTCAACGAACACGCCCCCCTCACGCGCGAGTCTCTGGGAGGCGAAGAAGAAGAAGAAGACGAGTAAGAGCGCCGCAGCCAGAGAAGACCGATTGAACTACATTTCCCAAAACACTATAACACGCGGTCATAACAAATTAAAAAGTGTTTCCGTTGTAACTTTCAAATTAAAAAACTGATTTACACAACTTTCAGCTTTACTACAACGACTAATAAAAATAACATTAATAATTATAATAGCCATTCCTGTTATGTAGCAACATTTCTCCCAAAAATTGAGTGTTCTTCATATTTTCTTTAAAATGTATCTTTTTTTTAAAAAAAAAAAAACAGATGATAGATTAAGGTCTTCTTTGTCACATAAGTTAAAGACATAACAATACACATTAGTCTTGTCTTTTTTTTTTTTTAATTTGGCTTCACTGAGCTTTTTTAAGGGAGTGCTGGTGGGGAGTTGAGGAGAAAAAGGATGCAAGGATGGGGTGGGGGGGGGGGGGGGGGGCGGATAAATAGATAATAAAGTCTCTTAAAACTAATCCCACCTTTACCCTGATGCCACTCATACCAATAGTTAAATAATGTCGATAATAATGATTATATAATAAAGTCAAGGTGAGTGTCTCCCTATCATTATTATTATTATTATTATTATTATTATTATTATTAAATAATGGCGATTATGTTTTCCTGGGAGTTAAGCACGTTACTACTCTTACTCGAAGCAATAAAAAAGGGAACAAAAAAGAAGAATCTTTTTATTTATTTATTCATTTTTACAAATGTGATGAGGTCGAAATGTTGCTGCATGACAGGTAGAATTAATCAGATACGTTGGCTAATAACATGAAACAGATCACTGTGCTCTGTATCAATAATCTTAATTTGCAAAGTAATCTGTCACCAACGCTTTTAAAATAGTATATAGAGTAAAAGTGCAAGATTTTTTCTCTGAGATGTGGTGGAGAAGGAGTATAAAGTAGCCTACAAAGGAATTATTCAAGTAAATCACAAGCACATTAAACCTGTACTACAGTACAGGGCTTGACGTACTTAGTTGCATTAATCTTCACTTTTATTTTGAAGGCGCAGCTGTATGGAACCTTTTCACTTCCGCGATCATTGAGTCAGATGTTAGCTGAGAGTTGTTGTGAGCAGTTCACAAGGCGAATAATGGGGAAAGATGAATTTAGGTGTGTTGAATGTAACGAAAAAGCAATGGAGTTACACCGGGATTACAGTAACGGCATCCTGAAGATAACCATATGTGTGAGTTTACTGCTGACAGCTTGTATTAGAGTTGTTTGGTTTACTGTTTAGGATGAAGATGCTAGCTAACATGTAACAGCTAATGTAGAGATGTTATTACTTTTTCTAAAACTAACACCGTATGTGTGTGTGTGTGTGTGTGTGTGTGTGTGTGTGTGTGTGTGTGTGTGTGTGTCCAGGAGTCGTGCCAGAAGCCGGTGGACAAGTATATTGAATATGACCCAGTTATCATCCTGATTGATGCCATTCTGTGTAAGACGCAGGCGTTCAGACACATTCTGTTCAACACAAGCTTGAATGTAAGTAACATCAATCATGTTAACCCCCTTTCACATGTGCACAATATTAAATCATTCTAAAATGGGTATTGTGTTATTATAACAGGCCTTGTGGTGGACACATAAGTTGTCAGAGTGACATGATGCTCCACTTAATATGTCACAGGATTAAACAGATTGCTTCCTTAATGCATGGTGTTGCTTATACAGATGCTGTCATTGGTATGTGTGTTAAGCAGTGGTGAAATGTGACTAAGTAGATTGCCTCAAGTACAAGTACAAGGTACTTGTACCTAACTTGAGTATTTCCATTCTATGCCACTTAATACTTATACTCCACTATGTAAACAAATTGTAAAGGATCTCCATACATCTTCCACCACTTGTGTTCGAGTATACTTCATGTGTGTGTTTGTACATTTTCTTTTCTGCTTCTCCAGATCCACTGGAAGTTGTGTGTGTTCTGCCTGCTGTGTGAGGCTTACCTCAGGTGGTCTCTGCTCCACGGCTCCGAGCAGAGCAGTGACCCCGCTGACATCATCAGGTACACCAAGGAATGGGAGTTCTACCGCATGTTTGGATTGGCTGCCCTCGGTAAGATGATAGAACCAGAGCTCCTTAATACATCTGTTATAATGTTACTATTTTTATCACTGCTATATTGTATTCTAGAGTGTTAACATGGAGCACTAGAGCCATCTATCTACTGCGAACACATAGATGGTCACAGTCAGTGTTTTAATTCAACATTCAAGTATATTTACTCAAGTACTGTACTTAAGTACAACTTGCAAGTATTTGTATTTTACGTGAGTATTTCTATTTTATGCTACCATAGACTTCTGCTCCACTGCAATTTGAAAGCCAGTATTGTACTTAAACTCCACTACAATTATTTAGTAAACTGAAGTTACTTTGCAGATTCATATTAATAACACAAAATATAAATCAGCTGATAAATTAAGATGTATTATTATGGATGAAGCAACCCATCAGGATATAAAGTAATTAAAATACGCTCCACCTTTACAGATTGCAACATTCGTGATGTACACATTAATGCATTCCTAATTACTATCCTGTGATATAATACATATTATTCTGAAGTGTCTCATTCTGCATAATGAGTACTTTTACTTTTGGTACTTTATGGATATTTATTGCTAATACTTACGTACTTATAGTTAAATAAGATTTTTAATGCAGGACTTTTACTCATAATAAAGTATTTTACAGTGCAGTATTGCTGCTTTTACTCAAGTTAAAGATCTGAATACTTCTTCCACCCCTGCAAGCAGGTTTTCACATACATGTTGTGGTGCATAATGCTCAAAAAAGCCAAAAGTCATAAATATTGAATATAAATTTACAATGAAAAAATATAAATATTCTAAAATGAATACAATAGAAGTTAAAGTCTGGTTCAGGTTATATGTTTTGAGTTTTGAATGAGAAACTTTGACTTGTAGCCTAGTATTTTTATACTAAGGTATTACTGTTTCTACTCAAGTAAAAGATGTGAGTATTTCTCCACCTCTAGCTACAGTGTTAATTTTCTCATCGTTTAACAAGGAAGTTGACTAGCCCATCAAAACGATCATGTATTCCTTTAATGTAACAGGTGTTTTAAAACAATTTCATGTTAAAGGGTAGTCTTTCATACATTTTTGTTCGCCTTGCTTGATTGTCAGTCGGAATTACAAACTCATTTCACTTAATAAATTGGAATTTATTTTTATTGCTGAACAAATGTGGGAATGCAGGCAGCAGTTCAGAGATCTGGAACCAGACTATATTTACCTTGGAGTAGGGCTTCGATTAATGACTAATCTAGTTTTCAGAGCCCAAAATGTTGTCTTTAAATAACTTGTTTTGGCCAACCAACAGTCCAAGTCTAAGATATTTTATTTACAATTATATAAAACAGAGAAAAGCAGCAAATCCTCATCATTTGAGAGGCTGGAACCAGAGAATGGTTGAGATTTTTGCTTCATAAATGACTTGATTGATTTAAAAATTGTTGTTGATTAGTTTTATATCAATCAACTCATCATTTCAGTGCTACTCTGGAGTCAAACACACTAGGGGATAAAGAATAGAAATGACAGACCTCCTAAATGTTGCTCTTATTGGTAATTCAGGGCTAACATTGATACAGGCTGAATCTTGCTGATATTTATTCATACAGGAGGCTACAGTTTCATCAGTATGTAACACCTTTTGTGTTAAAAATACATCTCTCTGTGTCTGACATGTCTGTCCGTTGGTGGTGTAGAGCTGTCAGCGTTCTGCTGCGGTGTGCTGTGGTTCCTCTGGGTGGTGGTGGGTCGCCTGCAGGGTGGGACCCTGGAGCCCAGCCTGCTTCTCAGAGCCCTGCTGCTGTCCTGCTACGGCAAAGTCCTCCTCATCCCCGCCGTCATCTGGGAGTACGACTATTCTCCGCTCTGTCTGGGCCTCATCAAGATGTTTGTGCTCACCTCAAACTCACAGGCTATCAGAGGTAGGAGAACAAATCTGTTTTAAGGGCATTTTCTCACTTACCTTTATCACAAGCAGATGCCAAAAATATATTCATCAGGACGCTTTCTAATGCACCTCAATCCTGAGAGAATTACTGTATTTGAAGAATTACTTTGTCCCAGGGTTGACCCGTATACCTTGTGAGACACATCAGAGAAGTATTGGTATTCTTCAAACAACATTTTAAAGCACCAGCAAGTGGCAACTAACTCTCTCTGTGTTTGAAACAAATCCTCCGTGCTCCTGGAGCTCCTCACCACATAAACCTGCAGACATGCACAACAAATACATTACATAACAGAGAGGTTCTACCCCACATTTCTTCAGCAGCAGCAGCAGCAGCTCTGTAAACATAAATCTGCTTATTATATTTGGCAGCTCGCCTGTGAGCCGCAAACAATGAGATTTTGTGAAGTGATTTATGGTCTGCTGCTTTGATGAGGAGTTTCTATACGTCATATCCATAAAGAACAAATGACAGTGACTATATTGCTGCTTGTTTATACTGCACATACCAGTTGGCTGGAAGATGCTCGGTGATAAGTTAAAAACTGAACTTCTCACGAGATACGTTCCGACTGTTTTAGGTTTTCAAATTCTCTGCATGACTCCAGATTTTTCAGACGTGCTTTTACTAACATGAAATCAAAAACTGTCCATGGAAAAATTGTGTGTAATCCTTATGTTCTCATCCTCCTCCCTCCCCTGCGTCTCTTCCCCAGTGATCCTCAACAGCAGCAGACGTCTGTCGCTGATGGCCGTGTGTTTCGGCCTGCTGTCAGAGACCTGCGTGGCTCAGGCCTGTAAAAAGCTCCCGTGGAGCATCCAGGACATGCTGACATTTGAGTGAATGACACAAATGTCCGTTATCTCAGGGATGAACAAGTGATCGTGGAACCTGTGCCATAGAGAGACAGTTTTTAATGAGCCCTCTACAAATGGTGTCGGAGAAGAAAAAGAATGTTTTGAAGTGTTCCTGCTGCTCAGAGCCGGAGACAGAGAGCAGCAGAAGAGACTTTATCATTATTTTCTTGTACTCGGTAGAGAAAAAGATTCATCTTCATTTTTGAGGGACGTCGAGGACGTGGCTGTGGACCTTCTCTTGTTTTTCCTTTTGTTTTCAAAGACAACGAGCTCAGGATTCCTGTGAGATTTTACTTGATTTAATTGCTTCATTAGGACAGACCTACCGAGAGGACCTACAGCATGGGAACATCCCTGGATCTAACCTGTGCCTTTCATACACTAGAAGACTTTGAAAAGACTTTTAAAAGACTAAAGTCTGATACCCTCTAGGGTCACTATTTGCAGGACTACAACTAGATTTCCTGTCCTGTTCCGGGTGGAAAATACTACACCAAACTCCCTTTAAAAAAATATGACAAAATAACAATTTCTTTCATGTCCGCAAAAACACATAATTCTAAAAATACAAGATAAAAGGCATCATATCCTCCTGAGACCCTGTGTCCTCATATGAGAACATCACATTTTGGCTTTACTTGATCTTATACTTGATTCTACTTAACTTAGACCTGTTGTCCTCATTCGTGGACGCTCTTTGTGCCATCTAGTGGCAGTAAGAGCACATTACACCAATCTATGTAAAAACAAGATGGCAGCCATTTCTGCCAAGTCAGGCTGCAGCTGATCCCGACACAAAAGAAGACATGGTCCAAAACCTGATCACATTTTATGGTTGAAACTTGTTTATTTATGATTAAAAATGTTTGTAGTTTGATATTTCAACAAATGTGACCAATTTTAGCAACAGTAACAAGCTAAGACGCTGTTAATTAGGAAGGACTTGTTTGAGGACACTGGGACTTGCTTATCGTTGACATTGTTTAGTTTTTTATACTTACCAGGTCCTATTGATCCCAAATAGCTAGGAGGAATTAAAAAATGCATACCAAACAAAAGTTCAGGTCTCGGGAGGATATGTCAACAGTATTCTTGTCAATTCAGCATCAATATAGTCTATGAAAAAAAACTGTATTTGGGTAAAACTTAACATTTTGGACTACAAGTGGGATTAAAGACAGACACTCCACAACTCCACTGCTTACTCCTCGTTTTTTTACAGTCTAAGAGAACCAAGACTTGTTTACGTTCTTGGGCTTCTGCCGAGTACCCTCCATGTGTACTGTCTACATGGTTTGCTGTTTGGTGCCGGAGAGAGCACAGCTATTGGTTGTGGACAATGGTCACTTCATTGAACTTTAGTATTTGCATGAGCCAAGACTAAAAACTTCACATAACATTAACCATGTTTGATTTCATCGTAACATTAAGACAAAGAAAGACTGACTTAAGACAGCTTGGACTGCGTTTTGTGACCACCTCACACCGAATGATCGAGATAACAGAAGCTTACACCAACTCGACGGTTTCGCAGGGCCTCACTGTGAGATTGACACAAACACAAACCCTGAGGTCGTAATTTGACAATAACTACTTCTCTGTTTGGACAGGACCCAGACAACAGGCTTCACATTCTTTGGCTCGCTGGTGAAATGCTTATCTTAACTCACACAAACACAGAAACACACACAGGGTAAGCTGTGGGAGTGAAATAGGGATAAGTGGGTAAATGAAGCAGACAGAATTGACTTTCACCACTATTTATTGCAATGCAATATAGATGTTAAAGTTTCGGGTCAGCAGGAGTAGATTTTTGCTCTCAGAGTAACCACTATTTTGTTTTTGGACTTCAACTATGAATTGAATGTTTTTAATGGGATGTTGAGTCTATAGAATTTCAGAAAAGGGTGAAAACTCTCTTCTTGAGAAGTCGGAACCAGAAAATATTTGACATTTTTGCTCAGTAATTGACTTAAAATGATTATTTGATGATCAAAACTGTTGGTTTCAGCTCAAGACTTTGACAGTTCTCATGACGAAGCGATCATGAATCACCAAAATGAATTCTACTGTATGTTTCTCTCCCAATGCAAATGAAAGCAGGGTTAGACATTGATTTGTTGAAGAATGTTCAAAGAATGTTGAGTGAAATCCTTTATCACCACACATCTGATTCACAGTAATCATTATGCCACATGTGGGTAAACTTCACAAACCCACCTCTCACTCCCTGGAATGTGTGTGTCTGTAAACAGAGCAACTTTCAATCAGTAAATCAAGCAGACTGTTAGTCTGTGGAATGAGGGGAATTTATCCACTGCACTTACCTACAGTATGGAGGGGGAAGCTGAGTTAGCCTCGACCCTCGGGAGACTTTGCAGGAGTCGTGTCGTTGTTATGAACTGCTGAGAAGTTGGACATGTGATAAGAGGCGAGGCTGAATTCTTTCTGAACAAAACCATCTGCTGAGAGAGGACTCGCCCCACCAGATCTGATGATACTCTCTTAGAGATGGCGGATAATGTGATGGATATTTAACGCTGTTGGGGCTTTAGTTTCAAAACTACACCTTGGTACATTGTCAAATGACCTGAAGCTACCATTTGAATCACAGAGAAATATCTTTCTCACTGGACCTCCTGAATATTTGTCTTTGCACATGTTAAAAATTAAGATTCCTATCAGAGAAAATGTCCAAAGTACTCTGAGATATTTATAGCAAATCTTAACTTTTCATCTATCATAACACCTCTGTCCTTTCTGCATTTGTTACAAGTGAAATCATGTCGCAATACCTGTGTCTTTCTGTCACAGACGAGCCCTGACGTTTGGCAGGTACTTATGTTTCTGTGATTGATTATGTCAAATGAACTTGCAGAGCGAGTTCGCCACGATCTGCAAGAAACACACTGTATGTAAATGTTGCAGTATGTGCTCTCTGAGCTGTCATATAGAAGTATGACAAGGGAAAATAAAGTATTTGTATTTAAACAAAGGATTTGTATGTGTTTTGTGCATCTTTGTACGTGTGTGTGTGTGCTGCATCTGCACATGGATACATGTTATTACAGGCCTGTGAATAGTTGAGGAGACAGCGCACGGGTGAAGAATGTTTTCGTAGTTGTCTTCACCCCTGGGTGGATCTGTGCTCTAGTGTCTGTAGGGAGCAACACGGTCTTGATCACTTTAAGCTTTTAACACAGGAACACGTCACTCGGTCAGAGATTAACTGGTGTTTTTGGGGATCTTTCGCAGAATCATGGCCGAAAAGGCTGAAAAAAATTGGTCCAGTTTGGAGCTCAGTTGCTCCACCATTAAAAAACAGTTAAATTAGGGCTTGTGTGCACAGACAGCAACGTTTTTATTTGTCTTGTCTTCTCTAATCATACATTTGTTCACCTGATGCACACAAGTGGAATCAACACTTGTTCTGTCTGTATAACTTGTTGACACTGTGTTTGATTCTCCAGGTCAAAGTCTGTGTTTGTGAGCAAACCCCAGAGGGAGTTTCTAAATGTGGAATCTGCAAAGTGTTGGTCAATTACTGTGGCATGCAGTGGTTTAATCTGACTAATCAGATTACTGTAACAGCAGTCACCTCGCAGCCATTTACCAGTCTGGACCAGTGTGGAAGCCAATGAGCTGAAGCTGGCGGATAAAGCAAACCTTAAGTCAATTTGCCCTCCTGGTACCAAATGCTTTGCTTTGGCTGAAAACTGAAATTGAAAAAGCAATTTTAAGTACAATTTGGAGGTCATAGACGATGTAACTTTTCATCTAATGATCTGTCATTATATATTACCAAGTGAAAACAGTTGGCTAATATGCATCAAATATCATAATCCATGCTCCTTGTTTTAATACTAAATATATAATTAAGTATATATGAGGAGAGGGAGGTGACAGAGTTTAATGAATCAACATACTTCCTAAGTATTTTTCCATAAATAAAACATTACCAAGAGTCTTATGTAGCCGTGCTAGCAGCTCTGTGCTAATAACGTCACAATGCTACCATGCTAACACTGACAACATGCTGACGTTTAGCTCTTATAAAGCTCATGTCTACCATCTTAATCGTAGTTTTACTTGCTAGCATGCTAACATTTACTAACACTAGCACACTACCAGCACTGAGGTGAGGCAACTTTATTCATTTACCGTAAAACTATTATTTGCTTAAATCACTGAACTCAACAGGCCTATATTTGAGACAGGCCTTTAATTCCTTTTACACAAAACTGTTGCTCGGCAAAGACGGGAGATACAATCAAATTGTTTATTTGAACCAGTATGAATATTACTTGCCAGGCCTCAAATAACATATCAACTATGTGTTATGTAATGACAACTGTTTCGTGGCACCTGAGGATAACGGCACCCACCATACCGACACAACACCACTTTATTCTGTTAAAACAGTATTCCCTACTTTAAATTATTTTTATGAAAAACACTTTTAATGCTTTTGATTGGCAGACCCTCGCAGACTAAAGGAATATGAATAACTTACCACCTAATCTCGGAATGGACACATATTCTGAACTAACGACAGCTTTAGAAAAAGTTGTTTTTCGTCATGCCAGTGAATCTGAATAAATTATGGTCCTCTCTAATGCTCATGGTTTCAGTAAAATTAACTCAACTCAGCTAACAGTGTGTGTAGCATCTCCATATTGGCAACATTTAAAACATTTATATGTGTATGCACAATCTAAGCAACTAACGTTAGCTCAAGTGGGTGATCAACAATCTGATTTTATACATCCAAAGAACTTCTGTAAAAATAATGAACTACTTGGCAACCAGACCAGGCTTCTAATTGAGACAGGCCTTTATTTGTCAAAATGTGTAGCTATACCAGGCTAGTGGAAGGGAGCGGGTGTTTAATTGGGACTAGACTTTTAATTGAAGTTTTACAGTAGCATCTTCCATACAATGAGGCAATTTAAGGTGTTTTACATACAATAAATACAGGTAACATACAGGCAAAAATCATAACAAAGTCTATACAGAGACAACAATTTCACTTAAAGGCAGTAGTGAACATGAAAGTCTTTCACTTGTTTTTAAAAGAAGTTAATCTGAAATCCAATAGTGGTCTAAACACAAGGTACACCCGAGGCTGCTGGGAGTTTGGGAAGCAATTTGGTGATAAAATAAAGATTTTTTTGTAGTTGGCGCTAGATTAAAAATCATTACAATTTATCACGAGGGGGACATAAACATCTGTGTAAAATTAAAGTGGGATCCAATCAATTGATGAAGCAACATTTCACTGATAACCACAAGCTACAGACAGAAAAAATAACCCTTACATCATAGCTAGTTATGAAGAACATATTCAAAGCCATTGCACTGCAGTTGAGTCTTGATGTCGGCAGGAAGCAGCACACAGAGCTGCACAAGGACGTATAAATATTCAAATGATGAGCCATTTAATTAGCAGGAAATACACTGCACACTAACCAGTGGTCATTTGTTAGTTAAAGAGACAGCAGGTCCGTCCTAAACTGGCCTCACTGGGATCAATGGACTAAAAAGAGCAACACAAAGGAGAAAGGAGCACAATATTACAGAAATTAATTCAAAGGAGGCTTTAATATTGCAGAAAAAAAACAAATGTTCTCTATTTTAAAAGAAGTCTATGTGTTAATGTGAAAGACAAGCCAGCTTGTGCTTGTCTTCAGCTCTGATGTGACAGTCTGTCCCATCCCTCCCTGCGGAGAGAGTGATGCGCACCTTGGATTTGCTCTCTCAGTCAAGATTATGTTAATCTGCTGTAATCTCCCAACAGACGCTCAGACAGGCAGCACGAGACCAGAGCGCAGAGCAGAGAGAGGGAAAGACAACATGATGCACACTGCACCACAGAGAAGGCCTTTATACAGAGAGAGCATGTCAAAGCCCTTTTATCAAGTCTTTAAATGAATACTTGTTTTCTGATATACAGGGTTGAGTAGTCATTTCACTTGACATCAGCTCTGCTGTGGTTCAACTCCAGTGCACTTTGACTGACTCACTTTTCAATACCAGTGGTATCCTGAGTTTGAATTGAAAGCTTTCATGTCCATTTAAAGATTGAAATATTTTGGGGCTCTTCAAGGAGAAGTGATTATAGCACTTCATAGGCTTTTAATTTTAATGTGCAAAGTAATCATTAACTATAGCTGCAGATACTTAAAGTGGAGTAAAAAGTATAAATATTTACCTGTAAGTACATGTTAAGAGTGGTTAATCACAGCAGGCTGTTAAAATACTCCAAGTTGGCTGCCCTTATAGCCATCTGTTCGTACTCACTGTTAAATTGGTTTATTGCATTTTAAGAAACACCTTCTGACTCTAAAATCTTTAAAGATGGTCAGAGAACACCAAAATTCACAAAGCAGTGATACCAAACCACCAGAAAACATGGTACACATGTGCAGTTTAAACGGTTGCTGCGTGACCCATTTCTTCAGTCTCTCAGGGAGGTTTGTGAGAATTTAAATAGAGTGTCGGAGTATGAAAATGTAAACAGTGTTATCATCATCAGTAATTCATCTGAAGCTCCCAGCATGAGGAGCTGCTACATCAAAGCCGTCACATCCTGCCGCAGTAATGATCAATTAAACCGGAACTGCTCCGGCATGGCAGATACTCAAGACCAAAATGCAGATCGGTGCATTTAAATGCAGGTCAGAGCGAGATGCATTCAGGAGAAAGAAAGGAAGGAGAAGAAGTAGGGCAGCAGAGAGGAGAAGAAGACTGCAGTTTGAGCTGAGGGAGCTGTGTCTGGTAGAGTTGTACTGGGGTTGGTAGGGAGGAAAGATGATAGTTTGTATTTTGTGTGTAATGTTTCACTCATTTTCAGCCCTGTTATCCATCTTTAGACATGGCCATATGGATGTTGGTCTATACTGAAATATCTCATCAACTATTGGATGGATTACCATGAACTTTCGTATTTCGTTTTGACCTTAGTGCCACCATTTGCTTCACATTTGTGGTTTGGAGTTAAATGTCTCGACAGTTATTGAATAAATCACCATCTGAGGCATTTATGTTCACATCAGGATGAATTGTAATAACACTGGTGATTACTTTTCATCTTCAGGTAGTGCCATCATCAGGTTAAAATGCCCATTTGTCCAAAATTTTGGTTTATGACCTAGTACTTACAAAACTAATGAAATTCCCAGTAATGGAAGAAGTACTCAGATCTGTTAAGTAAAAGTAGAAATACCACAGTGTAAAAATGCTGCAGGTTTTCAGTATTATGCAAATACAGAATAGCCCATTTTAGAATAATGTTTATTATATAATTGGATTATGATTATTGATGCATTAATGTGTAAGCATCACTTTATTTGCGGCTGGTATAGGAGGTAATTGAGACCGGGGGCAATTCTAACATTTTTAGGTTTTAATGTCATGACTAAAAAACCTCTTGAACTGTTTGGATACAATTTTTATGTATGTAACGTGTATCTGTTTTCTATTTGGTAACATTCATCATATATTTTCAGTGTTGGAGAGGTTACTTATGAAATGTAATAGGTTACAGATCACAAGTTACCCAATTAAAGATATAACAATAATGTAACTATTTAATCATCTTATGAAAGTAATGCAATTTATTACATGTAATTAGTTTTTGATTACTTTTCTAATGCATGTTTTTAAACTGGGCAATAAAACTAAAAAAACGTCCGGAAATCGGCTCTGCCAAAAGAAAACATTCCTTCACGGTGAGAAGATGCAAAGCAGCAGAGTGAATGTTATATTCTACAAATGAATATAGGCTAGTAAACCCTTCATAAGGACCAACATTTTGATTAGTAACTGTAATTTAATGACCTATTTTTTCCTCAATAACTAACAGATTACAAATACATTTATTTTGTAACTGTAACTAGTTACTCTCCGACACTGTATGTTTTTAAAGGGCAATGTTAGAGTTACAAAACTCACTGAAACACAAGTTATGTTACATTTGCCACCACGAGCAGCGGCATTTGTAACAACACAAGTAAAACCCTTTATAGGAGCCACATTAAACATAAATATAAATATGGTTGAAACAATTTAACGTCCATTGAACAACTGAGAGACCTGATCTGAATCTGTGAAGTAGCACAGCTATAAATGTAATGGAGTAAAAAATTAGTGAAGAAACCTAAAAGTAGACTAAAGCATAAAATAGATAACAGTTAGCCTACATGTAGCTCAAAAAGTGCAGCACTTGGGTAAATGTAGTTACTTTCCAACACTGGGAATTCCCATCAACTTAAAAGGAAATTTCGGTTTATTTCAACCTGTCTCCTATCGTCCTAAATTTGTTTCAAGTGACTCCTGACGAAAAATAATAGTTAGCATGTTAGCCGTTAGCCTAGATACAGCCGGGGCGCATTAGTAGCGTCCGACCTGTTAAAACGTAAGTGAACGGGCATCCTTTCAAGTGCAAAGATAGTCCACTAAACAAGCTTTTTTTTCACAAACACCGCCTCATATTGTTAGGATAAATGTCAGAGAACATATAGAAAACGACATGTAAACGTGTTGTCTTACCTTACCGGTGTGCTGCCATGTTTGTTTATCATGTAGTGCTGCTTTCCAAAGTGCGGCCGAAATATCGCAAGAACAAGCAGCGATCTCATAGCGTGCCTGAACAAGCAGCAACAGCTGGAAGGATACACTGACGAGCTTCGTGAAATTGAAGAACGGAGGAGGAGAGAGAGAGAGGCGCAACAGATAGAGGACGAATGGCTGCTGCAAGGCTGAGTAGCTGTGGAGATTGGTGGTGTACCTGTGAATGCTGTGCCCCAGTGCCCACAGAAGAGGAATGCCTCTGTTGCAAGGAATGGGACCGGTTGCAGCCTTATTTTCAAGGTCTGGATGTGTCCGAGAACGAGACACCTCCACCTGGAGTAGTATCCAGCTGGGCTTTATCTAGAGCTGGCGAGATATATTTTGGCCGCGCTTTGGAAAGCAGAGCTAGAGGGATAAACAAACATGGCACCACACATGTTCTCTGACATTTATCCTAACGATATGAGGCGGCCTTTGTGGAAAAAAGCTTGTTTAGTGGACTAACTTTGCACTTGAAGGGATGCCCATTCACTTACCTTTTAACAGGTCTGACACTACTAATGCACCCGGCTGTATCTAGGCTAACGGCTAACATGCTAACTATTATTTTTCGTCACTAGTCACTTGAAACAAATTTAGGACGATAGGAGACAGGTTGAAATAAACCAAAATTTCCCTTTAAGCTGCTTATTGTCTTTAGTACACATTAGCAACTATTAGCATGCTAACATGCTAAAATAAGGTGGTTAAAAAGACAAACTTCAGTGTTAGCATTGTGAGCATGTTAGCATGTGGACATTAGCATTTAGCTACAGTCCCAATGTGCCTAAACACAGCCTTGCATAGCTGCTAGCGTGGGTACAAGTATGAAACTGTACATGGGCATATTATACCCAGACTGATGTATTATTTTAATTTAAAGTTTCAGGTTTTTAAGGCAAAGATACAGTTAGCGGACACAGTGGTGTGAGAAATGTGCAAAGAAAACAAACTTCTTCACGCTTTTTGTGTACTCTTGTGGGCAAGAACAAACTAAGGACCAACTTAACCCAAACATATTAGTCCAGCTAACTACTACCAAGACTTGCATTGGCTCAGTTTCTGGTATAATTAAAAAATCTCACTCCAAACCTGAAAAGCATGGAATCACTTTATTAAATTCATATCAGTATCATAACTATGATGGCATTGAGACTAATTGTCCAAAGAAACAGTAGTATGGTCATTCATAGATCAAAGAACAGGAGTAATGATGGATGGTAACAACACAGGCTTCACATGTTCTCTGAAGAACCTCTTATTCTTATGCAACACAAATACATTAACACCTTTTTTCCACTATAGTGATTTAATGAATGATTATGATGAATGATATACAGTATAAATATGATGTCACACATTTCACTTCTCTGGTCTCTCAGATTCAAACCAAATAAACAGCTGTAGCCAGTAATTAGAAAAGCTAATCAATGCTAACAATTGGCTGTAAAAATGATCTGTTACATTTAATACCTCTATGGGTCTCTTGTGTTTTTCTTGGCTGACTGACAAGCTACAATTCAACTGATGAAACCCAGGCCTCAACACAGGTCAGCTAAAGGGGAAAGTTTTAGCGAAAAATAAGTGTATGCATTTTTGTTTTCATGGGGCAAAGGAAAAACGTTTTTTGGTGACTGCGACATGGCCGTTTGACAGCTTTCTAACTCTCTCATTGAACATCATCTGTCTCTGATCAAGTTATTCTGTGCATGTCGAAGTATGTCCACACCCTTCCTACATTTCCCAGAGTGCTTCTAAACAACCAATAAAGCAGGAGTGTGAAGTGAACACCGAGGCGTGACTGTGATTACAGTAATCACTTCACTTCAGTCAAAACATGTGAAGTCTTTGTGGTTGCACTGCACTCTGGTCTACTGAGGCCACTCTAAGTAGAAAAATTCCATCTCTTCCAACAACTGATTTCTTCATGCACTTGTTCAAACTTGGTGCAAAAATGGCGGCTTTAGAAAGAAGCCCTTTGTGTTTGATTTACAGAGACTCACACCAAAACATCATCTACATAGAAATAAATCCATTACAGTTGCTGCAAGTATGTTTACATTTGGCCAGTTATTCATGTGTCACATTACAATCGTGTTCAAATGTTTTCATCATTATTTGCCCCTCCAAGGTAAAAGACGTGTCGATAACTTCCTATCAGGAGACATTTTGCCACAAGTTTACCCTGAGATGACAGCTCGTTACACATCCAATAATCACATGAAAAAGGGGTTGTAAAAGTTGGAAAATCACACAATACTCAACTGCTAACAGTACGATTTTGGCTACAATTTGCTGGTGTTCAATTAAAAGCACCTTTCTTATCTCTCTTGTGCTGGGTTTAGTTACAGTTGAGCTACTGTCCAAGGAGCACCGTGTGCCTGTGGAATAAAGACCGTCTCAAAGAGGATCAGGTAGTTGTACTTTTGAGGGAGATTTAGCACAGAACAACCACAAACAAGTGCAAAATCATAGCTGAATACGTGTTTTGCAAGTGACATGACTGATTTTAAGGCTGTTATACGTTCTGGAAGTTAAAGTTGCTTCGTGTAGAAGATTCAAATTGATCTTAAGAGAATATATGTAGAAAGAATGCGAGTTATTCTATGTATATATAGTCCAAGTATGACGTGCAAAATTTCTTGACAGCATCAACCAAGGAGACAGGAAGAGAACTGCCTCAGCAACTCAAATTTCAGAGGCAGGAAGCATCAAAAATACACCGCTCCCAACAGCTGCATCCTCGTCAATAAAATGAAAAAAGAGCCTTTGACAGGGGAGTAAAAAAAGGAGCAGAGTCTGGAAGAGACGAGATTACACCTCCAAATCTCTGAACACCTTTTAATCACCTCTTTCTGAGATTTCCTGGATTTGTACTGATGTAATACACGACCAGTAAGGGATTAAGGAAGTTGCGAAAGTCATCAAGGTTCAAATTCTACACGTAGCAGCTTTAGCAATCAAGTACATGTCAAATGATTCACATGATATAACAGCTCATGGTTTATTCTCATCCCCGTTTTGAAGAGCAAACCACAGATCTGGAACCTGAAGGTTTACAAAGGCACTAATTGTGTAGACATCCAATAAAACATCTGGGATCAAGTTCGTACACAAATGTTTTAAGCTGCATCTCTTAAGATTGTTTGCTTTGGATTAGGTTACAGGGCTAAAACTGGAGTTTTTACTGACCATAAACGGGTAATTTGACCAGAGATATTGGTAGCATTCGGATGCAGTTTTACTGTACAGACAAAAAGTTAAGTTTTATAAACCATGGCCCATAACAGGCCGAGAAACTTTGTAACAAATAACATTCAACCCAACTCATTAGACAATGGAGTCAGTGCCATCATATTCTACTGACTCTTTTTAGGTTTCTGGCTCTATTTAAAAACTTGCATTATGAACATTAACAGCACAAGATTTTAGAGTATGTAGTGGTGTTTTAGAATGAGAGGTGCTTGTGAGAGGAAGAAAACGTCATACAGTTAAAAGTATACTATGCAGGATTTTCCTAGAAAACTTCATCATATCACACAAGACCCAGTAGAAGAGTGTTGGGGTGCATTTATCTGCAGAGACTCTGCCCTCTGCCTGTATTTTCTTTTTATTTTGCTGGGTCCGGAACGTTTATGAGCGTGTAGCCCCCAGCCAATAACAGCACAAAGGTCAGGCTGGGACATTATAAAAAGGTAGTGATCATTTAGTAACAGCACACATCCAAGAGGAAGCTGTGGAAATTTTGGACACAACACAAAACAACTGAAATATAGTGAGGCAACAGCTTGTTCCAAAATGAGAGTGAATCTGGGAGGGAGCAAGGCAGAGTTGGTCTGGTTTCTGTTGGGTTAGCTTAGTTTGCTAGCATATCGGCGTTTCAGGAAAGTTCCTGAATGTTGTGTTTACAAGCAGTAACCAACAATACCTGCATAGTATATCTTTAAGAACTCAAATTGGAGGCAATAAGGAAGAAAACCCTTGAAAAATACATTTTCCTCCAATTCATGATAGCAATGATCAAACTGTTAAAGGAATAGCTTCAACATTTTTGTAAACCCGCTCTTTTGCTTTCTTGTCTTGTTACTTTTTCCTAGACCCGTTCATTACAATTAAACTTTATGTACGAATCAAACAAATGAAACATTGTGCATTCATTTTAAAAAACTTTACAGGGCTGGTTTTTACATTTGGACAGAGCCAGGCTAGCTGTCTTCTCCATTTCCAGTATTCAGACAAAGCTACGCTAACAAGCTAGGCAGAAAAGATATGATAAATGGATAAAATTCAAATAGATATGAAAGTGGTTTTAATCCTCTCATGTAACTCTAGGCAAGAAAGTAATGAAGCACATTTCCTAAAATGTCTAACTATTCCTTTAATGTTACACTTCTGTCATGTCTGTGTGCTAACTACTGTTCGCCACTATGAAATGACGAGTTTACAGTTTCTTTACACACCAGCTGTGTAGATGAATAGGTGTTTTACAACACATGACGCAACTGAAACTCTCACTTGTCAATCAGTGACAAAAACAGTGTGAGAAAATAGAAGTTTTCTGATAATATCAGCGTGTCTTCGAGAGGGCTGAAGGCATATCTATCACCACAATGAGAAATTAAAGGAGCTCTATATGATGTTCAGAGTATTAATATAGCAGCAAACAACTATTTGCTATGTAGAGATATAGTGGAGTAATGGCGTCCTGAGCACGGTCCGGCCGCAAGCGCAAGTTGCATGCGCACGTGAGTCCCTGTGTGTGTCCCTAGCTAATTGCTGCTGCTCTGCACTGTATTCATACGGCGGTTAACTCAAATGAAGGGACAGTATCGTTGTCGAAACGTAGTGCCAATACCATTAGCTCTGTCCGCACTTCATGGTGTTAGCAAAGTTAGCTGCTAGCACCATTAGCGGCTCAGCTACCTCCATGTTGAGAGCCGTGTGCACACAACCTCTGAATCTCGCATAGAGCTCCTTTAACTGTCACTGCTACAGGACAGAGAATATGTTTGTTAACTGATAAAGACATTCTTCAAGACATCAGATGTCATTATGTGCTGTACCTTTTAAGTAAAACTTAACCATTCAAGAGCAGTTTATTAGGACAGCGTCTTCTCCAGCACCTTAAACCAAATACATTTCATTTTGAGTGCTGGACTTTCTTTGGTTTGTGTTCCACAAGCGCACAAATAGCGGACCAGCCTACAAACAGATGGCGTCATACCATTTATACAGACACAATATCAACACTGAAACATCCCACACCTTCTCAAAGTGAGGGCGGGTGTTGACATTAGTTTCGTAGTTTGAGTTACAAAGCAGCTGCTGTGTGTCGAGCTGTGGTGTTGCATGCTACAAGTCCAGTTGAGACCGTTTGGGTATTGAGGAAGACTGCACAGACCATTCATATATGTGTAGCAGAACTTATATTTGGACATCCAAACGTCTTCGCCTGGTGCAGGATAGATGGAAAAACATACTTAGAGTCTCAAATAAGGCTGCGTCTGTGGAGTGTTTCAATGAAAACACTCTTTTAACGGCAAGCAAGAAGTTAAAAACACTTACTGGTCACTAACAAGATTGTAACAGCATCGTCTAGTGATGGAAACTCTCATCTACTTGAGTTTCAGGGATGAGGCTTGGATACTTAAACCCCCGATAGAAGGTTTGAAGGTATGCTGAAACACTGTAATAATATCCATATATATAAGGATGGATGTATCCATGTATAAGACTAATGTTTAGCCTGGTGTTGAGCCTGTATGGTGTAACTGAGATCAGTTTCATGTAGGATACACAGTATTATAAAGTACCCTGTAATCAGCTGCTAGATGCTACCATGTTAGGACCTACAGTTTGGTGTTTACTCTGCAAGGAACATCTGAGGCTGCAGTGACCACACAACAAATTTTTCAAACTCACTGACCGTTACAAGCCAATCAGATTGATGTCCTCTCATTCCTCCATCAATGCCACTGTGTTAAATGACCAGACAATTCAACCAGCAAGTGTAAATTATGTGAGAAGTTGATCACAGTTTCTCCTTTCTTGGCAACATTTATTTGCTAGAATATATTTAGAAGAGAAGTCTCAAAGCTGGTTACGTGGAAAATGGCTGAATAAGTCATTTTATCCAGTTTTTTCCTGATTATTTTCAACCAGTGCTGGCTTGTGAGCTCTTGATTACAACTTGAAGCTCATATTCATAGTTTTTCATGGTTGTTTCGGTTAGTTATGATAATACTGCACATGGCAACATGGCGACTTAAGTGCTCATGTTGCTTGCCCTGTCCAGCTTCGAGAACTTGGAGCACAATGTTATTATCGATAGGAATTATTGCCATCACTATGAAAACAAGACCTGGGGTTATGCTTTAACTCCTCAGTGGATGTATCATGACAGGGATCATACACAGCAGAGTATAAAACATAATTCGCCTGATCGAAACCACCGTGCCTTTTACACCAACCAGTCTGAAAAAGTCGCCCGTAACAGCGTTGAAGGTTCAGGTTCAAACTGTCTCCAGCATTTGGAACATTTCACATTTTCAAAGCAAGCGTCTGCTCCATCTAAAAAAGGCAGGAAAGCGTAGCCGTCACTCCTGTACCAAAACTCTGAAAGCAGGTATGACGACTTCACCTCTTTCTCCATTCTTGAGATCTGACACCTTCTGTGCAGACCTTCTGGGATTTACATTAATGAATTATTTCACCACTTAAAAGTAATACACACACACACACACCGTCTCCGTCAGCATGTCCGCACAGTCTCTTTGCACCAACACCGATTGAAGAGTTCAGAAGTCCTGTCCTCTGTGCTTGCTTTGAAGTCCCAATTTCCGGGATTCCCAACCTGTAAATGCTGTACCCTTGTACCTGGGTAGAGTTGCAGTACAAAACTTCCATCGAGAGCAACCGGAAAGCAAATATCTTGTTATTTATATTATATAATAAATAATACAACTTTGTTCATATATTTTTGTATATGTAAAAAAAAACAGTTCTGCCAAAAAGGGTGACTGGCTAGCAAAACCACTTGATATAGAAGCAGCAGTAGAGCTGTTTATAAAAAGGAATTATATATATTGCCTAATTTTGAGTATATGGAGTCTTGGAATACAATCCGTCTCAACTCCTGAGTTTGAAAGGGCGTCAACTAGGCACCCGGCCTCTCAGCTCCGCAGTCTGATGAAGCTCCTGGTCGTGCTGCAAAAGAAAAACAAAAATTCTGCAGCACAAGCAGGGGTGCGTTTCACCTGAGGAGTTGAAGTCAAGCTGGAGTCTATTATGGTAACGAGATACCACAAGCAGCTATCTCTAACCAACCAGTTTAATTCCATCCAAAAGGGTTCCTGAGCCTCGCGGCTTTTCCTCCAGCTTTACCCCCCAAAAATATGTATCCATCTGCAGAACAGTGCCGAGAATGAGGCCTCAGATGGTAACGTGAAAGGAGTCCCAGCTGTCGTCTTTGCTGCTGCTGCTCCCGTTCTTGGCTGCTGCCATTGTTGCCGTCCCGTCTCCGACCTCTCCGTCTGGCTGTTCTCCGGTGGGGGTGGCACCGGGCTCTGGGTAATACTCGTCATCCTCGTCAAAGTAGCCGTTATCCATCATGCTGAGGCTGGAGGCGGCGCTCAGGTCCTGGCAGCTGCCCTTGTACTCCTGGATCGACTCGTGGAGCGACCACAGCTGGCACAGCAGGGACATGTCCTGCTGACGTAAGCCCACCTGGAGAGGGAAGTATTAAGATCCTCATTAACATATCATACATTTTAGATGAGGCATACCAAAAATGCCTGAGCTAAACATAAAATCTGCCTTTCCACAATGCCAGCACACTAAAAGTGATATAAGATCTATCTTGAGACAATCTGTGATTGGCTGAGTGTAGCTTCTGTTTATTTCTTTCTGCACCAACTTGTGCCTTTTCTGCATCAATTCATAGATTAAATGTCTTTTATTCTGTCAAAGTAAAAGCCCTGCTGCTACTTTCATTTCTCTATTTGGTGGGGACAAATGCACATGTGCTGAATAATGAGAGGGACGTGTCCTCTGCGTCCCCTCTGAAATCCACACCTATGGTGACTGGTGCTCCAGACGCTAGGTTCTCTAGACTCCAGATACAGCCTGAGACAACAGCTGCAACTAACAGTATTTTCATTATTTTGTCCGACCATGAATCCAAAAACAAAATATAGCTTTTGTTTACTATAAAATAATGACAGATCCTCAGACTAAAGAAGCTGGAAGTAGCAAGTATTGGCATTGTGATGACTGATTGATTTTCAAAATAAATGCTGATTAAAATTTTTTACGCTAAATAATTTTCTGTCACAAAAAAACCCCAATATATTAAATTGTTTCAGCGCTACAATTATAGGACAAATGACATTGATAACTGATATCAGTGCAAAAAAAAAAAAAATTTGTCTATTAATTGATTATTTTATCCAAAGACAAATTATCAACAAAGTGCTAATAATCAATAAATCACTTAAGTCATTTAACGACAAAAACTGCCCAACTGCCCCCCTGGTTCAAGCCTCTTGACTGTGAGAATTTGCTGCATTTTATATATGTTTGTAAACTAAATATCTTGGGATTTTTATGACTGTTGGTTGGACAAAACAAGTGAGGCCTGATGGTCTTCTTTTCGTACAATTTTCCGACATTTATTTATTTACATTCATTTTTTTTTAACTACTAATTAATCAAAAATACTGATCTGACATTATGATATTAGTAATTAAAGGTCCAGTGTGTAGCATTCTGTGGCATCTATTGGTGCGGCTGCAGCACTGAAACTTCCTTCCGTGTGCCTGGCGTGTAGAAGAACTACGGTGGCCTACAAGAGAACGCAAACAGCCCTATCCAGAGCCAGTGTTTGGTTTGTCTACTCTGGGTTACTGTAGAAACAACATGGCAGACTCCATGTAAGAGGGTCTGCTCTATATGTAGATATAAACAGCTCATTGTAAGGTAACAAAAACACAGCGTTTCTTAGTTTCAGGGGATTACACGCTAATGAAAACACAGTTATGAATATTATATATCATTTCTGCAGATATGTGCCCCTAAATCCTACACACTGGAACTTCAAAGGCTGAAAACAAATCTCTCTTAGCAGGGTTGAAAAGGGCATTTCTACTGCGTACCACTCAGCTGACAGTGCAGCATGAACTGAGGGTCACTGCATTGTCTTCCACACAAATTACAGTGGGCAGACGTGCAAGTCAGCGTCACGTCAAACAGCTGAACCCGTACTATGCTCCATAAACTATGCAGCGATCAGAGATTTTAAAATATAAGTCATTGACAACTTATTAGACAATATGAACTACAAATTCATAGTAATACATTAACAACAACACAGTACATAAGCCGAGAGCAGGCAACGTGCTGCAGGGAGAGTAAAGCAGGAGCAGAAATAGGATTTAGTAAAGCCTGTAACAAAAATCCAAATGGCAAAGGGATTGAGTTTCAGCAACAGTTTGACCTCTTTCATCTGAATTACTGGATATGAGGAAACAGGCTATTGTTGCGTGTTGACCGAGAGCCGTGGAGGAGTGTACCTTGATATTGAAATCTGGTCTGGTTCGGTTATTAAACCCCTGCTGCTGGCAAGGGAGTGTACAGGAGTGTGTCTTAAGTGTCTCACTGTGTTTGCACCTTAGTGAATGTAAAAATTAGATCAACAAAGGATCTAATGCGTCATAAAAAACTTTCATACTGAAGCTAAAAAGATATGTAAGCTTAGAAGAAAAATCAGCATAAGCCTAATGGCTTAATTTGTCTCATCCACTGCAAAGCTGTTCCCTGATCCTGGTTTCTCTTGTAGCTGGTATCCTTAATGCCAGAGTACATGTTAAAAAATCACGTTTTAACTTCTTGTGCTCAAAGGACTTTGTTCACTTGGTAGCATACACAAATATACACATTGGGAATCATTTGGGTCTTTTATAATCTATGTAAACATACAATCTACTAAACAACTGATAAAGCAACAAAAACACTAAGCAATTTTAGGCTTGTTCAGTTGTATTATGTCTCTCTAAATCTAAGTGGACTGCTGCAAATAAGCCAGATCAATACCTAAAAGTTTAAATTTTATTAATGTAATGTGCTGTATGGTAAATAATATGTAAGCCGAATTTTTCAGGAGACTCTAATAATTTGTTAAAAGCGTTAAGTTGTGTGCTACGTGGTGTGTAAGTTTGCCAAAAGCCAGCCAACAATAAACTACCCGAGTTTCTTAAGGGACTTTGGCTGGATGCGAATGCACAGCGCACAGGGATTAAACGCCTATCGACAAACCAGGGGTGGAAAACAGAGCACTCCGTTTTGTTAAACAAAATGAATACTGCCTAAAATGTTACCATCTCTTTCCGCAGCAGAGCCAGGGCAGCGTCGAGGTTGGCCGGCTTGTTGGCCAGCAGGTTGTCGGCGTTGTTCCTGCCTCGGCTCAGGTCGTCCTGGATCATGGTCTTCTTCACGTACATCCTCTCCATTTCTCTCCAGGAGCCGCCGCTTGAGTTCAGCAAGCCGCTCAGGCTCTTCGGCAGCGGGGGCAGCCCCTCGATACAGGCCATTCCTCCCACAGAACCGTTCGTGGACTTACCATTCATTGTCCCGTGATTTACGGAGCCAGAGAGTGGAAGTATTTACTCTGAAGTTGACTGGTGAGTCTTTAAATCCAGTAAACGCTGGGAATAAACAGTCGTCTCTCGCACCAAACACACCGACCAACAGCCGTGGATTTCTCTGCTCTGGGCGGCCAGCGACACCACGTCAAGGTGCCCGGATTTAAGTAATTCAACTTCCGGTCTGATTATCAAAAATAAAAGCATCACTTTTGAACAGTGAAAAGAGTGTTTTTGTTTTTTAGCCTTTAAAGAATATCATTATTATCATTATTATTATTATTATTATTATTATTATTATTAGGCTGTTATACTGTACGTATGCAGTACTTTGATCACAATCCCATTAAAGGATAACTTAGGCATTCGTCAGTCTATCTATGTTGATTTCTTTTGGTTGGATGATCGTTATAAATTTGAGTTTTGTTTTAGAAAGGGAACCTTTTTTTGTGGCTCAATTTCTTAACCAGGCCTGGGATAGAAGGCAGAGTATTCTGTTTCTGGATCGAGAAGTTAAATGATAGTACTTTGGATTGTTACTGCAATGTGATTCTAATGGTGTCTTGTAAACCCATGAGGGTTGGGCACATGTACGTGTGCATGACACAAAATAAAATTCAATCAGTCTTCAACCTGAACTCTATTTTCTGGTGTATGTTGGTCAAAGAGACCAATGTGATTAACAGTATTTGAAATTGGTCCAGTATTTAGTGAAGGTGCAGCAGCCGACAGCTGTAAGCATATGGGGCTATTGAACGCCATCAATGTATCTGTATAAAAGTGGTTATTTTTGCCACTGTCAGGCTCATATTGTTACTAGAAGTGGCTGAGGTGTCTCTTTACCTTTCACTTTGTCAGGTCAGTTTGTTATGATCTTATTAAGTTGAAGTTTCACTCGGAAATCTCACAAGATGTCACTTGTTGCAGGAAGACAACAGTGGAAATGTGAGTGAGATATGGAGAAAGTATAATTACCAGATTAGTTTAGTGTTTAGTTTGGTGTTATCTAAAATATTTTTACAATCATGGATCATTATTTACCCAGTTTCAATGTGGATGAGGCCTTTGAATTTGATCGCCACTGTATTTATTTGGGCTGGAAAATACGGAAATGAAGTTATCCTTTTAAAAACAGCTTTAATTTTATTTTTCTGGGGGTCTCTGTATGGTGTTGACATTTTACAGGTGCCAAATAAAGTCAAAACAATTACAGCTATTCAGTTTTAACCAGATGTTTGTGGAAAAACTCCAAGCAGACAGCTATGACAATGCTACTAGTGACCATTATTTGACAAAAAACATGGATCTTGACGTGGACCCCAATGGTATTAGAATTTGCAAACCAACATAGATCAAACTTCAGCCCATATATACCTTGCTCTATAGCCCACAGCACGCTTCAGTAGAAAAAAAAAATACTCAGATTTTATTTAGAAAACCAACTTCCGGTCTTATTAGGCTTTATTATTGTGAACCTGACGATGCTGGATTGTGGCTGTGTAGTAAAATCCGCTTCCTGTCCTTTAAACACAGTGACTGCTGGGCGTCTCCCTGCCAACACTACTCAGAGGCTGGAAAACTAAGTCTCTTTTTCAACAGTCATCTTTATTTTTGTAAAATGTAATACTATCTATAATTATACACACACTTATCTATAAATATATGATTTAAAAATAAATATTAACAGACAAGAGATGAGACAAGATCACTGCTAATGATGAGAAATGAGACACACACATTCCTTTTTTTAAATAAAAGACATTTTGATATAACATTTCCAATACTGATCAATTGAAACACACTTTCTCTTGAGTTCAATTAATAATTAAATGAAGAAATTTGACACATATAGGCCCTAAGTCCAAATAAAATGACATGAAGAAACAAAAGGAAGAGTAGTTAGTCTTTTCTTGTAATTTATTCAAGTGTAGTGAATAAGCTTGGAGTTTTTAATTTATAATCTTTTAAATGTATTAATTTATGTTGGTATAGCCTGTATAATGCTCTGTCTTTGATAATGAAACATTGATTACTGCCTCTTAACATGAACAGTTGATACTTCCCAACATTAACTTAAATGTTTGCCAATCAGTTTAATGTAAGACTGTGTTCATTTTAGTGCCTACAATAAAACTAATTGATAGACTTCCCCCAGTAGAGTGTAGACAGAGGGTCTGAGGTCATGATGGGAGTGTGTGAGTGTGTGTGTGCGTGCATGTGTGTGTGTGTGTGTGCGTGTGTGTGTGCAGGACAATAGTTTGGAGAATAAAGGACAGATGGTGGGCTTCACTTCCCCCCCAGCCTGCAGTCTCGTCACAACAATAACACAACAATAACCCTGAAATCAACACACAAAAGCATCACACACGCTCCTCGACAGAAGAGGAGCATGTGCTGTACCACACGCGCACACACACACACACACACAAAGTCAGGCAGATGGATGACGCCTGGAGTCTGGCATTTCTAATCGCTCTACTGAAATGAATTAAACCTGACTCATTTCCTACAGTTGAGACATAAACACTCATCAAGTGCTTCTTATAAGCAACCCACCCAACGGCCGGGTCTCAAGCTTAAAAAAATACATTTACAGTTCAAAGAATAATGATATGACGATATCTTTCTTTAATATATCAAAGTATTGAGCAAGAAAATGTTTCTCAAGCTGTCAGATATTGTGAATTATTTAAATGAATAGGATGTTTAGTGACTGGAAGACAAATTGGTCAGGATGGACCAATAGAGAAACATCCTTTTTCATCTGCTTATCTGGGGCCGGGTCGCAGGGGGCAGCAGGCTAAGCAATGTTGCTGAGCAACATTTTCTAGCTCCTCCTAGGGGATTTCGAAGCGTTCCCAAGCCAGATGAGATATATAATCCCCACAGCATTTTCTGGGTCTCCCCGGGGCCTCCTACCAGTTGGATGTGCCCGGAAAACCCTTAACAGGAGGTGCCCAGGAGGCATCCTGATCAGATGCCCGGACCACCTCAAAACTGGCTCCTTTTGACATAAAAGAGAAATGAGTCTGCTCTGAGCCTCCTCTGGACGTCTGAGTTTATGAGCCCAGCCAGCCATCGGAGGATACTCATTTTGGCTGCTCGTATTCGCAGTCTTATTCTTTTTGCTTACAATCCAAAGCTCATGACCATAGGTGAGGGACGTACATGGATTGGTGAATTGAGAACTTTGCTATCCTGCTCAGCTCCATTCTACCCTCACTTGTGAATAAGACCCAAAGATACTTTCTCTCTCCCAACCTTCAGGGGTCAGTGCGCCGTTTTCATGCAAAGAACCATGACCTCAGACATGCAGGTGCTGACTTTCATCCCAACCGCTTCCCACTCGGCTGCAAGCTGCCCCAGAGCATGCTGGAGGTCAGGGTGTAATGAAGCCAACAGAACCACATCATCTGCAAAAAAGTAGACATACAATTCTGAGGTCCCCAAACCGGACCCCTTCCTCCTTCCAAATGTGCCTTGAAAACCTGTCCATGAATACCATGAACAGAATCAGTAAAAAAGAATAACCCTAGTAGAGGCCAACACCCTCTGAGAACATGTTTGACTTTGCGCCGAGTGTGTGGACGCAGGTCTCAATTTAGGTATACAAGAACTGATGGCTCATAGCAATGGACCCAGTACCTTGTATTCCAGCTGTATGCCCCACAGGACTCCTTGGGGGACACAATCATAAGCTCTCTCCACGTCCACAAAACACATGTAGACTGGATGGGCAAACTTCCATGATGCCACCAGCATGGCAAGGACGAAATCTGCATTGCTCCTCTAGAATCCAAAGTTCGACAATTTGTCGGAGCCTCCTTTCCAGCACCCTGGAGTAAACTTTCCCAGGGAGGCTGAGCAGTGTGATACCCCAATAATAAAAGCACACCCTCTGGTCCCCCATTTTAAAAATGAAATGGGAACCACCACCCTGGTCTGCCACTCCATAGGCACCATACCCGACCTCCATGTGACACTGTGTCAACCAAGACAGCCCGACCATGTCCAGAGCCTTCAGCATCTCAGGGCCAATCTCATCTACACCTGCCGTCTTGCTGCTGAGAAGCTTGTTTGTTACTGCTTCTCTTTATCTCACCTGTGACATATATTTACTCGTGTGGGCCATTATTTCTAGACAATATCAGACAGGAAGAGTTCGGGGCAGGGCTGACGGGAAGGGAAGACATTTGTGATTTGTTGTCACTGTGTTTATGACATGCTATAACCCTGCCATGTGTAACAATTACTGTCATCACTAAGTGAAAATCAATAAATATTTAGCTTTTAAAAAAACAATATGACTGTTTAACCATTTTAACTCCATGCCATCAGTCAACACCGTATCACCATTTGCCCTTGAAAAGCATCACGTCCCCTCTGAGCAGCCTAATCCTGCTCTCGAAACAATTAGCCATCAGCTGAAAGTCCACAGCTGCACCGTTAAAAAGACTGATCAAGGGCAATCTGTTTTGTGTGAGGGTTTTATGAGCAGACGGACCTCTCTATAAGCTTTCAACACCACCATCACCACTGCCACCACCACCACCATCACCATCACTGCCTCCTGAGATCAAAGGATTAGGCGTATGATGGCACCCCCTGGGGATGCATGTAACCGTGGCCGGCTCGTGTTAATCTGCCTTGCTAAAAAGCACAATGGGTTTGCGTCACTTACCGTAGGCTGGCTAATAATGCTCTAAAGATATCCGCTTTTGTCTCTGGAAAGAAATATGTTGCTAAAGGCTAAAAATTTACAGGAAGTCCTCATGTCGGCACAAAGGACACCAAATATGACACATAATGCATTCACTCATTGCTTGTCTTTCATTTTATCTGTCTTTATTTTACTTTTCACCCCCCATTGTCTGTGTAATCTTGTTTTATGTCTTATTTTAAGCCTTTTGAACATCTGTTGGTAAAATATGCTGAACAATTAATCCATCAGCTGTGAATTTATTGCCAATTTTGCGAATTAAAAAATAATATAAGTCATTTATCAAGAAGAATGCGTGACATCTGTTGACCCCAGCTTCTCATTTGTGAGGATTTGCTGCTTTTTTTCCATTTATATATCATGTTTAATTGAATATTTTTGGGTTTTAAACTGTTGTTCAGACTACATTAACAAACTGAAGATGTCACTTTGGGCTCTGGGGAATTTTTACAGGCATTTTTCACTTTTTTCTGACATTCAATAAACTCATTAATTAATGGATTGTACAAAAATTAAAAGTAAAGTAAAGTAAAAAAAACTTACAGATAAAAAAAAAGCAAAATTCTTCCATACGTTCCCACATTAATTGAATGCATTAAATATTATGCAACCAGAAATTAAAAATTAGAAATAAATACTGATTTAAAACGTGACCACAGTACTTCTTTTATGTAATGAAATTTATTTTTAGTTGCAGCTCTGTGGTGCAAATACTGTACATTTGCTTTGCCTCATAAGATACTTTCCACCATGCATGGAATATGAGTTTCAACATTTCCCATTTTAAATAAGTCAGTTGAGGATTTCCACCACACTCTAAATCATGAATGAAATCACAGGGGTCCACTGAACATGACAAGATATGACAATATCATTCAGCCTTATGGTGATTTATCAAAAACAGCATAAATTGAGACAATTCAGGTTGAAAATGACAATAAATGTACTGATTTCTATACACTATAATCTGTTGACTCTGCTGTGCTTTGTGCTGGATTCAAATGAAATCATCTCCCTTTAAACTTGTGATTTGGTGACTTCACATTTTACATCACATAGGCTACAATATATATCTAAAAATACCCCTGTAATTAACATTTGTTGATGGATGAGCTGTGCGGAGACAAATCTGGCACCTCTTCCAGAAATAATCACCCCAAAGTGTGCTTGAGTCCCATTTAGCTGACGGAACAACATTGCATTGAACTTGGAGCTTGTCTGGGATACATCATTGTCAGAGCCACACAATAGGTCTGAGGGGAAGGAGGGAGGGTGTGTGTGTGTGTGCAGGGGGAGGTCAGCTTCCTATAGTGTGTCAGAGGACAGCAGGTCAGGGAAGAGGAGTGTCCGGTTAGAACAGCTGCTGTCACAGACATGAGTTTTCCTCTGCGGAGGGGCCTCTCAGGGAGCAGAATGACCTATGGTAATTTTAACGTATAGGCCTATATTTCTTTGTCCTACAGTATAAAATCACAAACAAAATCTATTTGGAAGCCAGGTCAACATAAAAGCATCATAAAAACTCATCAGTGGTGCATTCAGGTCCAACGGTGACTACAATGTACCTCACATTCCCCTGCTTTGAAGTCACTAGATGATTAAAACAGCGTCTTCCTTCCATTGAAGACAGCAAACAATGAGTAACTTCCCACTGTGGGAATGTGTGTGTTGCCTTCAAGTGCTTCCCCTCATACTGAGGTACCTTACTACTGACCTTACTCAAGTATTTCCAAGCTCTGCTACTTCTTCTACTCCACTAAACTTCAGAGAGAACTATTGCTCTTTTTTTTTCCCAACATTTTTGCCTTGTGACGTCTGAAAAAAAAACAGTGTCTAGTTGGGGCCTCTTGTCATGTTTCTATGAGTTGTTAACAGATCCCTAAACATTTCTCAAGTTCTCATTTAAATAACCGTTCAAGGCCCAAAGAGGTAAAATGATCAAACATTTCCCCTAAAAAGTAAAGATTCCTAAAAGACACAAAATGAAACCCTACGTTTCACCTCTGTGTCTAAAATGAAAAGTCTCAATGGGAACTTATACACATTGTGTCTGGCTCTGTCCTAAAATTCAAGCATACTGGTAGACGATGGGAACGAGATGGGAAAATGGGAAAAGGGTTTGGAGTTGCTTTGTGTATGAATCCTTTGTCTTTACTCCTGGGTCACCCCTGTCAGGATGCAACTGTTGGTACTTGCTAACAGATTGTACCATATTCTTGCATATGCTGCAAGGATATCTCTTTGTTATTGATAAATCACAAACCACCTTCTAAGGCAAACCATCACAACATAATCAGGGACTGTTTTCCTCTCAAATACCTGACCTGTTTGCTTCAATCCACAAATGGTCGATTGATAAAACCATAGACGCGGCACCTATGGATTGTACTGTTGTTTTTTATTCCTATCTAAATGATTCGTCATTTTTATTCTTGATGGCTGTGCAGACCAGTGTTGTGCTGAGCTGTTCAGTACTGTTGTTTGTAAAAGGAAGAAAAGTCAATAGATATACTTGAAAGAAAAGAAGCAAATATTGAGTCCAAAGTCCAAAAAAATGAATACAAATATGTGAGGCTGGACTTTTTTCCTCTGTCTGTTCCACTTTAATCTCCCAAAGAAGGTAGGACAACTGAAAATCGACAACAAGAGTGGCATCTCACATCTCATATATCACTCCGCCAAACTTCATCATAACTCTTATTACCTGCATGTAAGGTGCGCGATATTAAATAGTTTCCATTTATAATGTGAGGAGCAAAATAAATTATGTTAACAATATATGAATGTAGTTAACATTAATTTATGTAGTTGCAAAATGATGAACAGAGAAAAACAAGATAATCTACTTAATGTTCCTGCGGCTGACCAGCACCTGATCCTTGAGACTGGCCGTGCAGAGGGAGTTGTGCTTACTTCAACATATTTTTCCTCTACCTGTAGTGCTATTTACTGTATCAGAAGGAAGTGTGCATCTACTCATGGACGAGAGGCTCACACTCGTGACAGTGTGAGATGCAAAAATTAATGGCATCCTCCTCGGCTGAGCTGTAACGTTAGCTAGCTCAGTGGTGCTAGGGGCGCTAGCAGTAACTGTACACTTCCCTCTGCGGGTGTAGTTTGGTAGAAAGAAAATAGTCCCTATATGAAACTGCTCTCAATGAGGTCTGTGGATTATCTTGAGTAACTGGGTCATGATTTCTGGAAAGAGACATTGCTGAGAGTTTTATTAAATTTTTTTTTTTTTTTTTTTTTGTGCTTTGAGCACCACAAGCCGAGCACCATCTAGTTCCATTATACTGGAGAGAAGGCAGACATCCCTACAGCCGTTATCTCCAATACTCTGCAACCCACACCAAGACAATCTAGATTAATAAGTGGCACTACAGGTAAGAGGAAAAATATGTTGTTTTTTTTTATTTTGGGAGGAACTGTCCCTTTAAGTAGAATCTTACTGCATACTTCCTCAGCACCATAAAGTCATATGAACAGATGTGCAGGATCAAAAACTCGACTTAACTTTATCTGGTTTGGGAAAAGGGTCCAAAATATGACTTATTGTGCTTACAAGAACCCCTTTCTTTGTTTCAACATCACAATATTGTACCTATAACAACTTTCGCTGTCTCTCCCGGATCTATTCTCCACCTCAAAATGTGAAGCACGCGCAGCCAGATGGTCATCAAAGATTCCTGCAGGAGCAGACTGTGGTAATTGCAATGGGATGGGTGTATTCCGACACGCTTTGTCACTGCCCCTGGCTTCGCTCCAGCCTGTCCTGCAGGGACAGGACAGGAGGGTGTAGTCCTGATCAGCAGCTGGCCTCCTCCTGTCTGACCTCTGCCCTCCCCCTCCTCCCCTCTTTCTGCTCGCCCACCAGCTCTGTTACACCCACTTTCTGTCTGCCTTAACCTCTCCCTGTCTCCAGAGCGACTCCTTTCACTGTGAACAGCTGGGCGCTCACTGTGGTCTTGTTTTATTGATGTACAGATTCATTAAGTGTTGTGGTCATTTATCATTTTAGCAGTTTTCTATCGTTAGATGCCATGACCAATTATAATTCACAGGCTTCAACTGCACTCCATACACATTATTCAGATAATAGAACAGTAAAATGTTTTATTTGGCAACAAAATCCAACATATTTATCCTAATCAACGAACATAACATACAAAAGTGGAACATACAGAGATAAAATTCTCATCTTGTAGCAGTGAAATTTGGATTTTTAACTCTAAGCACCCTTAAAAATACAAAAATGTCAACAAAATCATCAGTTTTTATACTACTCCGTAGGCACAATCATATCTGTGCACTGCCTGACCCTGCAGACGGGTGCGGTGTAAATGTAAAGATGAGCAGAAATAAATAGCTGACGAGCTTGAAATGTGATTCCCACAGATCAGCAGAGGTCAGCCAGTGTCTCCTGCTGTCTGAAGGGCAGCAGATGCAGATGTGAGTTGGATACATAAGACTCTAGGAACGAGCCAACACATCCGCCCCCAGAGGAGGCAAGAATGACCTTCTACACACAACACAGCAGCTTCAGGATTCAAACCAAAATCATACTGTCAGCTCTCATCAATTGCTTCACTGCAAGACTGATATTATAGCTGTGATCACAGACATGCAAGTTGCGGGAAGCCTTACAGTGAAACAAGTGGAGATATTTTCACAGAACTGATCAGTATGATAGAAAGTAACATATAAATACCATCCTTAAAATATTCAAAACAAAAATGCTTCAGTTTCTGGTGCTCGCCACCAGAGGGAATTTACTGACATTTTGTTTTTCCTACCTAATAAGAAAAACATTATCAATTCAAGTAAAAGTCAAATAACTTACATCATCTGTTAGGCCCCGCCCTGAAGGCACAAAGTGTCAGACAGGCACTTGTAAGAGAAGAGCTGTCATTATCACAGTGAGGTAACCACAGAGAAAACAATCCACTCCTACTATAAAAACAGAGTCTAACCTTATTTTCAAATCTCTTTGTTGAGAAACGCAAAAGCAGATTTAGTTCAGATGAAATCACTAAAAGTCAACACAGCAAACTCCCTGAAACTTTTCTAGACATTTTAAAGGAGTAGTTTACCCATAAATTGCTTGTTTGTACATCAATTTGTGATGAAAACTCTTCTTTCATGCCTCCACGGTGAACGTAGAATCCACAAAAAGGCAAACATTTTTGATTATACTGATCAAAATATAATCGGAAGACAGAGAGGACGGATTCAAGATGCTAGTTAGCCAGTTAGCACATAACCAACACAACCTGATGTTAGGGTTAGGTTAGCTCAGTGGAAAAAGAAAAATAATCTGACCTCATGTAACAACTTGGGTTTTGTCTCACTCCATCTGGACTTTAGCTCTTTGTTTACTTTCCTCACTTTCATTTTTTGAGCTGAACTGCCAATCAAAATGTGATTTAATTTGCCGATGGGCTTTGCCGGCTCTAACGGCAATTCAACATGCCGAATCAGCTGACAAGGGCCAACTAGTGCTAACATGACACACAGCAAAATCTAGGTTGACAGATGCTCAGTGACGACGAGGCGTCAGCTGAGTGTGTCAGGGCCCGAAGCCTGAATTTTTGATTAAATGGTGACCACAATTAACAACAGCAAAACTACATCAAAACATCTCATGCAGTATAATCCAAGTCTCCTTTATCCAGTCGAATTTCCAAAACATGCATTCTGAGTTACCCATGTGTGCCACAGCAATGCGAAAGTGTTTTAAATTGTTGATACTTGTGTGATACTTTTCAAAGAGATATTTTGATATAGTTTTGCTGTTGTTAAACCCAGTTCCCCTTTACTTCAGTTCATCAAGACTGTCCGCTGTTTTTTGGATTCTCGTTCATCGTCAAGGCACGTGAGAAAAAACTTTTCTTTACAACATAACCTGGGGTGAATAAACCGACATACAACTTGTCATTTTGTGGGTGAGGTATTCCTTTAAAAATGGTTTTATTGCATCGTCTTGTTCACTGTTCATCTGCTCCTTCTCGGTTAAGAAAGGCAGGAGTCGAGATGCTGGTTGATCTTTGACTCCTGCACCTTTGCTTGGCACACAGGACAGCTGACCATCAGTGCAGAAGAGGAAGACGAGGAAGTAGATGGGGTAAAACTCTGCATCCCTGCAGAGGGATGAAGGGAGGAAGTAGAGGCGGATGCAGAGGAGGTGGTGGTGGCAGTGGCAGTCTTTTGCTGCATTGCAGGTGTTTTTGTCTTAACCAATTCCCTCGGTGCTGCTGAACTGCTGCCTAATGTCTTCTGGAAGAAGTCGAAGATGCTGGAGGAGCTTCTGCTGTCGTCCCACGGCCTTTTCCTTGATGCCTGAGCGGCACCGGCAGCTCCTGATGTACTGTCACTACTGGAATGATTGAAATACTTGGACTGTGTTGGTTTAGCAGGGCTGCCTTTGGTTTTTGGTGAAACTACAGAATGGCTAGGTTTAATGGGACTGGGCTTAGATGTTCCGGGAGAGGAAGCTGAATGGGTAGTTTGTTGTTTAGAAAAGATGGAAGACGCAGAGGTAGCAGTGCCTGCACTGTTGTGTGATGTCAGTGAATCTCTTTTAGTTTCTATGTTTGAGGTGGAAGACTGACTTGAACTTTTGAAGAGTTCTTCAATTGACTTCTGTTTGATTTTATCTGCTTCTTGGCTGCTGCTGCTGCGGGGTTTAGAGATTCTCACTGGCGAGCCGTTGATGTTGACAAAAGCTCTTGTGTTACCGACAGACCTCTTTATAGGTGGTTTCTGCCCTGCGGAGGTACCTGGTCTGATGGAGGGAAAGGAGCTAGAGATTCCTGTGTTATCCAAATCGGGTCGAACAGGAGAATTGAGACTTTTAGCTGGAGATGAAGGGGTGAAGAATTTCTTTGGAGAGGAAGGCACTACAGGTGTGAGAGATGGGAAAGACGACGTGGAGGGCTGTGACTTCCCTCCGAGTAGGAAGCCTTTGCCACTGAATGGGATAATGTTCCTGATATCCTGTAATCCAGAACCTGAGAAAGAAACATACCAATTCAGAGTCAGGCAACAAACTTTCTTTGAGTTGTCATAAAGCATTATCTACCTTACAGCAGAGAAACAAGCGTATCACCTGGAGTTGTACTTGAAGGCTTTCCATTTTCTGAGGTCTTCTTCTCTGAGGTCTTCCCATCCTTTTTACTGTCCTTCTTGCCTTTTTTGCCATATCCTTCAGGCTCCTTGACCTTGGTGTAGGTCCCTCCGCATGTCCTCCTGTGATCCTCCCACCAAGGATCCAGAGCAGATGGAGCCCGGTTCATGGCCCTCTTAACGAAGCCGAAGTAGGGCCTGCGGTTCTGGCAGGGCCCATTGCATTTCCACCAGTGCTGCCGGTACACATCAACCTCATCGTGGAAACTGTGGTAGATCTGAAAAGAGGGCAAGGTGTATTTTATTAGTCCAATCTCTGTAAAAGCCTGTGACAAGATGAGACGAAATGTGTGATAGAAGCTACACCTACAGAAATTTTCGTCCCAGTAGCATTGTTGATCCGGTTCATGTGTTTGCAGAACTCAGGACCATGACCGTCTCGGTCTCTGTTGTTCTGGGTCACAAACAGCAGGGCGTGGATCATTTCATGAAGAAGAGTCTGTGGAAACAACCAACAAACAAAAAAAATATAAGAAATCTATCAAAGGATGTCTTGACATGTATTAATAGTAATGAGGAAGAGCTGGTAAATTTTGAGGTGTATTTTACAAGATCTAACGTAGTATCTTTCTTTATAGTGTAATCACAACATTAGTAAACTTGCTGTATACAAGTCAAAACATATGGTTAGTTGTTCATCAATCAATATGAAGAAAACATAAATGATATACTAAGTTGTGTGGTCAGTTTTCAGAGTTATTCTGATCCTTATTTCTTTGACAGGATTTTACTATTTTGACTAAAGTGATTCTTTATACTGCAAATTGATGTATCATAAATATTTTTAAACAGTTGCAGGAGAGGAATTTGATAGAATACTCAGATCGCTTAGCAAAAGCACGATCAGTGTTACTATCCACCTCACCTCCACCAGGTCTTTTCTTGGTCTGAGCTTCAGCAGAGGCTCACTAAGTCTGATTGAACACAGTCCACCTCGGCCCTCGTAGGAACACACACCTGCACACCTACAAGAAAGCATAGAGAACAGGAGACATTAGAGACAGACAAACCTTATATAAGCTACAGTAGAGAGATCATTTGCAGCCAGCAGCACTGGTGTATTGTGTAGTTTACACTGTCACACAGCCCCTTCTCTCCTATGATCACACAAAATCCCATACAAACATCTGGTGAGGTGAGGGCGTTACTGCACCTACATTCACTGTGGTTTTGACCTCTGACAACAAGGACAGCATAATTACAGATCATAATAGGTGACTTACAGTGTCATTCTTGGGCTCCACCTAACCTCCACACCGCTGAGTTTCCCCCAGAAGAACGTGTCATTGAACTCCAGAAACATCGCCCTGACATCAGGGTTGGGATCCAGGGTCTCCCAGGACTCGTCCACGATGGACAACGGCCTCTCGGGCCGGGCAGTCGGCTTCCAGTAGGGGACAACATCACTGCCACCTCCAGCTACTTCCACTTTCCTTTTCTTGCTGCTTTGTTGAAAGCCATTATCCTCAAAGCCGTTTGATAAAAGTGATGTCTCGTATTCATTATTAAACTGCTCCTGTAGCTGAATAGCGAGCAGTAAATCTTCATCCATTACAACACTAAACACTGATAAAAAGGTGATGTAAGCTGGCTAACGTTACGTAGCTTCAGTTTACATTAGCTTCTTGAAGCTAACTAGCTAATGTAGCTTGTACAGGATTTTCAAACAAGTGACAGAATCACCAGAGCCAGATGACAGTCTGCTAAATACACTATCTGTACAAAAACTCGGATTAGTGTCATAATTTCATTAAAAAACATTTATAAAATCATGTTGGACGAAGGTGTTGCTCCTAACTTCCAGTCCATGACAAGCTAGCGCCAACTCAACCGTTGCTGCGTCAAGTCTATCATAATGCAACCAAAGAACATCCGGTTAAGACTTCAAAATAAAACTTCCGGAAAAATTAAATCTATTTTAAGAAGGGAAGGGTGTGATTAATCCAGCTAATTTTGTTTTTTGGATGTATATTTTAAATACTTGAAGTACTTGTGTATGTTGTTATGTGAAATAGGCGACTACTTTTAAATCTTTATAATATTTAGCTCTTATTGCGACACTCGATTTCCGCTCTAGAGTTGAGTAACTCCGCTTCACTTGACGAATCGTTCGCGTCTTTCAAACGGTTGCAAAGACTTATGGGAAGTGTTGTCTTCTTTATTTTAAGCAGTTGGCCAGTCTAAAATGCACTCGCGATTTTTGTGTTGCAGTTTTGTGATTAAAACAAACGCACTTAACAACAAAATAAGACTTATATATCGTTCATATTTAAAATGATTTCTTTAAAGAGGGGTTTTGACTTCTATAAACTACTCGAAATCATTTTAAAATATTTGTTTTGATAAGATTTGTTGGCCATCTCTTTTTCCCCCCGAATCCCGTGACGTTACAGGGTGTCAACCAGATTCCAACTTCCTGTTTGGGTTGCAAGCGGATATGAACGGATGCAGTGTCCCTCTGTCTCCATTTATCACTAATTCGTCAACATTTTGTCTAAATAAATAAACTTACAGACGGCTTAAGATGTCGGAAACGGGGAGCCGACTACGTAAGCTGCTTGAGTCGCCTAATTTCGACCCGCAAAATTACGTCAAGCAGCTGTCACAGCAGTCCGATGGCGACAGAGACCTGCAGGAGCATCGTCAAAAAATCCAGAACTTGGCCGACGAAACGGCTCAAAACCTGAAGAAAAATGTCTACAAGAACTACAGACAGTTCATCGAAACGGCCAAAGAGATCTCCTACCTGGAGAGCGAGATGTACCAGCTGAGTCACATCCTGACGGAGCAGAAGAGCATCATGGAGAGCATCACTCAGGCCCTGTTGTCCACAGACAAGGATGAGACCTCCAAGGAGATGCAGGCTGCTTTCCCCAAGGAGACAGAGGAACTGAAGCAGAGGACGCTGACCTCACTGCTGGAGAAAGTAGAAGGGGGTAAAAACATCATGGACACCCCAGGGAGGCACCTAGTCTATAATGGTGACCTTGTGGAGTTTGATGTCGACAACATGTCCCCCATCCAGAAGGTGCACGCTTTCCTCATGAACGACTGCCTTTTAATCGCCACCTGGCTGCCAAACCGCAGAGGAACCGTGAAGTACAAATACAATGCCCTGTACGACCTGGAGAGCTTCGCTGTGGTCAACGTGAAGGACAACCCTCCCATGAAGGACATGTTCAAGATCCTCATGTTCCCAGACAGTCGCATCTTCCAGGCGGAGAACAGCAAAATCAAGAAGGAGTGGCTGGAGATCCTGGACGAAACCAAGAAGAACAAAGCCACCAAGGACAGGCACAAGAAAGAGGAGGAGGTCCCCACGTCTCCTGTGAGGGCAGAGGTGTCCACCAATCCTTTCGACGTGGACGATGACGAGCCAGTAGATGCTGAAGAGAGTGTGGACCTCAGCCTCGAGTGGATCCAGGAGCTGCCGGAGGATCTAGATGTCTGCATCGCCCAGAGAGACTTCGAGGGCGCCGTGGACCTGCTGGACAAGCTCAACGAGTATCTCAAAGACCAGCCGGTCAACCAGAGGGTCAAAGAGCTGAGGCTGAAGGTGGATGAGCGTGTTCGGCAGCTGACAGAGGTTCTGGTGTTCGAGCTGTCTCCAGATCGGTCACTTCGTGGTGGACCTAAAGCGACCAGGAGGGCCGTGTCCCAGCTGATCAGACTAGGTTAATTAACAACACCTCACACATCAGCACAAAGTCAGCTTTGCTTCTCTGCAGATACACACCTCCACTTTAGCATGAAATATATTCTACTTTTGTTGGACAATATATTGTCCCAGAAATAATTGCAATAAACAAAATTATTGTCATTTTAAGGCCATTTATGCCACTTATAAGATGCATAATAATGCAAGTTCACCATTTTAAAGAGCAGTGATTTTTTAATTCTACCAGAAATTACAGCAAAACGTGTCTCAGCATAGTTTTTTTCTGTTCGTTCGGCTAAGACACTGTGAAAAAACACTTAGGCGCTGCATCCAAGCCTTATCATGGTCATTAAAAGCCCTTGTATTTCTTTTGGGGTCATGTTGGTGCAAATTTTGGTGACATTCTTATGTATCAAACACGTATATAAACACAACTGGCAATATAATATTATATATGGACATAACCTTGATCGGTTAATAAGGTAATTATTGTGACAGGCCTATCAACTTTAAAAGCTGCTCAATTCTGCCACAGTGTTTTACTGGTTAAAGGAACATCCCATATTATTTGCAGCAATTTGCATGTGTTAAAATCTATTTTAAATGCTTAGAGCAAGCATGCAAACAAGTATTAAGATTTTTTTTTCAGATTTTGGCCTTGGAGGCTGTTAGAGTGTAGAGTGTATCACACATATGTAGTGTATATAAGGGTTACACCTAGCAATCATTTTTTAATATAATATAATATAATTGTTTGGTCTGTTAGATACAGGAAACTATTGAAAAATGTCCGTTTCTATTTCCCACATTGAAGGTTATGTCTTCACATTCCTTGTTTTGTCTACCTAACAGTCCAAAACCCAAACATATTTAGTTTACTACTGCAAAAGTCTACTCATTAATTAAGTCATCATTTTAATTTGAGTTCACTCAGTCAGAGTTTAGGCATACCAATTACTACTTATTAGGTCCTGATCGTTTTTTTTTTGTCAATTATAACAATATATTTGTGTTTATATATTAAGGTTTGGTGCAGACAATACTCCTGGTACAGCTAGTAGAGGAGATAGATTTTTTTTGTTTGAAGGTAATAGATTATTTGGACCAGGTTAATCAAATACATTATAGTTCAAGTTTCAAAACATGCTAGTAAATCTGTGATATTTGAGACTACAACTTAAAAACATATTGACTTTCTTTTTTTTTCATTAACCCAACCACATTTTTCTCTCGTTTTTCTTTTCCTTTTCATCCACTTTTCTTTTTCTATATTATTACTAATTATTCATTATCTTATTTTCTTATATTTATTTTTTCACTGTTTTTTTGCATTTAGAGGTGGAGCTCAGGGTATGCAGGTGGTGATTACATACAACACAACCAATACACAAACGAACATCATCACTCCATCATCATAAAAACCCCCAGAAACAAACAAAAACAGCAGACAAAACTAAACAACATATATATATTATATTGGCATAGCAGTATTTCAACCGAGACAAGCACAGGTTGCCAAAAAAAAGCATTCTTGAAGAGATAAGAATAGACACCAGTCACTCATATTGACAATTTATTTGTTTATTTATTCATTTGGATCCCCATTAGCCACTACTAAGGTAGCAGCTACTCTTCCTCAGGTCCACACAAATAAACATTACATCATAATGAAAAATAAATATGCCATCAAAAATCCAAGACAATGCTGACAATGTATCTTCCTAAATTATGTTTTCCAAAGCCTTCTCAACACTGCCAGGTATTCAGTGTCTTGTAGTGGAGAAAACAAAATCCCTTTTAGAAAATGTATTTACGGAAAACATTCAAAATTAACAAAATGTTTTAGTCAAAAACATGATGGAATCAGCTTTAACCCCCATATGTATAGTATGTGGTTAGAACATGTTAAAATCCGTGCTATGAGAAACCTGCCCAGTCCCACAGTATCAGATCAAATATGTGAATAGTTCTTTGTCTGTGTTGCAGGTCAGTCCACCAAGGCCTGCGAGCTGTTTCTGAAGAACCGTGCTGCTGCCGTCCACACGGCCATACGGCAGCTGCGCATAGAAGGAGCCACGCTGCTCTACATCCACAAACTCTGCAACATCTTCTTCACCAGCCTGCTGGAGACGGCCAAGGAGTTTGAGATGGACTTTGCGGGGAACACGGGCTGCTACTCCGCCTTCGTGGTCTGGTCCAAATCGGCCATGAGGATGTTTGTGGACGCCTTCAGCAAGCAGGTAGGTAGAGGATGGGACAGTAACAGGTAGAATTCTTTGAAGGCCTGTAAAAGCATAATAATTCTTGTGAAACTGCAAAAAATATCTTAACAAATTGAGGGTTTTTGTCTCCATCAGGTGTTTGACAGTAAAGAGAGTCTGTCGACAGCAGCAGAGTGCGTCAAAGTGGCGAAGGAGCACTGCCAGCAGCTGACTGAGATCGGCCTGGACCTGACCTTCACCCTGCAGTCCCTGCTGGTCAAAGACATCAAGGCGGCCCTGCAGAGCTACAAGGACATTATTATCGAAGCCACCAAGCACCGAAACTCTGAGGAGATGTGGAGGAGGATGAACCTCATGACCCCCGAGGCTCTGGCTAAACTCAAGGTAGATTTCTATGGTGTTGTTCATGTTTCGTCTCATCTTCTTTTGTGTTGTCTGTTGGTCCTCTGTGCTGATTTAATGTCAGCGTTTCTAGTACTGGGACTTTGTTTTTCTTCAGTTTTGTGGATGAAATTTAGAGCTGAAAAAATGAATTGCTTGAAGGTCCACCATGTAGGATGTAAGGGCATCTATTGGCAGAAATGGAACATAATATTCACGACTATGTTTTCATTAGTTTATAATCACATGAAAATAAGAATCGTGTTTTTGTTACCTTAGAATGAGCTGTTTATGTCTACATAGGGATAGGTCCTTTTCCACAGAGAAGGCCATGTTGTTCTGCTGTAGCCCTGAACGGACAAACCAAACACTGACTCTTAAAATGGCCATTCACATTTTTGCATTTTTCACAAGTTTCAGTTGGTTGCACTCTTAACCTCACCACTAGATGCCACTAAATCGCACACTAGACCATTGAAACCGTACTTGCTTTGCTCAGGGGCCACTTTTCCAAAATGACAGGAGGCCCAGGGCCAGTTTATAAACAAATATTAATGATATTAATCAGTATGAATGCACTGCTTGCTTTCAACCTTTCTACGTTTTCTGTCCTCACTCGTCTTTATGAAGAAGCAAAACCAGTAGCAGCAGCCATGCACAGGTCAGGTGTACACAGGTGTGTTTCTAGGATTGTCGGACATCGGGGGCTCAGCCTGGACCTCTGTCAAGAGGTCTGGGGGCCAGTCCTCCCCTGGCACGTTTTCTAAAATTTAAGCAAACTGTATTTCGATGCTTTTTTAGGCACTTTGGCATCTTTTTTACACTCAAAATACAAAACAGTTCCCATTGTGGATCTGATTTCCTTTTCATTGTGAATTAGAAAATGGCTGATGGGCCTCCCGCCACCCCTAAGGGCCAATTCATAGTTTCCATGTGTCTGCAAGAGTCCGCTTTGGTCTGTGTGATGAACATCAGCGTGCAGCTCATTTTTTTTTAGGCACAGCAACGGCGCTGACTGCTCCAGTCTCCAACCTCGTTCCATACCAAGTGGCAACCTCTGGAGCTGAAAAATGAAGCCAACTAGGAGTGCTAAAAACTGCAGTTCCTTGAATGGCCACTAGAGGCTGGCTCGTTCCCCATAGACCCCATGTTAAAATGCCCAACTTTACAGCAGAAATAAATCTCAGTCTCAGAGTTTCTTTTCATTGTGAATTAGAAATTGGTCGGCGGGCCACCTGTTATTTCAGTAAGGCTGCACTAGACTTTTAAATGTTAAGCTGACTGAGAGAAAATTTCCAGCTCCTCCAGTGTCAGGATTTTCTACTTTTAAGTGTTTTATATGACAGCAAACTAAATATCTTTGGGTTTTTGACTGTTGGTCAGAGAAAACGTGAGCATTTTTCACATCATCTACCATTTAAAAACTAAATTATGATTTATTAGATGAAAAACTGTGAACTAAAGATCTTTGTTGCAGTACAGTTTACTTATGTAAACTTCTGTAGGTGGTGATTTCTACCTGTGTCTGTGCAGCAGCAGATTTCCCCCAGGAAAGACCGACCAGATGTTTGGTTTTAATGACAATAAGTGTTTAATCTCCCATGAATAAACCATATGTTAAGTCACTGTTAGAAGATTACCATTTTAATCTTGCCCTCCGCAGGACGAGATGCGCAGCTGTGGCATGGGCAGCTTCGAGCAGTACACGGGCGATGACTGCTGGGTGAACCTGAGCTACACCATCGTGGCCTTCACCAAGCAGATGATGAGCTTCCTGGAGGAAGGCCTGAAGCTCTACTTCCCCGAGCTGCACATGGTGCTGCTGGAGAGCCTGAGGGAGATCATCCTGGTGGCCGTGCAGCATGTGGACTACAGCCTGCGCTGCGAGCAGGACCCCGAGAAGAAGGCCTTCATCGTGCAGAACGCCAGCTTCCTCCACGACACCGTGCTGCCCGTGGTGGAACGGAGGTTCGAGGAGGGCGTGGGCAAGCCGGCAAAACAGCTGCAGGACCTGAGGAAGAGCACCAGGCCGGTTCGGATCAATCCAGAGAGCACTACATCTGTAGTCTGAGACTGCGATAACAAATAAAAACACTTGAATGCTGTTTTACTGACTCATTTTAGAAATAACTGCCAGATGTTGGCTGTTTTGAAATTGCAAGAAATGACAGGATAAGGAACAGCAGATGTGTGAGAAGCTACTTCGCACCTGAATTTTTATTGACTCTCACAAAAAATGCTTATTGATAACGGCTAATATTGATGGAAAATTATCTGTTATTAGCATCGCAATTAAAAAATCCATATTTGCTGCATCCTATATTCGTTTTTGAGCAATGAACTATTTGAAATCTCCCATTTGTGAGTGGAAAACCCTTATCAGCAGTTGAGTTTACCACAAAATTAGGCACAATGAACTGTGTGTTTTCATGTCAGGGTGTGACGATGACTAACAACTCCACTGTTCCTTAAATGTGTGTGATTGTGCAATGAATACGTGGCTCCACAGGACACACTGCAGAAAAACAGCAGATAAATGTGTGTTCATTCTCTGATCAGACTGGTTATGTGCAGTTTTGTGATGACAGACACAGGCAAAAATCTGATCTTAATGGAATATGTGTTCATGCTTAAACTCCCCATGCTCTGATTTTGACCTTCCGGGACCTTTACTAGACACTAAATAGTATCTGAGCATACTAGGACTGATTAAAAGGGATGACTGAAAAGAAACTGCACTGTAAATCTTCACTGTTGTAATAGTCACGTCACATTTAATAAACATCTTCATGAACAAGTGTATGCTATGTTTTTGTATTCCTAGAAAGATACAAGTCGCACTGAACAACAAAGCAGCCTTTGCTGAGGAGTTTGGTGCCTGTTTTCCTTCCGTATAAAAGAATGAGTGAACTTCCTGAATAAAAGATCTGTAGCTTCTGAACTTGCTTGAAACTCACAACAACAATAACAGACATTTTGATGTTTCTATTAAAATGCACGTTGAACCTCGCTCAAACAGAAAGTAGGCTCTCCTGCTGTACTGACGGTGAACTCCAGAGCAAGATGCACATCTTCATCCTTTGAGCTTGACTGATTTCTGCTTGAAAGGATCACCACTTTTTCCTTTTCTTCCTTGACAGAAGTCTGTTTTGCACAATGTATCTTTCCAATGTGCACCATAGCACTTTTTGTCTTTATCATTCCCGAATGAATTAAAATTCATGGACCATTTTACAGCAGGCATTCTGACTTATCATTGCAGGCGACTCACAGGTGGAACTAATGACATTAAAGACGGTGATGATACAGTTATTAAAGGGGTTCAAGCAGTTGATGTTATTAGTTCCACCTGTGCTTTCCCGGCTATGACAAGTCAATATGTCATATTTTGAACCAATGACATGGCACTGATGAATGAAAAAACAAGGTTGTAGAGAACTTTCTAATCCTTAAGTTATTATGTAACAATCATCATGTGTGTTAATTTAACTGGACAAACCAAACCCAGCTTGAAGATCAGCAAGGAAGCTTTAAACTTAAATCATCAAATATTTAATGGATACAAAGAAAGTCTGAGGCGTCTGCTGCACCTGCACATCACAGGACAAGCATGTTTCTTAGACTGTGCAAAATAAAGATCAGACAGATCAGACATATAAATACAGTCTATTTCTTGATCCTTGCTTCATGACTATATTGCCCTCTTGTGGCAGCTCACAATCAGGAAATTTTTGAACATGGGGGTTGATTTAAGGTATGTACACTCACCGACTTTATTAGATACACGTGTTCAGCTGCTCGTTAACACAAATGGGTAATCAGCTAATCATTTTGCAGCAACTCAATGCATTTAGGCATGTAGACATGGTTAAGACGACCTGCTGAAGGTCAAACTGAGCATCAGAATGAGGAAGAAAGGTGATTTAAGGGACTTCGAACGTGGCATGATTGTTGGTGCCAGACGGGCTGGTCTGAGTGTTTCAGAAACCGCTGATCTACTGTGATTTTCATGCACAACCATCTCTAGGGTTTACAGAGGATGGTCCGACAAAGAGAAAACATCCAGTGAGCTGCAGTTCTCTGGGTGAAAATGCCTTGTTTAAGTTTAAGTTTAAGTTTAAGTTTATTTTACTTTATTAATCCCCCCTGAGGGGAAATTCAATGTTTTCACTCTTGCTTGTCAATTACACACAGGTCCGAAAGACACACACATGCACAAATAGGACCTATACATGCACAAAGTGGAGAGATCTCAGAGTGAGGGGGCTGCCCTTTATGAGGCGCCCCGAGCGGTTGGGGGGTTCGGTGCCTTGCTCAAGGGCACCCCGGCAGTGCCCAGGAGGTGAACTGGCACTGCCAGGGTGCCCTTGACCCAGAGGTCAGAGGAGAATGGCCAGACTGGTTCAAGATGATAGAAAGGCAACAGTAATTCAAATAACAACTCGTTACAACCAAGGTCTGCAGAAGACCATCTCTGAACCAGCAACACGTCGAACCTTGAAGCAGATGGGCTACAGCAGCAGAAGACCACACCAGGTGCCACTCCTGTCAGCTAACAACAGGAAACTGAGGCTACACTTCACACAGGCTCACCAAAACTGGACAATAGAAGATTGGAAAAACGTTGCCTGGTCTGATGAGTCTGGATTTCTGCTGCAACATTCAGATGGTAGGGTCAGAATTTGGTGTAAACAACATGAAAGCATGGATCCATCCTGCCTTGTATCAACGGTTCAGGCTGCTGGTTGTGGTGTAATGGTGTGGGGGATATTTTCTTGGCACACTTTGGGCCCCTTAGTACCAACTGAGCATGGTTTAAACACCACAGCCTACCTGAGTATTGTTGCTGACCGTGTCCATCCCTTTATGACCACAGTGTGCCCATCTTCTGAGGGCTAGTTCCAGCAGAATAACGCACCATGTCACAAAGCTCAAATGTTTGTATATGTCAAGAAAAACCTTCATGATCTTTTCATTGAAAAGAAGTTATATAATCTTAGTAATTCTTTATACATATTGTTGATCAGTTTTCATGTTACATTATTTCTTGGGAAACATCCTAAAATCCATATTTTTGCTAACACCCGCTTCATAATTTATGTCTGGAATAAAAAAATCTGCTCATTCAGCATCCTGTTTTGTTATAAAATTCTAAATCCAATCATGTGACACGTCTGCCCTGTAGTTGCTCCTGCGGTAAAACCCATCTTAACCAATTTGGCTTGTGTTATTGCAACATGAAAACAATAGCTCGTCTCTGTGTGTAAAACATTTCCCAGCAGTGACAGGCCCGGCACGCTACGCTGGCAGACGCAGATATTTTTAGACTGCGTTCATGATTCAACACATGATTGTTCTCTCTGCTTCACAGCTCATCTCATTATAATCACTGATGTGATCGAGGGCTCCAGGAAAGCCTTGGGTGAAGTTATCAGCTTATCCTCGGAGAAGGAGCGTCAGGCTGGTGGGATTATTCCAGAGGAATTCATTCAATCAACACTCTCAAGGAATACACAGGAATTATTTCATGTGATGAATGGGTGGTGGTTCTGATACATCAGCGGCAAAGACTGTAGTGAAGGAGCTGTACTCGAATACTTTATCTCAGTATCTTCACCCAGTTCCTCTTTAACCACAGAATAAAAACGTCTAATTTCCAGCCCCCAGTGTTCTTCTATATTTGGGAGATGCTTGATAGAAGCTGTCAGGGGCTCATTCTTCTAGTTGAATAGAGTGATTCATCTTTGACTCAGATGAAGACACAGTGATGAAGTGTTGATCAGTGTGTCCCAGTCCCTTTATTTCCCCTTTGGGAATGATAGATATACTGTTTGTGGAGAAAGGTGACACATTTGCACTCCAGTTAATGCTTCCATGAGTGGGAAACTCACTCAATTATTGTCCTCTGCTTATACTATAGTGACATTTCAATAGTTGTAGTTCTAACAGTGGTGGAAAGTAACTAAGTACATGTGCTCAAATACTGTACTTATTACTCCACTACATTTATTTAATAGGTTTAGTTACCGGTAACTTTGTGGATCAGATTCAAATTAATGACAAAAAATCTCATCAACAAACAAATTATGATGAATTATTATAGGCTAAGATAAGATAAAATAACACTTTACTAGTCCATATCCACTGAGTGTACAGTTGCCCACGTACAGTTTCACATGGTGTGTGTTTGGGATACAGGTCATAGGACATTGCAGTTTAAATAGTCAGCTGAACTCATTAAGAAGAGCAATGTATTCAGACAGAGTTTTTGTGAATTTGATAGTATGATTGCTTTATTGAAAGTACAGTAGTACCATTGCCAATAGTGGGATAGTTAGTGGGCTAAAACTGTACATTAGTAGTTGAGGTAGCACGTTGAAAGGCATATAGTTAAAGTGTTTATATGTTGTATTGACTTAAAAGTGGGGCGCGCTGGTAGTTCACATGGGAAAGGTGCAGCTAGCTCTTGTTGCAGCAGCATTACATACCATGACTTAGTCATACCAAAAATTAGAAAAAAACAACAACATTCGGCCACAGGGGGAGCCACAGCGATCGGTCGCATTTTAGCCATTTTTAAGCATTTTTCTGTTGTTATAGCGCCACCCAGTTGCCAATTAGAGTTATATTTCTCCAGTCACCTTGAGGCGTCCTGTTCTACATATCTACCAAGTTTAGTAAAAATCGATATGGCGGTTAGGCCTAGATAAGAAATTAGCTCTCTAGCGCCCCCATTTTGTTTGATGGGGTCAGTAATGGAGGGGTCCCCTCAGATTATGTGTGGTCATATGCCTACAAAGTTGCGTGGTGATCGGTGAAACCCTTGAGATGTTATACAACTTTATGTGATGAGCCACGCCCTCTGCAATATCCATTGCCTTATAGAAGCTCAGTTTTACTAAGTTTTACAACTTTTGCCAAGAGGGAACTTTAGATATTGGTCCCTAGATTATGTTCACCGAGTTTCATGCAAATCGGTCAAACTTCCTAGGAAGAGATCGATTTTAAGCATTTTCCAAAAAATTCAAAATGGCGGAAAATCTATATAACTGGATGTTATGGGTTCTTGAGGCAAATTTGTTCTTCATGATGAGAGGCATCTCTGTGCAAAGTTTCATGTCTCTACGACATACGGGGCATGAGACATGCCCATTCAAAGTCTGCAATTTTAATCGGTTGCTATAGCGCCCCCCTTTGGCCAATTGATGTAATATTGCTTCATTCGCATCCTCCCATGACCCTCTTCCACTGTGCCAAATTTCACATGGATTGACCAAGTCAGTGAGGAGAAAAACGTGGAACAGACACACTTACACACAGACAGTTTTCGTCATCATATAGTAAGATTAATCCCTGGGGGATATTTACAACCTAAATTAGTATAAAAATTAGTTAAACGAGTACTTCACCCAAAAAATGACAAATTGTAGCCTAAAAAAGTGACTGCAGTGGTACTAAGTAACTTAGAAATTCATAAACTCTAGTAAGTTACTCTAGTAATGATACGGGCAGTTGAATTCTGGACTAACTGGAGTTTATGAAGACACTTGAGAGGGAGACCAAAGAGGACAGAATAACAATAATCAATGTGAGATGTAACCACAGAAGGAATGAGGATAGCAGCACTCTGAGGTGTAAATGATCTGCGAGGACGATTCATATTTCGTAAATGAAAGTATGCAGTCCCAATAACATTGTTGATGTGGGCCTCAAAGGACAGTGTACTGTCCAGGATGACACCCAGACTCTTAACCTGAGGTGATGGACGAACTTTGGAGTTGTCAACTGTTAAAGAGAAACTGTGTGGTTCAGCCAAAGTAGATTTAGTGCCCACAAGGAGAGCCTCAGTTTTATCACTGTTAAATTTGAGGAAGTTGTATTAAATGGTGTTTTTAACGGCTCCAGAGGCTGCACAATGTCAAGTGCCCAACCAGCTGCTATCTGATTGGCTGTTTCGTAATTGGCAGCCATGGTGAGCAGTAGAAGAAAATAGCAAGAAGCAGATAAAATCAATGAGGCAAACTCAGCTCTCCATGAACAGACAGATTTTAAAGTCTTTGAAGGAAAAACTTGAGACTGAACACCCCTGTGTCCTTTTAGTTCAGATGGACATGACTACTCCACAAGAGGAAACTTTATACCACCATCAGTGAGAACAAACGCAATGAAACATACAGTAATGCACAGTATGCATGAATGGAATTCACTCCCTCGACATATCACACAGGAAAACAATAAAGCTAGATTTAAAATTCTATTGAAGCAGCACCTTTTGACAAAGACTTAGGTTATCCATAAAACAGACAAAAGTATAGTTGTCAAAGCCTCATTTATTAATATCAAAGGTAAGTTTGACTGTGTTATGTGTCTCGGGATGTGAAGGCTCTGTCTTTGTTTGTGGTGCAGGCACATTTAATTAGTGATGGTTTTCTGTTAGTATGCTAATCATATTTTCATGTTTTCCAAATGAGACTACAAGAAAAGGTGACCTATATAAAATGACTGATACACTGTTATGAACCTCATGCATGTAAATAATAATTGTCTGTGCTGTCGCAAAGCAGTAGCTAACAGGGATCATAATAAACTAAACTAGAAAAGGGAGGTTTTTTTTTTCGCTTTCCCTGTGTTTCATTCAGAGGTGAAGGCATCTGGTCAAGAATTGGCTTGCAGGACCTCAAGCATCTTTCTGAGAGGATTAATTAATAAACATGAAAGCAGCAGGACAACGCCTTAAAAATGGGCAAACAGAGCTACCCAAAGTGACAGTGCATACAGATGGAGAACTAAGCGGTACATAAACAGCATGTTGAGGAGAACAGGTGTGTGTCCAGCTTATCACCTGTGTGAAATTGTGCTGGGAATGTGAAATAGTGAATTATGTGAAATTGCAAAGTAGTTTTTACCTCACCATTTAACCACTGGTTACTTTTATAGCCAACCTATACTTATCAGTATTGGTGGAAAGTTCATTTTTCATTCATTTCCTGTAACTGCTTATCGTGTTGGGGGTTGCAGGGTACACCCTGGACAGGTCACCAGACTATCACAGGGCTGACACCTAGAGACAGACAACCATTCACACTCATATTCACACCTGCGGACAATTTAGAGTCACCAATTAACCTGCATGTCTTTGGACTGTGGGAGGAAGCCGGAGTACCCAGAGAAAACCCACGCTGACACAGGGAGAACATGCAAACTCTGCACAGAAGGGCTCCCCTACCCTGGGGTTTGAACCCCCCCACCCTGGATTCGAATCGGCAACCCTCTTGCTGTGAGGCGACAAGTGGAAAGTAACCAATAATATATAGTCAAATGCTGTAAAGTTCACTGAGTACATTTTTGAGGTAGCCTGCTTATCTTACTTGAGTACTTCCATTTTATGGTACTTTCTGCATCTACTCCACCATAGGTCATTAATCCAGAAGCATTCATCTATTGTAATCGTAAGTGCTATATCGCAGGCAACTGGACTTGCTTGCGTTTCTTGAGGACGTTTCGCCTCTCATCCAAGAAGCTTCTTCAGTTCTAAATGACATCTATTGTGACATCTATCGTCATTCATCTATTGTACTTTTACTCCAATAACCATAAACATAACTCCAAATAACTCTACTTTGTCTGTACTTTTAGGGGATTGTGCTGTTGGGTGCTTGGATTTTCTTTAGGAGCATCTTACAATGATTGCTACCCTTTTGAAAGCCATTTAGACTTTTGCATTACTGTCAAAGTGACAATTTAACTGGAGGTTTCATCCCTAGCTATCACACTGAGCTGTCTTACAGTCATTTGCAGCTCTGCCTTTAAATTTTTATGAGTACATGTCCTCAAAATGACTGAAACAAGAGGAAACTTAGTTTTCTCTTGTAGAAGAGCCTTAGATAGTCTTTCAAGGTTAAATAAGGCAATGAAAGTAATGGCATGCATGTGTGCACATATCCATTTCAAAGTAGGTGTTCACACTCTTCTCACCACAGAGCAGGTCTGTAAATCCCAGGTAATGGGATGCAAGCAGGGCTAATAAATGGAAGAGTTGTCCCAGTGGGTGGGATTAATGCTGCACCCTGAGGGGCCGCTGTCTGGTCAATTAAACATTGAGCTAACACAGAAAGCTAATGTCACACAACACAAAGGTTACCGGATCGAACTGACTACAAAATCCTCATCCATTCTGAGCACCTGTCCTCTCTGGAGGGATCGAGGGTCTTAACATTCTAGTTTTACCGCTATAATCATTTGTCTCCAGCTGACAGGCAGAACAAATGCAGAGCATCAGGCAGTCACCATAAATGATCATCATGAATCATCATGACCACAGTTACTGTTCACAGAATGATTGACAGTCATGGCATCTCTGTGCCCTGCCTTCAGGATGGATAAGGATTAAACACTTTTCTTTAACTAACAGGAATTAAAGTAGTTAAAAATACACAGACCAGGCTTTGTTAACAGACTTGCAGTGGTGGAAAAGTACAAGTACTGCACCAAAGTCTATTTTGAGGATTTTGTTCTTTACTAGATTTCAATTTTATACTACTTCATACTTATACTCCACCTTTTTTAGGGTTACATTTACTCCTTTGCATTTATCTGACTATAATGACTGGTTACTTTGCAAATAATTTCTTAAAATCAATTTGTAAAATATGATGCATTGGTCAGGGGCAGCACGGTGGTGTGGTGGTTCGCACTGTCACCTCACAGCAAGAGGGTTCCTGGTGACCCAGGAGGGAGCCCTTCTGTGCTGAGTTTGCATGTTCTCCCCATCTCAGTGTGGGTTTTCTGCGGGTACTCCAGCTTCCTCCCACAGTCCAAAGACATGCAGGTTAATTGGTGACTCTAAATTGTCCGTAGGTGTGAATGTAAGTGTGAATGGTTGTCTGTCTCTATGTGTCAGCCCTGTGACAGTCTGGTGACCTGGGTGTACCCTGCCTCTCACCCAGTGTCAGCTGGGATAGGCTCCAGCCTCCCTGTGACCCCCAACAGGATACGTGGTTACTGGAAATAAATTACTGAATGATCCCAAATAGCTGTGAGAAATTAAAAATATGAATCAAACAAAAGTTCAGGTCTCAGGAGGATAATGAACTTTATAAGCACTTTTCAGATCAAAGTGTTCAATAAAGAATATGCTTAAACCACGATTCAAAAAATCTGAGGACTGCAATGAGGCACATAAATCAGACAGTTTGTAATAATAATAATACCAAAATAAAATACTCAACTGATAACTATAATAAACAGACACAATATAATACTAAATTAATCACACTTCATGAGAACAGAAGCTCTGTGGCGTTTCAGAGCCTTTAAATTAACTCGATCAATCAGCTCCAACCCCAGTCCCCCCCCCCCCCCCCCCCCCCGTGCGCATGCGCAGAGCGGCGTAGGGAGCTGTCCGTGTCAGTCGGTCCTGGAGTGTTTTCATTGAAGCTGCTTCTTCCCCCCGGTCCACAGAAACAGACGGGAGCGATGGAGGAAGAGTTAAAATGCCCCGTTTGCGGTTCCCTCTTCAAGGACCCTATCCTGCTGCCGTGCTCCCACAATGTCTGCCTGGCCTGTGCTCGGAACATCACCGTCCAGACCCCGGACGGAGAGACCCCGGTGCAGAGCCGAGCCTCTGGCAGCTCTGACTACGACTACCTGGACATGGACAAGATGAGCCTGTACAGCGAGACGGACAGCGGGTACGGCTCCTACACACCGTGCCAGCTCAAGAGTCCAAACGGAGTGCGGGTGTTTCCGCCAGCCACCCACCCGCGACACTGCTCCCTCACCTGCCCGCTGTGCCACCGGAGCGTCTCCCTGGACGAGCGGGGGCTCCGGGGTTTCCCCCGGAACCGGCTGCTGGAGGCCATAGTGACGCGGTACCAGCAGAACCGCCGCGCGTCCGCCGCCTCTTCTTCTTCCGCGGTGAAGTGCCAGCTGTGCGACCGCAACCCGGTGGACGCGGCGGTGATGTGCGAGCAGTGCGACGTGTACTACTGTAACGCCTGCCAGCAGAGGTGCCACCCGTCCCGCGGTCCGCTCGCCAAGCACCGCCTGGTGCCGCCGCCGATCCAAGCGGCGGGAGGCGGCGCGGCAAGCGGAGGCGGCGGCGCTCAGCCGCCTGCCACCGCGCGGAAACCGGCGACCTGCGTGGATCATGAGGCGGAAAACTTCAGCATGTACTGCTACAGCTGCAAGATCCCGGTGTGTATGAAGTGTCTGGAGGAGGGAAAACACGCCAAACACGACGTTAAGACGCTGGCTATGATGTGGAAACAACACAAGGTGAGTGAACACACACACACACACACACACACACACACACACACACAATGAACCTAACAGGCCTAAATGCCTTTAAAAGCCATAATTAGCAGCATTAACAGTTAGTCTTAAATCACATCCCAAGGCTGAATGGCTCACACACATTATTGCATACAGTCTCTCTCTCTCTCTCTCTCTCTCTCTCTCTCTCACACACACACACACACACACACACACTGTGAGGGACATTAGGAACATTTGTGTGTGTTCTAATACACACCCACACACTGATAATTACCTGATGTGCCCTCACTGGTGTTGAACAGTTCATATCAATCATTGTCTTCATTTCAAACTTGTTATGTCATCATAATAATACAGTGTATCCTGAAAATGCATTCATATCTGTCTGGTCGTGTTGTACATAAATTCACAGTAAAGGGAGAGGATGCTGCAGTCTGAGGTTGAAATGTTATTCAAAGAAAATGAAAAAAAAAAAAACACCCTTGCAGTCCTGTGCTGAGTTTACTGTATGTGGGGCGAAATGCAACTCAGAGAATCCTGACTGATTCATCAGCATTCACACATAATAAAATAATGACTGTAGGCGTAAAACCCCCGCTGTTTGCGTGCAACATCCCTTGATTAGGTCATACTGCGTTGTGTTGCTATTTCATGCATTGCTGGCTCACTGCGTGCGTGTGTGTGTGTGTGTGTGTGATGTCAGTAGTGACTGTAGCGTGGGAAGATGAGTTTGGTGTAGTTCCTGAGGCAGGATCAGGACAGGAAGAGAAATCTCAACTAGAATTTTATTCAAGTTTGAAGGAATATGGTTTGAAAATACCTTGTTTAAAGGATTTATATTCATATTAAGGAACAAAGTAGATTTATTCAAGTACTCTATTTAAGTACAGTTTTGAGGTACTTGTACCTTGCTTGAGTATTCCTATTTTATATTATTTTATTCTTCAAATCCACTACATTACAGAGGAAACTATTGTACTTTTTGCTCCACCACTTCATCGCTGTGGTTGCTTTTCAGATAGATATTTCATATGCAGAGAATCACATGTAGTCTATGTATAGATGATCAAAACTTGGACCTTCTTTTTAACCAACACATTCATCACATATTGATGTTTGGTCATGGACTTTCCCCATCCAGATCCAAATTTAACATTTACACACAGTCTCTGTGTTGGTACAAGACTGCCAATTGACATTTTTTTTCCTTCAACAACAAACATACATGGTTGGGTTTAAGCAACAAAAGCACGTGGTTAAGTCACTGCCCAAGCGCCAGGTTTCGACGACTTTGGAGTGAGACCGAACTCAAGTGTGCTAGAGGAAGGTGAAGGCATGACCAGCTATTCAGTTTGTACAACTTGTACTGATTTCTTAAATATCATACAGTACATTTTTGAATTTCTTGTATAAAGCCTGAAAATCTGATGGTGAAAAATATTCAGACTGATGTTGAGTTGATCTCATTTGAAAATGTATATGAAACAATCTGGCTCCGGCTTATAATGTTTGAAGCGTACTTACATTTAAGGATCGGACAGTTTATCTCGGATCGCAATAAAAACACAATCCAATCATCAGAAAAAATGTTGGCATTTTACATTTCTGCCAATGACATTTGTATGTTATTATGTTGCAGATATGTCTAAACTTAATGTTTCAATGGTGCTGTGGTTAATGTGTGGTTAGGTTTAGGCACAAAAACAGAAAAAGATTGTATTTTGGCTTAAAATACACAGTTTGGGGGCACAATCCTGGCTGAAAATGCACCAATGTCTTCATAAAAAACAACTACATTAGCGCCACTATCCCTGCTGATGGTTTGCTAAAGAACACCCACATTTGGGGACTAAAAGTAACTGTAAAAACATAGACAAGTCACTAAAACACAGTCAGTTTTGTTGGTCTTGAACAATGGTCAGCAGCATGGCAGGCATATTGCCTGGGTGTCATGCCATCCACCAACTCCTCCATCTCCTAATGACAGTCAGCCACTAAATTACATCACATATTATTGATAGACTGCAGAAAAAGTTGATTGTTGAGTTGATTGGGATTGTTGTGAAAATCAGGTCCAACAGCACCTAAAGAGACTGATGGGCAACCAACAATTGAAGAAACTTTTCAACATTGATTGTTTTTTCATTGGAAAGAACGTTCACTAAAAACAGTGTGTCCTATCTATGATGCAATAATCTGTTGCACAAGTTGTTGTTTCACAACAAAATGTGAGGTAACATGATTCCTGTATGTTTTAGAGCCAGTTTTTAACACATTTTGATGATTATGGGGATAATATTGTGAATTGCAGTAATTTTGGCCAGGATAATCGTGTGACATAACATTTTCACATCATCCCATGCCTAATAACATTTGTGACACAAACACACACAAATCATTCAGTCATTGTTTAGTTCACTGGAACAAAATTTGGCTGATAGCTCCGTGTTTTGCCATCCAACCTCATCCCTCCTCGACTCCCCCTCTCTGCCTGCCAAAAATCCCCCGCCTGTTTAATTTAAGGATGATTAAAGTGATTTATGAATTAATTCATTTTTTTAATGACTCTTTCATTAATCTAAAAGTCCGCCCCAGGCTTGGGGTCAGCTCAAGTTCAGTCCTCTTAGGTTACGGTATGATCTGACGTTAAAATTTAAAAGCTGACAAATTGAAACCCAAGGTTTGATTGAACAAGGGGTGATATGTGTAGCATTTTATAAGTATTTCACCAATATCATTAGCATATTAATTGTGAGTTCATGGTGGCCCCAGGGGCAGGAGTTAAAAGGGTTTAAAGTAAAATCAAAATAACTGGTACTGACGAGGCTGCAGGAGCAGTGTTGATTTTATACAAGCCCATTCGTTAATCAGACTACTTCCTGTGTTTAATACAGCATTTCATAAGGCCATTATCATCATGATCATCACAGCCAGACTTCATAACTGTAAATTAAAAGCCATTTTTTGTCTGTCTCCTGCTAAGTGGGTCATTGGGACCAATCTCTGTCTGTGGCTCTTGTTTCCTGTGTGATTGGAAGCCTCCAGTGATTTATCTGTCACACGCCTCAGCCCCTTTCGCCTTCTTCTCTGGGCTTTGCTCATCATTCACCATTTCCATACGTCGGCCTCCTTTTACCTCTCCATTGCTGTCTCTTATTTACTCCCTCCTCCCCCTCTTCGTTTACCCCCTCCTCCCCCCGCCCTTCCTCCATCTTTTCCTCCATCACCCTGTCCCATAAATGGACCGTGAAAATCCCATCAGAGTACAGGAGTGAGAGGGCGTTGATAAGTAATGAGCAGCGCATGAATAAGAGATGGCCGCCACTTAGTTAATATGGTGTCCTTCATGTTGAGGGAGATCGATGACTGGCGGTCTTCCTCCCTCTCAGTCTGCACTTGAACAGGCTCCAAGCATCATGTTGCAGAGCTGAAATGGCTGTTGAGTTTTTGAAGTGTCACTCAGTGAGGTCAGCACTGCAGAGCTGGCTTTTATTTTTGTGGGCGGCACTTTCTTCCTTTACAAAATGCTTCTTCTTCTTCTCTGCATCAAAGGATGTTTTTTCTCAGGAATAACCAGATGCTGGGTGCTTTGTAGAAGTTTTCCTGAGCTACCAGAAATGGATTTTTAAGTGCCTGCATGTGTGGGCTCTCAAGACACTCGACAACCAAAATGATCACATAATGAATCATGATGTACGGTTACACATACTGAAAAATTAACCCTTTCAAAACATGCAATTAAGAGAGTCTTACTGATGCTGAATTTCTGAGGAAGATGCTAATATTGTTATAGATACAAACATAAACAAAACAATTTAACTATAAACCAAGGAATTTCTGTCAGTATGTCTTTTGCATATCTCAAGAACTCTTCATCTGATATACTTTGCACGTGGCGGGTGTATTGCTGGGGACCCAAACGGTGCTTTGTGCAATGTGGGGACGGGACTTCAAGGCTTCCGGATGTACTAGTGGTACAATCGAACCCTCCTTACCTTGAGCTATTAGCCTACAGGAACAGCGCTGATCTGCCATTGCAATTTAAATTGTGTAAGTTTGCCATACTAACTGAACACCACTAAAGGAAATGGCCACTTTAGAATAAAAATACAGACAGCACTTACTCACCCTCATGCCGACAAGAGGGCCAGTGTAGTTTTTTAATCCACAAAACTTGTTCGGGGTTCAGGGCATTTGGCTTACGACGGAAAAGCCATTCTGACGTTTTTTAGGAAAAATCCAGCTAGCTGTTATCCTCCGATACCCCAAACGAGTTTTGTGCATTAAAAAACTACACTGGGCTTCTTGTCAGTATGAGGGTCACTAAGTATTGTCTGTATTTTCATTCTAAAGTGGTCATTTCCTTTAACGTTACCACTGGCAAAAATACCTACGGTAATTAAGTTGATGCTCTACTTTATAACCACAATGGTTATGTCAAACCAAGCGACTTAAACACATCTAGTTGGAAGTTAATACCTCTGCTAAGTGTATTTCACTGGTGTTTCTGACTGTGAGTAGCCGTGACTTGGCTGTGTGGGCCAAGCAATCGACCCGTTCGGAACAGGCATGTTTTGAACAAGCACTGTAATAGTGTTTCTGATGAGGATCCCTTAGATTAAGGACATGTGACTAAGAAATTCAGAGCGAGACATTTTACACCTGGAAAAATAAACTCGCTCTCTGGTAGACAGAATATGTAAACACCGTTACTAAACCACCTGGAACACGCCCTTTCGCATATCTTTTCTTAATTGCTTTTTACTTTTCAGCCGATATGTATGCCAGTACGATACAATAAATGACTTTGTGAAAAGCTAATATCTGTTGATGGTGTCAGTTGGGCTTGAGGAAGGTGCATAATAGAAATACTAAGGATTATGTAGCTGCAGTGTTGCCAGAAGAAAAAATAATTTGGTCTTAATAAAGGGATCAGATCAATCCATAATTTATACATAGAAGATACAGTTGCATCTTTCTCTCAGCTAGACCAAATG